GTTCCAACAGTTAAAAGCTTGCCCAGAATCGTGGTATACAGAATCGGCCTGTTCCTTTAATCATCACCTACCATTTGATCGAGTACCGTAGTTATAAACCAAGTTATTATTTTTGGTTACCATGGTTACAAACAAAATATTTCGTATTTTAAGTACAAAGTTAATGTTTGAGGCCACCCTTAGGGGTAGAATTTTCAAAAAGTACTATGCCAGTTAGGTTCGCGGGAGTGTTCTCAACAACTTCCCAAAGTTTCATGCGATCTGATGAATGGTGTACTAATGCATAAAGGACAAACAAAGAAACAGACAGCCATTCATTTTTATATAAATAGATTTAAAAGTTAACGACATGGAACTGCATCTTGTTGACGCCAAATAGGCGTTTGACAAGTTTTGACTATTTTTCCAACTTTTTAAACTACACGATCTTATGATAAAATCTCATCATTAAGTGGTTTTACCACAAAATGTTTTTGTTTAAAGTACTATCAATTAGTATGCAATTAGTACCTACATGCATATAACAATCAATAAGCATCATCCTATTATCGAAAAAGTTCTTGACGACAGTAAAAGAAATAAAATCGATAACTTTCTTCGGTTTGATACTAAAGGGAGTATCGATCATATTCTTTATTGTAACGCGTATTGTTATTTTATTAAAACTGTAAAAGTATTTATACATTTTTTTTAAATCGATTCATAAATTACAATGCACTTGAGCATGAATTAAACATCTACATAAATGTTTATTCGACAAAGTAACCTAAAAAAACTAGTGTAATTCTCGAACGACATTTTAGATTTAAATAGGTTAGGGGGCAATTCGTATCATCCTTTAGTCATCTACCATGAGAAGTATGTCGCCGTTTTTGTTAATAGAACCGCTATCTACAAATACATTTTTAGGCTTTGCGCAAGGGAAAAATAATGTAAATTTTATATCATAAAAATACGACCGGTTTATTTTGAATTTTTAGAAGCTCTTTCACCCGACACTAAGTAAATTATACAGGTATTTTTTACTTCAATTAGAAATTCATTTTTTGAAACATTTTTTTTAAAATAATTTATTACCCATGTTTTAAATAAGATTTTTTTTATTTACAAGGCTAGAATTTTATAAATAGGGGTTATTAATTTTAATGATCTGAATATTAGACAAGTGATTTTTAGCCAGTAACACCCGTAAAATTATAAACCCGGGTGGGTGCCCATCAATTTTGTGGGTACCGAGGCCATTTTCATGCGTTTTTGAGCATTATTTTCTCAAAACTCTCTTGTCCAAATTAAATGACTTTTTTGTGTCTTAAAGAACTAAATTTTATCTATGATGGCTAACAAAAAAGAAGAAAACTTCTGATGCTGCTTACTGCAAGAAATCTCATTTTTTTTTTTTTTTTTTGGTTAGCAAATTCTCCTTTTCTCATCGATATTTAAAAATAATAGACACGATAGGGAATCCCCCAACATACAAGAAAACGTAAAAAATAAACAGGCTAATAATTTTCTTAGATCTTAAATAAATGACCGTTGGACAGCAAAAACCCTGACTTTACAGACGCATTTTTCTGAAAGTATAAAACATGTGGGTCTCACATTAACTTAAAAAAATACCTATTATCGTATGACAATCAACGCAGACTTGGATAACTATTTCAAAAACAACTATTTTAACAGTTTTTTTTTTGGCGCCAGATCCCTTAAAAATAAATAGTTAACAAAATCTAGAAAAAGTAATAATTTAAAATAAATTAGAAAAGTTAAACTACTATGAGCAACTTAAATATATAATTATCGTAGATGCCAGAAATAACAGTGTACTTGGTGTTATTAATCAAATCGATTTATTTGATTTTATCAACATAAACATTTTCGAATTTTAGTTTCATTATATATGCAATGCTTAGAACCTTAATTTCACCGTTTTAAAAACTAAAAATATTTTTTTTATTAAAATACAAATAAAGTAAAAATTACAAACGTTTAAAAATAAAGTAGCTAAGGACATACATCAGAGCTTAATAGGTCAGCTGTCAAAGAAAACATTTTTACGGATTTTTGAAATATCATTACTTCTATTTTAAATTGTAGTTTAATAAATGAAAAATGTATTTAAGAAACTTTATTACAACAAACTAAAACAAATATTTAGGTTATCACAGCATTGGAGACCCACAATAAACAGTTAAAAACCTTAAAACAACCCTTTTAAAAATAAAAAAAAAAATATTCGTATGGCGTATTTGACCGGGAGGGCTATAGCTAACTTATGCCAGTTTAGTCGCTTGAGGGCGCATGGCACTTTTGCCATGCTTATCGGGGTTGATGGTGTGGGTCGCCGCTAAAAATATCCGGATGGTCACCCATCCAGGTTCAAGCAGCAACGGCCACAGCTTAACCTCAAGTGCCATGCGGCAGCTGAGGTGTCCACTGCGCCACACCGCCCCGATACTTTTATAATTTGAATATTAAATAAATAATAGCAGAACATTGTATAGATTATTTTTTGAAACTCATTTTTCAACAATCAATTTTATAGGTAGTTGACACAAAATATTACCTAATATTAATTTCTCATCTATCGAATTAAAAAATATATATACATTAATAACTTTATTTAGTTATTAAAACAACACTAAAAACTCATCATTCCAACTAAAGTTTAACGACTTTCAATTCGTGTACATAATTATAATTATTTCTAAAATACATCTTTTTAAATAAATATGTGTGTATATTATGTAACTATGCTTATTAATAACTTAAACAGAGGGCTGTTATAAGATATACATAAGCCTATCGAGTATTGACTGACATGAGTGCAAATCCCAGGGGTACTAAGCATCCTTAGCCTCCCTATTATAGCATTAGCACCCCCAATATGGAAATACCCTGGTCATTTGTTCTACAAATAAATTTAAATATTTCGTCGTTTTCAAATCATAATATGTACATTAACACAGTATAACCAACTTGGTAAGTAGCATCTTATCAATTTTTTATGGTTTCGAGAAAATGTTCTACTTTAATACAATTTCATTTAAGATTCATAAAAACATAAAAATAATAATTTATCAAGTATATAGAAATTACAGTAACAGATGTTAATGAATTAATTGATGTTTAACTTTTCATAACTCATTTGTCATTTAATCACGATAAAATATTTCAAAATATTACCTTTAAATATTAGAAGCCTAAATACAGGATAAAAGAGTTGTTTCATCCACATATTTGTTTGTATAATGATAAAGCACATCATAATTTATGCTTCAATAAGTCCATGATATGCATCTTAATTACATTATGAACTAAAACAATGACATCAAAACTCGTTAAAAATAAATCAGAAGAGATGATGACAGAGTAGCAATTCACAGCATTTTTCTTCAAGGTTTTCCTTCTGGTAACCAGGTGTGTTGAGCAGATAAATGATCCATGTAGAAGACTAATTTAAATGCTTTATAGAAGAATTACGAAAAAATAAACAAAATTGAATCTGAAATTTAAAATTAGTTTATTTGCATGCCATAAGTCGTGTCATAGCATGCCAATAATACTAAATAAAATATTACAAACATTTATGTTTGCTAAACATATAAATAACGTAATTTTGTTAATTCATACAAATATCCCAAATTAATCCACTAGTATGACGGCGATGTCTCAGCCAGTCAATTACCTGGACAAATACAAATAATATATTTATTTAAATGATGTTTGAAACTGTAATAGATTAATTCAGTGTTTCTTAATATTATACACGCTAACATCTTACTTGTATAAAAGATAAAAAATATATTTTGAATACCTAAAATTTCAATTTGTTTTATATTATAAAATATAACTATAAGAAAAAAAATGTTCCAACATACAAAATGAATCAATTTTTCTTAAATTCATTTTGAATATTAATTTCAAAATATAAAACAAATTGAGAAGTACTAGCAGTGGTGGCGCCAGGCTATTTTATTGAACGGGCAAACATTTTCCTTAGTGAGCAAAATATGAAGTTGCAATTTTATAAAATAATTAGAAATGAGCAAAATACCCCACCCACCCTTCAGGCTGGCGCTGCCCTTTAGTACTATTTATTTCTAATATGATTTTAAACTTTGTTATTACCTACTGTTTAAAAATAATTGTTAAATTAACACTTACCTTAATTACAATACCGCTCAACTGTTTGGAACTGTATTAAGCTTTTCAAAAGTACATTGTAAAAAAATTTAATTACTTTTCAAAAACTTTCTGAGGAATATATAATTATTATCCTAACACGAATCAACCATTACCATGTGTGTATTCATGACATTACCATAGAATTATACTGATGAACCAAAAATATATTTTAGTGAAAGTTGTTAACATATATTATAAGTTTTCCAGATTACAATATGAAAAATTGTAAGATAATTATAATTTTAATTATTTATGAGCCATCTGTATATTTACTCATAATATGTAACACACACACAGTTTTTATGTTTGGACTGTTTATTTAATTAGGGTCTTTTATACTGAATGTGTATAGTATTCCATAACATAATTGAAATTGTCCTGAAATACAACTTTGAACAAAATTAATTGTAAAAAGTAAAAAAAAACATTCAAGTTTTTAGTATCAGTACTTAATTATTTTAGTTTGATTTAAGATGATTAATTGTTATCATAATTATCATGTAGCTTAACAGGCCATCATTAGGTTTCTTGACAAATCTGGGACGGGTTAGTCTGCGTCAGAGAGGAAGATGGCATCTCTTTTTCACAAGATGATTTCTCGACCGGCAAACAAAGCGCCTGTGACAGAATGTCAACAGGCGACAGTAAGCGCCAAACACTGACTCCTCTAAAACTCGTCCTCCTCCTAATTAACTTATAAGCAATTGTAAATTACATATTTTAAAGGCAAAAGAAGTATACTTTTTATATTCATAGCACTGATACCAAAAACTTAAGAAATATATAAAATACTAATTTAAAATAATAATTCTTACGTGGTAGTTTTTTAATGTCTGTTGGAGAGTTTTTAGGTTTCTTTTCATTTGGCGAGTCTGAAGGTGGTGATAAACTTCTTTTTTCTGCTTTTGATAATGACAGTGGAGTTAAACATTTAGATGTTTTTTTGGATTTAAGAGGAGGAGGTGGAGCTTGCTCTTCAAGACCAGTACTTCTAAATTTTGACTTAAACGTTTTAACAGTTGGTTTTTTCTCTCCTATATATTCTTTTTTTTCTACATGAATTGAATAATTTTTCTTTTCTAATAATGTTTTAGATTCTGGTAATTTTGGCTTGGGTGCTGGTGGAGGTAAAGGTCTTGGTTCTTTTTTTATTTCATTTGTAGTTTTAGTATCGTTATCACTTGCTTTGTCTTCTGATAATTTATCTTTCATCAATTTATCTTCAGAGGAAAAAGTTTTCAAATTTTGTTTTCTCCGGCTATTTGAATGCTTTGATGAGTTAGAACTATCACTTTCTGAAACTTTATCATCATCAGATTTTTCTACTTTCATTTCATTAATTATTCTTAAAAATGGATTACTATTCTTTTCTTTAGTCTTAATTTTTTTTTCTTCTCCATCTTTTTTCCATTTTTCTTTTTTTTCTTCTTTATTTTTATTATTAATTAATTTTTCTTTGCGAATTATAATGTCATTTTTTTTCATTTTTCTTGTCTTCAATAAGCTATCTTCAATTTGATTTTCTGGAGGAATAACTGAATCAGTTTTAGTTGAACTCATTTCATTTTGAACAGATTCAGATTTTGGTAATGAACCTAATGAGTTTTCAGATTTTGTTTGACCATCTTTATCATTCATCATACTGTGCCAATGTTCAGTTTTAACTACTGTTAACCACTTATCCACCAATTCCTGTGCTAGTGACTTTACTTCTGAAAATTATAAATTATATACTTGAAAATTTGATATATAAAATAGATATTTTTATGAATAATAATAAACACTTTTATTACAGTGCCAGGCTACAACTTGATTTTTTACTTAACCCTTAGTTAGTGACATGTAGTATCTCGTACATTTCTGATTATTCTATATCAATTTCATTCTTATCAGTTAAAACAAAACATAGATTGTAGTAAGTAATTATGTATATATGTTAACGAATCTTTAGTATACAAATTTGTTTGGTGTTAATCAAAAACTTAAAAGGACGTCATACACTCATACCCTTATTTAAAGGTTAAACTGTGATGTGTAATTATTAGTTTAGTAATTAGTGCTCTATTTAGTAGTTTATTAGTTTTTCGGACTACCACAGCATCCTTTATAGCGGTTTAAAAAAAAAAAATCCATCGTAACATATAGCTTCGCATATTCTCTATTAAGTACTGGTTAAATAATAATCAGACTTTTTACATATTTAACTAGGTTCTCTCCTCGGCTTTTTTAAAAATAATTTACCCAACATTCACAATTTATATTTTAATTTTGACATTTTTTTACTTTATTAAGTGCTTGTATTTAATTAAGGTAGAATTTAATTTTTTTTTTTTAACCAACGATAACCTAGTTAGTACTTTTTAATGGTACCAAACATATTTTTTCCACGACCATTTTACTTTGACCTACACGCTTTTCTATAAACAAATTGTTATGATTATTTTTTAAGAGTATGACATCCCCTTAAGGTACAACTATAATTGAATAAGTAGCAGTATCACTCATCGCTAGTTAAGGGTGAAAAGCTTTCTTTATAAGAATAACAATAACAGTATGTAGAATAGTCAGATATTGATCATTTGTGTTCCTAGTTCCCCACAGATACCTGATTTTGTGTTTAATTACCAAAAATAACAAAATATATGTATTGTTATATTATAAATATCAATAAAACATTTATTTTATTACCTTTTACTTAGGCTACAAAAATCAAAATTTTATAAATCAGATGTATGTCAACTGTAAAAGTCTTTCTCATGAAAACAAAGAAAAAATTATCATAACTTGACTATCTTATGAATCTGTAGTGTTTTTCACCACCAAAGTAGCTCTCGTAGAAAAACTGTGTTATACATTATATTTTAAAGTTAATAACTTGAAAATAAGTTGGAATGATCAAATCTTAACACATCTTTGGTCAAATATTGCATATATTATGCCTCTTAAGGAAATAGCCTCAACTACTTGTCCTGAAGTTAGGGTTACATATGTCTTGGAAAACTACTGACAGTCTTGGTTTTCTAAGACATATGGCAAACCTACCAACAATATAAGAAAAAGTAACATAAAAATGGCTTATTTCACCTAGCAATAAAATCTTTGAAGCAAAAAAAAAACGTGAATCTGTAGGTAAATACCTACAAGTGTTAGTTTGAATAACAATACACTACACTGCTCTAGGGGTCTGGTAGAATAAATCAATAGAATAAATACAGAGGTTTGTTGAGTCGAATGTTTTTTGTTAATAAAGGCTATTAAAAGAAAAAAAGAAAAAATACAGGAACTTAAAATTATTTTTTTCTTTATAATTTATGTTTATTTTTAATTGAATCTTAACATGTTAATGCATAACAATGTTTAAATTATGTAACTATTGATATGTTGCATATTTGTAAAGAAATTGTATCCTTCAAAGTTTCATTATAAAATATACTAGCTACCCGTGTACTCGGCTTCGCCCGGGTTAATAAATACCAGTTAACAGAAGTGATACATTATTATTTATAGCAACTCGGCTACGCTTTGCTGTGGCTCAGTTATAATACGTTGAATTAATATTATAGTAAACTATTCATCAATACAGTAAAATTAATATTGACGAATAAAGATAAAAATGTTTGAAATAAAAACTTGGCACCATCTATTGGATGCTGACCCAACTTAAATAACAAAAGATGTTGAAGTGTTGTGTCAATAAATTAACTTACACCGTCATCTGTTCGAAACTTATGAAACTTCCAAATAATTAAAAACCCTATGTCCTATAATAAACATTTAATTTGCAATAAAAAAGTATTGAGGTCATTAATCGAGATAAAAAATATCCCATCTCTCAAGTTGGACCAAATTACACACAGTGTACAAAATTTCATCAAAACCGGTTAAGTAGTTTTGGAGTTCATCGCGGACAAACTTTGTGACACGGGACTTTTTATATACGAGGGAGTACCCAAAAGTAACCGAACTATTTTTGTACAAAGTGATTTATTTAATTTTTTTACAAAAAAAACATTAATTTTCTTCAAAGTACTCTCCAGTTGAATTAATACACTTGTCTAACCCTTTATTCCACTGTTCGAAATATTTTTTTAATTCATTTTTTGTGATGTCTGCTAGCGCCTCCGTCTTTTTTGTCTTTACTTCAGTCACGTCCGCAATTTTCATTCTTTTTGTGTTACTTTTCATTCGAGGGAATAAAAATAAGTCACAGAGGCTAGATCAGGTGAATAGAGGGGGGGGGGCATGGGGTACAATGTTCATACCAATTTTGTTCGAAAATCGGTGCACAGAGAGGGCTGTGTGAGCATTGTCGAGGTGGAAAGACCAGTCCTCCGACTACCACAAATCGGGGCTTTTCTATCGTGAACTGTTGTTCAATCATTTCAAAACTTCCAGGTAATAAGCCTGTTTAACTGTCTGATCCGGTGAAACAAACTCTGAATGGACGACTCCTCTCACATCGAACATTTTTCGAAATTCTCGTTATTTCAGGCCGTCGAAGGACATCCAGAGAGGGGTTGATCATTAATTGATATAGCCACACTTTTAAATGGAAAACCACACAAACACTTGAGTTTTCCCCATAACATCATCTTTGTAGGCCGCTTTTAAAATTTCAAAAGTTTCTGTGCCAGCTTTCCCGAGCAGGAAGCAAAACTTAACAGCCGCGTGCTGTTCGCAAAAATCAGCCATCACAAAAACGACGAGCGCGCAAAACAACCGTCACAAAAAAATTAACCCAAGCAAAACAGAACCTTCTCCAGTGATGAAACTTGGCATACTGACTGGTGTATAAGTAGCTTTAAAAGCTCTTACTAGCAAAACCCCGTATTATAAAAACTCTGCCCCCCACAACATCAGTTTGGTTTCTTTTGGGTACCCCCTCGTATATATAAGATATCCACCTATATATCGGTATGTTAAAGCACACAAGTGCTATGTCCATTTTTTTCAAAAGTGTGATTTTGATTTTTGGGTACCCCTGAATTTTTGATAAAAAACTGAATCTAATGAACACTAGTGTTATGTACAAAGAGCATAATTAATTGTTCAACTACAAATAACTGTAAAACTCTATATCCTTTGTGGATTTTTTTTTTTAAAGCTTAAAGGTTAAACTCTATACCTCAAAACCATATGAAGTGGACATAGCACTTGTGTGCTTTAAGGTATCGATATATTATATATGTACGAGTGGAAGTTAGGTCTTTGAATAAACACAAATAAATAAATAGATTAAACATACTACTATTGATAAATACATAAGTTAATACAACAATAGAATATACTATTACAGAGAAATAAAATTAAGTAGTATTTATAACCACTTTGTACTATGATTATAGAACAGACATAATGATCCCTTAAGCTATGGTTCCCTAAAAAATTGGTAATATTTTGTGGTGCGGTGAGTGTCTTTTACAGCCGTCTTTTATGGTGACCAGTTTTTATTCACTCACTGCACTTCACTTATAAGAAGAAACTGACGTTCAAACCCACTTTATTGTTTATTTGTTATTTACTTACCAGTATCAGCACACGATTTGGATAACTTTTTAACTAATTTTGGACCACCATTAGCTTTCAATCGTTCCATTGTAACAGGTACTATGTGAAATATTGATAATAAATCTCTTATTAACACAATGTTATCAGTTTCAACAGCATCTTTTAACCACAAATATATTAAACCCCAGCCACCAGCATCCATAAATCTGAAATAAAAATGATTTGAGCAATACATTAAATTATATTCATAATTCTTACTCTAAAACTAATATTAAAATATCATTGATATCATTAGAACAAGAGTTCCCAAACTTTTTGGCCAGCAGTGCCCTTTTTCAGCCTAATTGAGCTGCAGTTCTTCTGCTCTCTAAATATAAAACCTATATTTGTTGTATACTAAGTAACAGAGTACTAGGGAATAGGTACGCCTACTATTCATGAATACCATCAGGAATATCATTCTTATAAAATTTAAATTTAAATTAACAGAAAAATAGTTACAATAATTTATTTTTTCATATGTCTCGTGCTGTCCCAACAGAACACCAGTATACAGTTTGAGAACCCCTGAATTAGAAATATCTGAATATCTTTAAGAAACTTAATATAGCAAGCATACTTTTCAACTTATACACTATCCTATATAAGAAAGGTATTGCACAGAAACGAAAAGGTATTACTCTCATATGTGCCTACGCAGCCAGGAGTGATGCGTTTTGGTTTTTGCACACTAACTTTTTTATATGGGGTAGAGTAAATCATATTAACCATCCAAGTGCACAAAAAAAAAATTTCAAAATATGCGCACACTTTATGTATGAGACGGGTAACTACCACCTGTATGCCCAGACGAATGTTAAATATAATCAAGTTTTTATTTTTTTTTAGCAAAACTAATAGTTTTTAATTAATATATACATTAATACATTTCAATAAAAGTTATGAAAAGTTTAATTAGTTAAAACTTAAAACAAACTAAGATTTTTGTAAATAATTATATCTTGATAAAACTTACATGTTCAGTAGATTTGGTGTAGATTTAGTTTCTTTTAAAATGAAAACATATAGACTTTTACTGACAATTTTTTTAGAAAACTTTCCCATTAACCTGAAAAAAAAAAACAAAAATATACTTATGATATAACATATTAATTGTTTTAAAACTTCAAAACTAATTAAAAATTATGAATTTTTTAAAGCATTCATGGACTGAAATATTATTAACTTTATAATATTCAAATGTATCTATACTCCGAGCACTTTAAGAAGATACCTGCGCGGTGGACCAAAACTCGTTAGTCGCCGCCTAGGTCGTATCTGTATGCACAGTAGGGCGGTGCCAAACTAGGACGATGTTGCGGAGTGGAAACTGGTCGCCGCCGACTCGACATCTTCTTAAAGTGCGCAGAGTATATATTTCTGATTTGTTTCTGACAGTTTAGACTCATTGCAGAATCCACTTCATAACAATAGAAGTGGCCCCCTCCCTTGACCTTTTTTTTTATTGTTAAGACATTGGTAAGAAACAGGTTTTATGCAAATATATTTTTTTAGTGGCCTATGTGTAGGAGGAAACATCATAATTTTATAACAGAACATTATTCTATTCTAATAGGTCATACAGCATATTAATTTTTTCTCCAACAAAATGGTTAATTAATTTAATAGTCGCCCTTTGTTTTTTAAATAATTTCTTATCAGTGTTCATACTATTAAATTATTCTATATTATTACTCGATATATCATAATTCATAATTAATAAATTATTAATCAAAAATTATACATATAATATGTAGCAAGTACCTAAAATACATTTATTATATCAATATATTTTGTGGACATTTTTCTTAAATAAATAAAAATTAAGGAAATTTGTATTTAAATTGTGATTTGTTTAGTAGTTTGGTAGGTATTATACCAAAAAAGAGTTATGAAGTATAATGACTGCTAATAACAAATTTAGGCGTGCCCATATAATAATCTTAAATCTGCCTCTGTTTATACTCTTTGATTACTTCTTCCAATATTTTTTTCAACCAAACTACTTCACCCTAATAAAGAACTGTAGGTACTTAAACTTTTTAAAATCTTTTTATCAATAAATATTGTATCCACCTTAAGGTATTAATTTTTATTAATATTATTAGTTCTAAAAATACAGTTAAAAGCGTATTATAATAATTTATATCAATACTTAATATTTCTGTTATTTCTAGATCTGGATAGAAGCGTTACTTAGAGAGAATTGTATCACTATTAGTTAGAATAATTTCTACACTCCGCTAACTATACCAGCCACTATGCTTTATCACCCTATCACCCAACCCCACTGTGCAGTATTTTTTAAGATAAATTCAGAATTTGTGGGCAGAACATATCAGTCTTCAATTTATAATAAAATGGAATAACTTGTATCTCAGATCTATAACGTGCATAGTGTTTACATACCTAACAATAGCAAAACAGGTTAGGTATTTGTAAATCTAACTTAATTTAATAAATTTGTTCACTAGTATTTTAAAACAGCCATTATATAATTGGTTGTGTAGGGGCATCAATCATAAATATTTGGAATATTAAAAAAAAAAGTGAAATTCTATTCATATTTAAAACCACAAATTATGCTAAGGTTTTTTTTAGACTAAACAAATTGTTTATTTATTAATCTAAGAGTAAAAACAAAGGACCCATAGACCAAGATGGTTCTTCTGTTTCTTTTAAAATATTAATGAAAAGTTGCAATGAATATTAAGTAATCTGACTAGTATTTTATAAGCATTTTTCTACACAGCTTATGTAATGACTACCTATATAATCGTAAATTGTATCGTAATCTTCACCTACCAAAAAACAAATGGCCATAGTTGCTACAGCTAAAAAAAAACCCTACTAAATAGTAATGAAAGCGACAACATTTTACACCCTGGGGCTACTATGGGCATTTTTTAAATATTTTTATACTATAATAAATTTCATAATATACACACATTTGTATTTTAAAAAGAAAATATAAATTAAATAATTTTCATGAAATTTAATTTTGATCTATAATAAATTTAACTAAAATAGTACAGTGACCACGAAAACACTTTACATTTTTAAAAATGCAATCTAATATTAATTTTTCAAAACAAATTTTTTTTTAACTTATGTCACATGTTTGTGGGTTTATACCATTTATTTAACAGCAATTTAAAAAAAAAAAATGTATTTAACTTGATATTATGTAATATGGTGTTTGTTGGTGTAAGCCATTTACTTCAAGTAACAAACATGAGGTCAAGAAGGTGATGTCCGTCTTCCGTGAGGCAATTTTCAATTCTTTCGAGGAAGTTCTTCCACACTCGTTCTAGTGTCTCCCTCGTGATTAGTGCCACCTCTGTACGAATTGCCGCTTTAAAATCATCCAAAGTACAGAGTTTATGTTGAAAAACATTCTCCTTTAAATAACCCCACAAAAAAAATTGCATATGTTTAGGTCTGGAGAACAAGTAGGCCAAGGCACATCTCCAAATCTTGAAATCACGTGACCTGTAAACAAGTTCTGCAGCAAGTTAATCGAAATCCATGCTGTATGCGCAGTTGCTCCATCTTGCTGGAACCATATGTCCTGTTGCAAGTTGAGGCTTTCCAGTTGAGGGAGGAAAACGCATCAATCATATCCACATTCGAGGTAGCTGTTACCACTACTACACCCTCTTCAAAAAAAAAAGGACCAATAACACATTGTCTTAATATTGCACACCACACAGTTACGAGTGTGGAAGAACTTCCTCGAAAAAATCGAAAATTGCCATAAAATAAATGGCATACACTTGTGGCTTACACCCACAAACATGTAACATACTAAAAAAAATGTTGTTTGAAAAATTAATATTATTTTGCTTTTATGAAAATGTAAAGTGTTTTTGTGGTCACCCTGTATTATGTAAGAAATGGCAGTATCCATAGATAAATATAAGAAATAATATTATAATAAGTTAAGAACCTATGTACTGACTCACCAGAGATGGAAGTACAATAAGTTTAAAAGCTCATTTAAAAACATACATTAAACACACTTTTTTTCCTTTTTAATTCTATACTTATACTTATTTTTATTATTATTAACTCATTGACAGGCGATTTGCCAATACTAATAGTATAGCAGTAATATTTTCAATAGTCTCTTATGAAATTGACATTATACCTACTGATAGGCATTAGGCACTATCAACATATATATTTGTGACAACTGTTGATAAGTGTGTGTCGAATTTTGGTCAAAATTGACAAAGTACGCTAGGATGTAGTCCGAAGCGCCTAGCACCTTGAATAACTGTCTAACTTGTTGGACCATCAAGAAAACCTTGAAAGAGATGTAAGTTCCTGATTATTACATGCTGTTTTATGGCAGCTGGTCAGTTAAAAATTGCTTCCCTATAAAATCACTAAAATCGACTTACACACTTATTCACAATTGTTACAGATATAATGTAATTGAAAGTCTATAAATGTTTAATAAACGTTTTAGATACCAAACAATCCCTAGATTTAATTCCTACAGTTAAATCTATTTTATTATATGTTTTATGTAAAAACATTAATTTTATTAATGCACTTTTATTATAGTCATTATGCCAATAATTAGTCTACAGTTTTATATTACAACTGTATTAGATAATAATACCAATAAACATTGACAAACCAAACAAATATCATATATGATTTTCCCCAAAAAAGGGACGAAGTTTTTCTTTATTTTACTTTTTCAGGTGAAGTTTTAGAGTTTAAGGTCTGAAAATTAGACCAAACATACATATAAAATGGAGCTATAATATATACAATTTTCTCAAAAATCTTTAGTCAAACATTTTTTTCATTAAGGAAAAGCAAAAAAAAAAAGGGAATATTACATTTTGATCAGTCAGTTTCTACGTGTGAGCAACATAACAGTTAACAGGTATTTAAAAATATTTTCATTGCATTTTTAACATTGACAATATAATTTATGGGTAACTATGGAAATAAAATATTATAGACTCTCAACCTTAATACTAAAATAAATTTTTAAAAAAACTATTGGCAATAAATACAATGCTTTTATCAATATTTGTATCTCTACAATACGATTTTCACATTGAAGCATTTATTTGGAAGTAATTTTATCACTTTTAGTTATAATAACTCATATAGACCTATGACCTACCCTACACTCATATGCTCTGTCCCTACTGTACTAGCTTTTTTTATTTATTATGTTCATAGTGTTTCTAGTGTTCTCAGTATATAGGCCACACAAACCAAAAACTTATCTAAAAGAATTATATAAATTATTCTTCAAAAAATGTATTACAATCGAGTGGTTTTTATATTTTTAACCATCTTAGTAGCTAAATAATTTTAATAATTGCATTGATAGTAAAATATTTTTAAAGCTGTTCTTACCTAGATATTTGTATTGCTTCTGCAGGACCCTTAATCCCTCCTGTTTCTTCATTCAGTAATACTTTAAGACAGTTGAGCAACTGCATTGGATCAATTGGTGGCTAAAGTATAGAAATAATAAAAATGAATCTAACGTCAAAGAATAATCAAACTAACACTAAAGAACAGTAACATACGCCCAATTATGAAGTCATAAAAAATACTAATTTCCCTACAACTACTAGTCTGCACAATAAGATATCATTTTTAATTAATGAATACCTAATTATAGTTACTTTGTAACATTTAACTTATCTAAAAAGGATCATTTTTTTCAAAATAACTTGCAATTCTTAAGTATATTTAATTCATAACTATATTTACCAAATAACGTTAGTTATTCATTCAAATTGCATTTAAGTTGAGGAATTTATATACACAAATTTAAAATAATATATTTAGAAAAGAAGCTTCAGAATTCATCTAAACTTTGGCATTGATATTATAAAATTAGACATTTATTCAATCCATTTATGTTTCAAAGTAAATTTTATTATTTGAGAATTTAGAAAAGTTAAGTAAAAAATTATTAAAATAAAATTATTTTAAACTTAAATATTACAAATAAAATTTTAGGGTATTTTAATAACTATTTATAAACAAGATTTATTTTTCCAACTACCGTTTTTTGCCAATGAATTAATGCCAAATAAATGAATATTAACTATATTGTACGTTAACGTATACTAATAAAACAATTCAATAATTTAAACATTTGGCATAATATGCATAAATGAAAACTACACATTACAATTATGTACATCAAAATATGGGAAATACTATCTGTATCGTTGATTATTTAATGAAAGTAAAACCATTAACAGTTCAAAGGCAAACACATATATTTATATCTTAATGTTTTCTAAAACCGAGCTACTGTTAACATTTTGATTATTTCCAGACATTACTTTGATTCAAAGGAGTTATTAAATAATATATAGTCGGGAGTGATTTTTTTTATAGAAAGTTAAATATGTATTCAAGAGAATTAACACTCCGGTCGCTGCTTCATTGAATAAATATATACTTTATAAAATAAATATCACAACAATGATTTTTTACGAATCGTGCATCATTAACCTGTATCGTGAATACAAGAACCAATTAGGCGTATGTCAACCAAGGTTAAATGTAGAGCATAACATCCGCCTGTTAACTTACCATGATGTTTTTAAATCGTCTCAATATTTTACAATATATTATAACATAATTCAACGTATTTTAACAATAACTGCCATCAAAATCTTTCCAATACTGCGTATGAACTAGTACAAAAGTGTTCTGCGATAGTGTTAATAATTACACACATACATTAATCGCAGAACAATTGAAAAAAAAATACTTCCAAAATGTGTAACGTAATAAGTAATCAACATAATATTTGGATTGCCTTGTGCTTTAAAAAGGTTAAAAAAAAATGGCGGCAGACGATTATGTGTAATCTCGACTCTTCTGAAGTAACGTTCGGTGCCGCGTTTCCTTTGTCATTGGTTTCATGGCGTGAAAGATATTTGCTTTACGCTTAGAAATTACGTGTACTGATGAAAATACAAAAAATGCATTACATAAATGTATTGATAATTCCGAAAATATTCATAAATATTTTTTATATTCGTGTCCGACAAAACGTATACTGAATAAAAGTTGAATAACACTTCAGAACTCTGACAATGCTGCGTGGCCGTATCTGAAAAAAAATTATCGACGACAACTGAACTATACGAAGTATGCTGTACGAGCACCAGAGTCCGGACCGTTCACCGTGTTGAGTGTAGTGATATTCATTCAACGTCTGCGGAGTGCGGAGCAGGGAGCTCAACGTCGAACGCTATTGGTAGAAACTAAATTGAAAAATCATTACTTTCGAGTTTCGAGTAGCGACCGTGCTTCATTCCCCTTCCACCAGTCACTATAGTCTATACTACTACCTCAGGCCTCTTATTGCTTGAACCTTTATAGACCGCTGTACCTACCTTGGGCGGTCAGGAGTTGGAGCGTATAGTACAGAATATGCGTGAACAAATTACAGTAGAGCCAACTGTTACAATTCAGACTGATAACAGCTTTTCTATTTTGCTCAACTCTCAAGATCGTCGTTTCCAATAAATAAAATATTAAAATCTGCGTTCATATTGAAGCAGTCATCTAAATTTAGTTTACTTAGCCGGGAGTAGTGATGGGCAGAAAGAGTAGAAATGCAATAACCTAGTATATTTAAATCATGGACCTACAGTACAATTATACCGACTATATCAATACCACGATCACAGATATATATGTAATAAACTATTTATATATATATTATATATATATCTATGACCACGACAAAGTAGTTTGTCATAATCAATACTAGTAGGTATACACTTAGTTGTAAATGTCAAAATTGATTTTAATAGGTACCTATATAACTTTTAATTATCGTTTTTATGATACATCGTATTTTGTCCATTCCTAATACAAATATGTCGATACCAATACTATCATCCAATTTATATGCGTATGTACAAATAACATCATTTATTTTTTTATGTTAACTAAAATAAATTCTAAATCTTTAACTTAATAATATTTATAATAGATGAGCAAAAACAATTGTGTTGCTCCAATTTATTAACGGAAAAAACATTTACAGGGTCGGCCGCTTACAAATCGGCTCTTTGAAAACGATCAGGAGCAGAATTTGCTCTTCCCCCCCCCCACGTGCACATGCCTATGATCCAGTTGTAAATTTTCAAATATATCGACACTTTTATAATTGGATATATAGCTCATCGTTAGCCGTAAGTTAAGTATGTTTTCCTGCTTTAGTTTTCTTACTTCCAGTCAAATAAACTAAATTTCGAATTTAACATGACTAAATTTTACTGTGATTTTTATATGACTGGCAACAGCAACAATCATGAAGTTACTACAGGCATTTTAGAATTCGTGTACATAATATTTAGAAGTGATATTGAATAGATTATAGAATACATGGTGATAGTTGATCACTAAAGTAATCCAATATATCTCCTAAAAATTGCAACTTCAATACCTACCGAGTTTTTATTTTTGAAAACTTTCTTGTTTATTGCCGAACGGTGACTATAATACCACGTACCTCAAAAAAGTTAGTCTCACTAATATGCGTTTGTAAAATTAATAAATGATATTATCGACTGTTAAGACTATTTGGCTTAAGCAGCGACCTTATGACGCTTAGATAGAGCTGACTCTACAGTATTCAGTCTGGCATCAATGTACTAAGTACAATTTACTTTATCGAAGTGTTTATCGTAAGCGCCAAACATTTTTAGTGTTGTAAATACTTGGATCGTAGCATTCGTAAGCAGTATTTGGTATTGTAGCTTGTAGGTTAAAACATACATGATTTTTTGTGAATAGTTTTTGGGCTCCCTCGAACCATTTGGGTTTCGACGCTTAATTTAATTTTCTTGAGGATTTGTAACATAGAGTAATGACTAACTGATGTAACCAGCTATAAGATATACATTTTGGTATATCTTTTAAATATATTATTCAACTTTGCGGTAACCGCGGTAACGTCTTGGTAGACACGATCAAAATGTATCTACCATGATAATATGAGCCAATCAGAAAAGAGTATTTCACACAAAACGACACGACGAGTTGAGGACTAGCCTTTAATGTTTATATATTTGATAACCTGGTTGTTACCGAAAAAATACATGACGTATATTATTAACAACCACTATGGTTACTAGGTCTAGGGAACATATTCTGACCATCTCGGAACCATGATATATTTAACAAGGTATGTTTTTAGCTTATCAGCCGCGCATTTTTGCTGGTGGTCACTGAATGAAACGACAAAATTTGTTTACTTTTCCAAGAAAAATTATTCGGTTATCATGATAATAACCACAGATTACAAAATATTATAATATATCTGTGATAATAACCAACCGGCCACCGCTATTTTACGATAACAAAAACATCTAAGACCACCAGCGTGAACTAGGACCAAAACTCGTATTTTTGTGATAAGCTAAGAACATACCTTGTTAAGTTGTTAGTTATATCATGCTCAGCCATCTATGACCGATCATCCTATGTATGTAAATTATTAATCACAATTTACACTACTGAAGACGAGGTCATAATGGCCACTTTTTATTTTAATTAAATAAAATAAAACACCAGTAATCAACGATTTATTGACCTTTGAGTAAATATTATCACACAACGGCCAGAATCCAGACGTCTATATATTATATGATTACAATTAACATTATCCATGCCATTTCATTAAATTCATAATTTTTGTATTTAAATTTACATAAAATAGAAATTGTAATTTTGTAATCAATTATTTATACATAAAAACTAAAACAAATTTGGAGTTTCGTTAAATTTTTTTCTATTCACAATTTTTAAACTTTTAAAACTTTGACCACCTTTGGTAAAAATTTTAATAAATAGTGCCATCTGAGGCAACGGCCAACGCCCTTTAACTAGGTAATTTTTAATTTCTTTTACTATTTTCTCATTAATTCTAACATCAATCATGGATAGAGATTCAAAAAAATTGGTTCAAAAACTAATTGTTGATGCTATTTGTTTGGGCACAGGTAAGAAAACCTACAAAAAAAATTATAAATGTGAACTTTTGATTTTGTTTGTAGATGATGATAAAAAAATATGTTTTGAGTTAGAAAAACTAAAAAACCGGGCACTCTTCTTTTGTAATTTTATTTTACAACCATAGCTGTCTTACAGCTCGATATACTTATGTACTAAGCAACAGGACTCAGCTTTGCCGGACACTGCGAAAACTAAATCTTCCGGGCCCTTTGCAATTTATTTTTATTGCAGGCCCGGGTTCTTTAAAAATAGACTTAGGGCTGAGTCCCGGACATATGACCCGAGAAAACCGGTCTGAATATGCCCCTGCTAAGCAACAACTATTATTGCCCAAGTTCTCATGTGCTAAAACTTTTAAACCAATTTTGACATGAAATTATGCTTTTATTATATATAAATATAATATATTATGAAATTGATGTCCAAAAAATATGCAAATTTTTTTATTTTAAATAAAGGATGATAAATCTATAAAATACTCTCTATTAGTTGTAATGCACATGTCCCATTTCCGTATTTATTTCTCAAAACATATCTCGTAATACTGAGGAGTTAGTTCTTCATTTGCCTAGTCCATTCGCGTTTGATGGAGTTCTCCCCATAAAACAAAATGACCTGTACATTATCTGTTTTTTTTTTTGGTTATCTTAAAAAATTCATAAGTTTTTAATGTGTTTGCCTTAAATGTCGTGATATTAAGTTGATACTCAATTTTTTCCATACCCTCTTAGTCATAGCTGTTGTTACCACATTTACGGCTGCATGACGGACGGATAGGTGCCATTGAGAGGGGTGCCTTAGTTGGTGTTTAATTTTTGTATATTTACTCGTTTTGAAAATATAGCTTTTCGAAACCCAAGAAGGTTTCAATAGCTGTTATTCAAACAAAATTTAATTTTTTAATTATTTTATTTTTCAGTTGGCTTTTCAGTTTTATTTTTTTATTTATGGGGTTCTCCATATCATAGAGGGTTCTTTTGTAGCGATTTATCCATTCGTTATCCATTCAAGGAATCAACAGTTCCATCAAAATATTTATACTTAATTGGATTAGGATTACCAACTTCAGCGGTAAATAAAATGCATCTAAGTATTTATTTATTTATTTTACAATCATTGAATACTTGTTTCTAATTTAATTGTAAAATTGTTTACATTTTTTTAGATTTTGTTATTAGAATATTTGTATCGAAGTTCTGAACAAGCACGTCATTCGCTGTTAGGGACAAATATTCCCAATTGGATTTATTCAGCTTATAATAATATTCTATGGTTCTTATTTGGTGCTGCCTGTTCACAACTGACTACTGATGTTGGCAAGTATACTATTGGTAGATTGAGACCTCATTTCATAGACATTTGTCAGCCTAGCGTTGAGTGTAAAGATGAAAAAAATGAGCTAAAATATATTGAATACGCTGAATGTACTGGTCCCTTGACTCACAAATATACTGATAGTCGACTATCATTTCCATCTGGGCATTCTTCACTATCTTTTTACTGTATGGTTTACTTAGCAGTAAGTATTTACACTTATGACTAGAATTAAAATAATTATAATTCTAATAAAAGGTGATTTTTAGTTATACTTACAAGCACGAATTAAAACAGCAAAATATGGAATGGCTAGAAGTTTTTTTCAATTTTTGGTTTTATTAATGGCAGCGTTTTGTGCACTTTCTCGGGTTAGTGACTACAAACATCACTGGAGTGACGTATTGGTTGGAACACTTTTAGGATCAATTATAGCTGTTATAACTGTAAGCCAAATGATCAATTGTAGTGCTTATAAAACTATAAAAACTAAAAAAATTAAAATGTGATAAATTAATGTGGTAAATTGTTCTTATCAAATACCTATACACATAGTTTAATTTAAAGTAGAAACTTAACAATGATCACAGATATGTATATATTTCTACTTATGTAGTAGATATATTATTGTTTAGTTGTATTTTATATTAAGTTAAATATTTTTGAAACATCTATAATTTTATGCTGTGATATTCTATTGATCATTAACAATTTACTTGTGTAATTATAAGAATATTATTTATAAAAAAAATTTTTTAAATTGCAAATGATAAAATAAATTTATTATGGTTTATTACAATATACAATTTTGTTTGTTCAATTCATTATTAAATTTACTTATTTTTAATCTAATAAAATTGTATAAGTTAACAACTTATATACTATTAAATTGCAAATTATTGTTAAGTTACATGTACAATTTAATTCATTTATTATAAATAAAGTTAATGTTTTAGGCATTATTTGTTTCGGATTTGTTTACATCAAAATTTAAATCTTCTCGGAAACGTAATAATTCATCTGACAATGTGGACACTGCAAATGATTTTCAAACAACTGAACTCAAAGGTACAACGTAAGATAAAAACTAATAAGTATTACAACAAAGCTTTAATAGTGTATCATTAAAATAATTTATTTTAGCAATTTCTTATAATTAAAATTAAGTTAATTTCTGTAGGATATCAAAATATATAAATTATTTTAGATATGCTAAAAATGTTTTTATTACATAATATATATTAAATAATCTACAACATAATTGTTTAAAATTTAAATACTGTAGCTAAATACTCAAAGCTGCCAGCTTTGATTGAGTATTATTATAATACACGGAAATATTTTAATCATTAATTAAATTATTTATTCATTTTAATTTTTTATTATTTTAATTTAGGTAATTTGTTGTAACATTTATAAATTAACAAAGTATTGTAAAATTAAGCACAATAATATATATTTCTGAATCTTTTATAAGTGGCTTTTAACTGCTTAAGGTGCTACATAGAGTTAATTTACTTTTTTACTACAGGTATGATATTTTTGTATTAAGTTATTATCAAATGTTATATTTTTTTACTTAAAATTGGCTACGGGAATTCTATTATTTTTAAGTACTAACTAACTATAATTTAATTAAACATCTAATTTACTAGAAAAAAATTACATTTTATGTGCAAATATGTATTGCAAGAACTATTTGTCATTGTCAGCTAATGTATACATAGATATAACAATTATAAAATTGCTGATAAGAGAAATTTTTTTATTGCGGTTTAATAAGGAATTATTAACAATATTTATTAAGGCTTTTTAACAAGATCAATATTTTTAATATCCTCTTAACTAAAATTAATCATATAGTACACATTTTGTCAAATATGTACTGTACAGGCAGGGTTTCAAAATTTCATGTTTTTCGGTGGTATGCTAAAATTTTGGAAAAATCATATACCTTATACATGTTTTATTTTTATCAATCAATAAAAATTAAAAAAAATATTTTTTAGTCTAAAGCCACAATTAAGGAGGGTAATTTTTGAAACTTTTATAGTAATGCATACATTTAATTAGTTTTTAAATTAAATAATGCCCCTTATATAAGTAGAATAAATAATATACTTACCTCAAGTAACACTATAAAGTTTATTTACTAATTTTTTGAGCTTATTTAAGTAACACTAGTTTTCTACTAATTAATTGAGCTTATTAAAATATATAGTTATTTAAGTGCGAACTATATAATATATGCAAAACTTTGATTTAGTGGCCCGGTGCAAAAGTAAATTTTATGAATTTTTTCATTATCATTCTGGGTCTTATTTAAATTAAAGTTTTGTAGTATATTTCTTTTGTATGTGTGTAATTGTGTTGTATGTTACTACTTTATATAGAATATTTTTAAAGTTATATATTTTTATTATTTATTAAAATCTGGCTGGAGGTATAGGTATTATAGAAGACAATTTTTAATAGTAGGACAAATAAAATATCAGTATACCCATAATTGTCAATCGTTATCAAAGTATTAATTTCTTCTAATCTAATTTAAAAACAGTTAGTGAACTTTTATTTAAATTTTTTTGAACCTTTATAACTAGTTTGAATTGTCCAAAAGCTAAATAACAAAAAGTATATACAACCAATTTCTTTTATAGTGTATATGATAAAAGCACAACGTTTTTGAGTTCAAACCCAGCACACTTAAAAAAAAAGGTTGTTTACTCCCATTATAGAATATTGGAATAAACTTGTTTAAAGGCGGTAGAAATGAAGTACTTAAAAATTCGGTTTGTACATTGTGTTGTGCGCAATGATTATACACATAAATATAGGTAAATATTGTTCTTAAAACTTGTGATAACTATAGAAATATTTTGAGTTATTGATATATTTCAAAAATACAAATATTATTGTATTTTTTTAATCATTAACAATATTTCATTTAATATCTATGATCTCCAGCCCCAGATTTGAATAATTTTTTTAACGGCAAATTTCACTTGTGCAATATTAATCTTTTAAGTTTTATCATTTTATACTACAATTGTATCTCCAGCCCCATATTTGAATAATTTTTTAACGGCAAATTTCACTTGTGCAATATTAATCTTTTAAGTTTTATCATTTTATACTACAATTATATATTTTATTCACAGTTTATATCAAATTTTATATTATAATAATCAATTGTTGTAAATGATAATATAAATATGTTGAATATAATTACACTGACTGCATCTAATATAGTTCATATTTATGATTTTTATGCGATCATTTCAAAACAAAATGTCTTTAGTTATAAATAAAATAAAAATATAATATGTTTATTTTTTTTTATTTACAAAAATTATATGTACTTGATAAATTTTCGAAAATGTATACACTCTATATTAATCACTTCACTTGTAAATTAACAAAAATACAAAAAAAATTATGTTTTTATTTGTTTACAGCTCTTTGGAACATAATTCTTATTGATTACAATTATTATGTTGTTAAACTCTTAATTTTTTTCTCTTCTTTGCTTTATGCTAATCAAATGGAGTGATCAGCCAATTATCCATTTCACAAATCTTTTTGCCGTAATTTATTCACTTAATAGTATTATGGCTTTATATATAACTTCCACTTATTGCTTCGGTCTTCCTTTGAGACTGTATCAATTAAATTGTTTTTTAACAGTTTTAATTTTCATCCCTTCACCTTAATCTGTCCAAACTATCACATGTATTGTTTCTTTTTATTTTCACTATTGGCACAACTCCCTAACTATGTTATTTATATTTATTCCTAATTCTATCTAACCTAGGCACTCCATGCAACTCCATTTTATCTACTTCATTTTTCCTTTTATTTTTAATCAATTACCAACGCTCATCTGTGACCTTCTAATTTTGTAAATTTGTTCTTTAATTTTAAAATGTTTAGTCTAAATAATACCTTTCTTGCACAACACCCATTTTGTCACATTCTATCCCAATTTTAAACCTACTACTATAGTTTTCTATTCATAAAAACTTATAAAATTCCTTATTACTCTCATACATATAACTGATCCCAAGTACTTCAATTGTTACTATTTTAGACTCTCCTGATTACTGCATTCATTACTTGGTTTGGCTCTCTAGTCTCTAATGTTAATTCCATCTAAAACCTCTTCATTGTCAAATGGAACTGAGAACTCTAAATATTCTGTTTATTACTATCCCTTGTTCCCACGATATTTTCCTTCAACGTCTCTCCCCACTGTTCTTATTTAATTCTCAACACTTGTTCTCTCCTCTCCTCTTCCACTAAGCTAACACCATCACCAAATAATAAACTACAAGGTGTATTGCCTTATTGCAGGGGCGTATTTAGATTTTTTTTTTTTTTTGGGGGGGGGGGGGCTGAGGCACTAACTCCTAATAAAAACTTGACAATATTAAACTTCTACAATTCACATCCTGTAGGCAGACTAAGAATATTTCGGAGGGCTGGAGCCCCCGCCAACCCCGTAAATACGCCCCTGCCTTATTGTATGTCCTTTGCAAAGTTTATTTGTTACTAAATGAACAAGAGTACAGGTTCATACTTCTTTTATCACTTCTCTCACAATCCATTCTGTGAAGCAAAATATGTATAAACATAAAAGATCCTGGGGTTTGAGAAAATTAATACCTATACGAAGAGCTCCAATAGCTGCTTATTAAAATATATATATAAAGGGAATTCGAAATGACTATTTTTCATGCTAAATAAAAAGACCTATTTTTATTCCAACAAACTGAACGATCGCTATAAGAATTTTGAAAATAGGGTTGGATTCCTCATCTTGCCATTTTTATATCCTACGAATAACATTTAATTAATTTGGACTTACGCTTATCAAAATTTGACCATAAAAATGTACAAATTATTCAATTTAATAATGTACAGATTATTAGGCTTCTTCAGATAAATAAATGGAAAAATAGGATCATTGATTATAAATAATATTATTTATAATCAATGGTAGGATCTAAGTAATTAAGACATTCAAAATGATTTTCACTATCAAAATTGGATGGAACGGTATGATGAAATGAAAATCGTCATTTTTTGATCCAACTTTCTATTTAACTCTAAGAATAATAACTTTAAAAAAAGTTGTATAACTAGAAAACATTAATATTTGTTCACCTTAAAATTAGTCGTCATATTACAAATGTCTATAGATAAGTTGTTGTCAAACATTGCCAAGCCTTAGCCCTTTACTAGCTCTTTCGAATCCCCTTAAGTAAGAATAAGTAATGAAATTGAGAACTTAATATATTAATTTTGCTAGTTTTCAGCTTGTAAAACGTGTTAGTCTTGGTTGGAAAAAACCGAATGTGTTCGTAAGAAAGCTTAAATGTGTCAGTTTTTGTAAGGGTATCGAATAATGTAATAGGTACATTAAAAGTTAAAAATACTACTGATATTATGTTTTAATTACAAACAAATTAGTGACCATTCGTTTTTTTTATTTAATGGATACTATATTTTTTAAAAATCTAGGAATATTTACAAAAAAAAAAGCTGCAATCGAAGAGCGGAGAACTTTGTTTTAATCACCATCGCACAACCAGAAGAATCGTCAAAAATAACACAGTGAGCATGAAAAAGCAAAATAATATAAAAATTAGTATTAACCTATCCAAAAATGAATTGTAAAAAGTTTCGAAAAAACACAATGAATGAATAGATGACAAGGAGCCGTTGCTTTATATGTTGAATATTAGGGTCAACTCAATTTAACTTAATAAAACCACCAGTTAAACAATGGTATGCCACAATGAAAGTAATTTAAAGAGACCTGTAGTATCATAATCCAAATTGTTGCAAACGCATTATTTGACATTAATATTCCACTCTAGATGTACGAGATACAATGGAAAATAATTTATTTAAAAACATTATTTTTGAAGTTTCTGTAGTATTAATAAGTAAGTTTTATAGCACCTATAGTACCTATAGCAGTATTTAATTTTAAAATCACTGTACAAACCACATTTTATTAAATAACTGATGCTGATATTTTATTATTTATACTTACAGCTGGAATAACTGTTTTAGTAACTTCATATCTAGAACCTATAACTCAAGGTTTTTTCTGTGATGATGAATCAATTAAATACCAATATAAACCTTCAACAATCAGCAATAACACATTATGTTTTTTAAATTTGTTTTTACCCAATGTCATGGTAAATATTAATATTTAAAGGAAATGTCGTTAATTATAATAATATAACTTTAAAATTTCATTCAAATCTAAAAGCTATTTATTAATATTCACAAGTACTATTTATTATAGATATGGTTTGAATACTACTGGTGTAAACATACATGTATAAAACATGTGTACATACATACACTTTACTTCTGGTTGGGTTCTGGATTATCCCATATAACAGTTAATGTTGGAAAATATTGCACAGGGCGTTTAAGACCATATTTTGTTGAAGCATGTAAACCGAATGTTGAATGTTTGATCAAAGAACAATACATTAATAATTACACGTGTACAAACCCAAATCTTGCTATCACTATAGAATCAAAGTAATAATTTTACAATTTAGAATTTTTAGCTCATAAACATTTTTTCAAAACTGTTGAACCTATTTATGGTTGCTACAAGCATGGAAGAAGCATACTAAAAATTGACAGTTTGATTTTATGTATATAATAATTGTATTGTTTTACAATATCCTAAAAGGCCATAATTTTACTTGTTAAATCATGGTTTTTACTTGTATTTAAAACATAGAATTTTTGAAATTTTAGAAAATCATTTCCATCTGGACATGCTTGTTTAGGATTTTATTCGGCAGTTTACACAATTGTAAGTAAATATATTAAATGTTCAGTTTCAAATGGCTGGATATAAAATAATAAATACATATTACATATACATATTTTTTACAGTTGTACATAAATAATAAATATAAGAAAAATGTGCTGATCGTCACTATACAATTTATAATATTCTTAACTGCTTGGTACATAGGATTATCTAGAATTACTGATAACATGCACTTTTCCACTGACGTGTTAGCTGGTTCAATAATTGGTACACTATTTGCTTTATTAATGGTAAGTAAAAATATAGCCATCTAGTACACAATAAATTATATTTATAAAGTAAATATAATTTAATATAAAGTAACCTTATTTATAAATATCTACATTTTTTTTTTTGTGTATAGATGTATAATGTGAAGATGTTAAAATCTAACGAACAGGATAGTGTCTCAAACATAATATAATAAAACTTATTGTTACATCATAAATAAATTACATTCAAAGTAATATACACAGAGTCCCAAAATTACTGGTTTATTAAATGTATTCGGTCGTTATCTAGTTGAGCTAATTGGCTTAAAAACCCATCGTTGGGACGTATTTCTCTAGCCCTTTTTACTTTTTCTATTGCTTCTTTTGCTCTCATACCTTTTTTAATCATTAAATATGCTATTGTGATTGTTGCAGATCTCGATATTCCCATAATACAATGAACCAAAACTTTGCCTAAAGAAAAAATGGTATATTAATTTATAAAATGACGAGCAAATAAAACTTAAATGCTCTCGAAGACCAATAGAGCCAAAATCGTACTACATTAAGCCAGTTTGCTATTTTCTCCTATTAAGGTTAAACCTAAAATTATAAACCTAAATATATAAGTATATAAACCTAAAATTTGGGAAACGGACGACTGGTGTATTTATTTATTTATTATTATATAATTATAATAACGCCCAAAATGAGCTAAACTTATATGAAACAAATGAATGTTTTGGGAATTACAGAATTCATTACACTTTTAATATATGATTAACTGGAGCTTTAACACTATAGTTTGTTAATGAAGTGTAACATAACATGGAGTAGTTTATCAAATAGCAGAATAAAACTTTTTTATATTTAGACTATTAAATAATTATACTATGTAAGTAAAAGATTATTTATTTTTTTTTTTTACCTCAACTTAGTTCCTTTTCTAAAAGCAACAAATGATAAATGAAGGGCTGCAGGGAAAAAAGATCAATGTCAATTTTTTTTGAAAATGAGATTTTGGTATCAAATTATTTCTGTTGACGTACTGTACCTTTTATGCACTCGAACCAGGGAAAAAAACAGATTACTCGAGAGTAACGACCGCCGGAAGTTTAGGCATACAGGCAAAATGTATTACGTTTTGAAATTAAAAACATGATTTTTCTCAGAATGAAAGAAAATTGACATTGATCTTTTATCCCCGCAGCCCTTCAAATATTTACCTTTTTGGGATAGTGCATCATCAATGAAATTTGATACACTATCAAAATATTCACATATTGCCACACTAGGATCATCACATAAAGCCAGACCCATATATTGAATATTGATTGGTTGATAGAATTGTTCATTCGTATCAACTAGTCCAAATCCAACACCTTGAGCAGCGTTTACAACATGTGTAATTCCCAATGTCAATAATGTATTAACATTTTTTGCTGTAGTCCTATAAAAACTATTTGTAAATCTTGTTCATTAAAATTTGGATTTAAAAAAAATCAATTACCAATCCCCGACATACAAGTTCGGATAAACTTCGTCATAATCACCCGCCAAAGAATTGAACTTCTTAGGAGGAGATGAAGTGCGCAAAAGACTAGCTTGTAAATCTTCCAATGTTATTTCCTTTTTTTGATCTTTCTTACAAAACTTGGCTAAAAGGTATTCCATTCCTATTAAAAAATTATAGTTATTTCAATGTTTAAAATATTCAGTTTTATTTTTAATGTGTTAGCTGGCCATAATATTGTATTGATTAAATTGTTGTCATTATAATCCACAACATGTATTTTTTTCGAGTGAATAGAATTAATTTTTTGTTAGCTTTTCTGTTTATTCTAATGTTTACTCGGGCAATAATATTTTATTGTATCATGACTGAAATAGTAAATTTTTTATTTTTTTTTCTACAATATGTAGTACGCTAGTATTTATTGCACTGAAAGCCAGTATATTTTTTTAATGGACACAAAAATTAATACGTCTAAGGGTTTTGAACCCTTTTGAACCAATCATAATTTAAAATAATTAATAATACTTTTTAACTTTTATGACTAAGATGAAAGAATTATACGTACAAGGTTTTATTGCAGATACAGTGCTTGAAATTTTGACAATTGTTTTCTATTAAACTTGGTTTGATTGAGTGTTAGTAGGAACATTGCAATTAAATAAGCTATCCCCCCTAATTACTCTTATTATAATTAGACGGATATTATTATTTATTTTTACCTAATAAATAATGTATCAAAAATTCAATCAAGTTTTTTATTTTAATTTTTAATCTTTAGTATCCAAATTTATAACCAACTAATAGTATGAAAGTATATTAGTACTAATTATGTTTAATTATTTGTTGTCTCTGATAAAATTAAATCTTTAAATGTTGTCATTGTATAAATATTAAAATATTAAATTTTAGAAAATAATATTGTATTGTACTATACCATACCGATATTAATAATTGATTGTATAAAGGTACGACAATATCAAATATCGAATCTTTGATCATTTGACTTTTGCTAAACGATCCAATTTTTGGTAAGCAATAAGTCTGTAAGTAGGCACCAATAATCAGTTAAATTACATGATAGTTTAAGTTAGTTATAGTTACAACTAACCAAAGACAAGTAAACTAACCACCAACTGGTGACTTCATAGACGAGTGACCGGTGACGGCTGACCAGTGATCACAGTCCAGTGTCCAAAGCTGTTTAATGTAGTACCGTAGGGCGTAGAGTAATATTACTGTTTAGCTGTTTCTACTATAAAGCAATCTACTATATAGCTGTAGTACAAACTACATAAGTAGAAATTCGAATAAACAAAATGAAAAAGTTATCAGTTAATGACAAAAACAGATAATATTAAGGGTAACCGGCAACCTGGTATTCTGTTCTACGGGTTCTAGAGTTCAGAGGAATGAATGTAGTAACGATTGACGCATTGCTAGGTACATAGGTATATAGTAACAATTTCTATATTGTATTAAAGTTTACAATTTACAATCAATATTCTACGAGACCTATTATCAACTATCAAGATAATCAAACAACTTGATATTTAAAGTGCACATTTTACAAAATTAAATATTAATTCTCATTATTCAAGTTGTGACTCGTGTTAGTAGAAATGTATCGTTATATTCTGTTTTATTTTTAATGGTAATGCTGTTTTGTTGTAATATGAATGACTAAATATTTAGTCATGATAATATGATTAACATCATGAAGATAGTTTGGCGATTTTGAATATGATACAATACAACAATGCAAAGCTCATAAATACTATTAATAGAACTCAGTTCATCTAATAATTATTTTAACTGTATACAATTATGGGAAGTATCAAAACAATTTTAAAAGTTATAAACATACATTTTCTTCAAAATGTTGTGGGAAAAAATGTTACACTAAACTACTGCTAGTAGCTTCTAACTGTGTATTAAATCTAGTCATGAAAGTGATATTAATTTATAGCTAAAATATAATACATTATTTTTATATGTAATACTGGTTTTTAAACAATGGCTATGTGTTTGATGCTCAAGTATGCTTTTATACTCTTATGGCTTATATATACATTTGGTTCTATTATACTATTATTTGGTAAAGGACTGTTATTACATAGAGATGTATTACCTAATAAGTCCACTTGTGATACTGGTATTTCTTCAGAAATACCAGCACAGAACTGTACAATAACTGATACAAAAGTCGTTTTAATACTTATTGATGCTTTACGATATGACTTTGTTATACATTCAAGACAAAATGCTCCCTACACTAATAAAATAACTGCACTTGAAGATATCTTGTCGAGTTATCCTAGTCAGTCTAGAATGTACAAGTTTATTGCCGATCCACCAACTACAACTATGCAAAGATTAAATGCTCTGACAACTGGCAGTCTACCGACTTTTATAGATGCAGGCTCAAATTTTGCATCTGAAGAAATTGCTGAAGACAATATTATTGATCAATTAGTAAATAATGGAAAAAAAATAGTATTTATGGGTGATGACACCTGGGCTAAGATGTTTCCAGGCAGATTTTTCAGAAATTTTACATACCCTAGCTTTAATGTTTGGGATTTGGATACTGTTGATGATGGTGTAAGGACAAATTTATATCCAGAAATTTTAAAGGATGACTGGGATGTATTGATTGCTCATTTCCTTGGAGTGGATCACTGTGGTCATAGATATGGACCTAATAATAAAGAAATGGATAGAAAATTGAGTGAAATGAATATAGTTTTAAAGTAAGCCATTTTGTGTAGAAATATTATTTAAATGTTTTATTAAAATTGTTTTTAATGTTTTTAGGGATATAATAAAAGAAATTCTAGGAAGAGAAAATATAATGCTCTTTGTATTTGGCGACCATGGAATGACTTCAACTGGTATGTTGTTTTGTTAAACTGTTATGAATACTTGCGAATAATGTGTGTTATGAATACTTTTTAAATAAATTTGGTTTTAAGTTATTTTATTTTGTACCATATCATTTCATAAATTACTCATTATATTTACAATTCTTAATAGTTTTAAATCTTAACTCAATTACCCATGTGAATGCAACCAATTTAAAACAAATATGCTATAATCAAATATGTCATATACATGTGTTTGTTTAGCAGCAGGAAATTATTAATTTTAATTAAACCGTGTTAACCTGAAAATTCTGGTTATAAAATATTGTCCAAAATTTTCAGAATATTTGTTATTTTTCTTTTAAATTTGAATACATCACCAAAATAATTATAATTTATTGTTATTCTGTTACATATAATATCTTTTTAAATAATTAACTTATGTAAAATGTCAAGTTGGCTATTTGAAAACTCGGCTAACATTTTTTAGCCGATTTCAATGAAATTCTCTGCGCACAGCAACAATTGCTCAGAGAAGGCTAGAGATTTAAGAATTATATTTAATAATTACATGCTGCAAAATAAACACAATTCGTGTAAAACGTAGCTTACAACACTGATAAAATATATAAAAATTATAATTCTTCCTATGTATTATAACAAGCTGAAATCAGGGCCGGCGTTAGCTCTTTCAGCGCTCAGTGCAGTATGTTTCATTAACAATTTTTCTACCTAGCACTCAGCATGACACCTCTCGCGTCTCGCCACTCCTCGCTCCTCTGATTTTGGCGCCTTGTGTCGTGTCGCATGCCTGGATCGTATCTAAAGCCAGCCCTGGCTGAAATGTTGTACTTTACAAATAAAGTAATTATATGTAATATTTTAGGTGATCACGGTGGAGAATCTGAAAACGAAGTATCGTCTGCCCTTTTTGTTTTATCATCATCTCAAAAGCTTCACCCGAAAAATGAAATTGAAGTTAAACAAATAGATTTAATTCCTACATTAGCTACAATTCTGGGTGTACCAATTCCTTTTTCAAATTTAGGATCAATTATCAAATCAGCTATACCAGAAAGTATTCATATGGTCAATAGTATTTGGAAAAATGTTAAGCAGATCAATGATTATCTCTTAACATATTCACTAAAAAACGATGAACTTGATGAAAAGCATATGCATTTTATCAAAGAAACGTATAAAATGTTACATATTCAACGCGATAGTAATTTATTTGTAAAAAGTTGTGAACATTTTATGACACTAAGCAGAAGAGCATGTGAAGAAGTTTGGATACGATTTGATGAAAAATCAATTTATAAAGGCTTAGTACTAATGTTTGTATCACTCTACTTTAGCTTTTTACTTATTGGTTCATCAGCTTTAAATCATTATGAAAAGATTACTGGCAGTCATGTATTTATTTTATTTTGTATTATTTTTCCTCTGACATTGGTTTCTTTTATACTATATTGGTATAAGTTAATTCAAATCACACTTATTTTATTTATTGCTGGCTTTATAGGTACTGTTTCTCTCGGACTTTGTTGTGTTACTTGTTGGTCATCATTAACTCAAGATTTTCTCGACACAAAAAATCCAGATAAAATACTTATGAGACTGTTTACTGTAATTACTACACTTGGATTTTTCTCTAATAGTTACATTGTTGAAGAACCATTTGTATTGCACACGTCATTTAGTCTTTTATTGTGGTATTTAGTAGTAAGATTTAAAATAGAAAATAAAAAAACTTTATTTCGCAACAAGTTAAAACCTAAAGGGTTTTCTTTTAAAAGCTGGATAACATCTCTAAATTGCAAAGTCATTTGGTCTTCAATTGCATTATGTGGTTTGTTACGCTATTCTCATTCATTTTGGCAATGTCGTGAAGAACAAGGATGGTGCTTTGAAAACGGAGTTCAAATGAAAACTGGAACATCGCCAGTACCGATAATTCTCATAGTAACATTAGTAATAATTGTTCTCAAATCTTTAAAACATTCTGGCAATCTAACTGGATGTTCATTGAATGTGTATTTATCATCAATTCTACCAAAAATGTTCACAATACTTTTATCAGTTCATTGGATATTTGAATCTACATTCCAAAGTGGCAAGAACACTATACCTTATGTAGCATATATACCCAATGTTATATTATTATTAATAGCTTTACTAGTAATTGTATTATTCGCTAGTCCATTGCTTATTCATTATGTAGATTTACAAAGTGAAAAGAGTAAGCAGTCAGAAAGTCTATATAAAAAATTACTAAAAATGGCAACACATTTAATAAAAATGGATCTTGGACCATCTATTCATGGATATCCGATTGTTTATGGCCTTGCAACAGTTTATAGTGCAACATATTTGATAATATCCATATTGTTATGTATTTTTGGAGGACTGCTTTTGGGCCACGTGTATGCTGTATCTGCTATAATTATGATAATTTCTATTTGGATAATGGCAATGGTGGTAGCAGTTATAAGGCATAATCGTTGTACAAAAATTGGTTAGTAGACACTCTAATAAACTTGAATTTCTTAATTTTACTTGTATATTTATAATTTTCCAGATGAATTATATACTGTAAGCTGGTTATATGTACTATTATGGACTTTATCTTCTGCATATTGGTTTTATGGCACTGGACATAATGCTTCCTTCCCAGCTATACATTGGAATGCTGCATTTGTTGTACAAGCTGACATTCAAAATAACACATTGCTCCCAGGGTTCTTTATAATAGCTAACACTTTTTTTTCATATGCTGTCCATGCTTTTTTATTGCCGGTAAGTTAATGCCATTAAATTATAACGTGTATAGGTGGAAAAAACTTAATAGAAACACTTTGGAATTTTTTTTTGATATAAATAAGTTAGTTATATTTTTATAGATCAAGTAGTTGAGTTAGAGAAATAAATAAATAATGAATGTTTCCTCCCTTTATTCAGACAACAAAGCATGATTTAAATGACTATTTTTATTTTATAAATATACTTAGATAAATTGATTTTAAAAGAGAGAAATTATCTTAGAGAAAAAATTATATGCAATTTAGCTTGGCAGTCTGATAAATAAAAGCCATAATAAATAAAATAAGGTGCACAATTAATTATTAAAAGCTATGGTGAAAATCTGTCTATTTTTATTTTTGCAATACCAATCTAAATTTTATCATATCTGCGTCAATAATATTTTGAGAAAATAAATACAACACTTGTTTAAGCTATAACCTAACTTTATTATGTAATTGTAATATTAAATATTATTACACTTTCTATTTCAGTTACTATTAATTTGTCCATTTTCTATATATGGTGCGTGGTCAGGAAAATCTTTACCTATTAAAGATAAAGATGAACAAACCATGGCAAGAGGTGAACTTTTATTGGCAGAAAAATCTAGAGAAATGATACATGGTGCATTTGATCTAACTGCTAAATACATTTTAACAAATTGTTTTAGAGTATGTATTATTTTTTTAATGAATTGTATGTATTTCAACTAATTGAAAATTAATATTAGGTGGCCATGGTTATGGCAGCTGCAACAGTTCATTCACGACACTTGATGATGTGGAAAATATTTGCTCCAAAATTAATATTTGAAGGAATCGCATTATTATTTATTACTTTGCCATTTTCCTTTTTAGGATTCTTACTGATGTATAGAGTAACTCAACATATAAATGTATTGTTTGAAAGAATAATTTCCCAACACTCTACTTAAATCAAATTTTCAGTAAAAAGGTTTAAATTTTTTTATAAACATCATAAATTAATGTTAGTAATGTATTATTATTTTAGTTTGTTTTATTGTTCATAAAAATCCCAGCAGTAAATCGTCAATGTAAAAAATGTAGGTATTTATTATTTGTAATAAAAATTGTTTTTTTTTCAGTAATAAACAATTATTTGTAATATTAAACATAGTGACATGAATAAATATAATACTATAGAAAACGGTTCATTTAACACAATTAAACTTTGTATTCGGTCATATTATCTCATAGACGCAAATAGAAGGACTAAGCTCGCTTAAAAATCATGTAGAAGTTAAATTCTTGATTCCTTACTAAAATTGTATTTTAGAAAATGATATCATATTGGTACGAAAAATAAAAATGTATTTATATATATATATATATAAATAAATTATATGTGATAACTACAGAAAAATGATAAAAGAAAATACCCAAGGTTTAATAATGTATGGTTTCGTTTAACTGCTTTAACCCTTTCACTACCACTGTCCATTGCAATGGACATGACATTATTTTCTCTTTAGTCTTTTGTGATTTACTGTGTACACAAAAAGTTCCAGATATGAACACGGAAAATTTTTTTTTTCAAAAAAATTAATTCGGTAATGAAAGGGTTAATAATCCGAATACGGGTACCTACATACTACTTACCTAACTTTAACTTGATGGTTCTAAAATAGAGTAAAATATAGAGTCTACTTATTTAAAAAAACTATGTGGTTATGACTTATGTCCTCACCTTCGACTAGAATAATATTAAAACTGATACTCCGTTATACTAAAAAGATCGTTGAAAGATAAATGCGTTTCTATCCAGTTTTAAATGCTATTATTTGTCGAATTAAAGAATGATTTTCTAAAGAGAGCTTTCAAATCGCGACTTGTATAGATAACTTGTTAAAACTAAATTTTGTAGGGTTTTTATTGCTTATAAATCAATATTACCTAGGTACTCTTTTTTTTTTTAATTGTTATTTGTATGTTTTCAATAATTCTAAATTGTATTTTAATTCATAGGATTTGTTTGAAATCATCTCTAATGATTTGAATTTTGAGAAATATGATAATTGATAAAAGATATCCCTAGCTATGAAACGTTTCCAATTTTTTTTTAAATGATCCATTCTTTCTTCCTCTATTTTCTGCCACGAGAAGGATTAATAACTCAAATCTAATATGATGCAGGAACACGGTTCTCAAAATTAGCAATACCTACTTAATAATGAGAAAGTCAGTATTGTTGATAATGAAATTATGTTAAACACATTTGTTAAAACACAGAAAAATAAATTTATAGAATGTATGAAATAAAGAAGTTATATCTAATCTGTTATACTTTTAAACAAATATTTTTTTAAAATTTTAATTCTAATGGAGCCAGTCGGCCTGCATTATGGATTTTTCTGGATAATCCATATAACAACAATACATTGAATTTTGGGGATAGGGGAGGGGGTGATGTTAAATTTCGTTTTTATAGGCACTTGAGTATTGATGACTATAGTAGTATGTATGTACCATGTATATTGTAATGTTGTATTCACAACGATCAAACTATAACCGAAAAATAAATTCAATAATTGAACAGGTCATATTCCGTATGAATTGTTTTAGGACAGATATTATGAAAACACTAAAATATTAGCCAGAAACTTGGTATGTTTTAATATACTAGGCACCTTAGATACTAGCTTGATGAGACCTAAAAATGCTCCTTCGTGGTTCTTCTTCAGACTCGAATCTCGAATGAAGAATTCTTCAGATTCTTTTTTAGACTCGTCTAAAAAATGCTTTTTTACTAAAGCTCCTATAGTGCAGCGATAGAATAGCGTAATTCTCTACATAATACCTATGGGTACAGGTAGGTACATTATGTAAACTCAATTTGAATTTTGACCTAGACATTTTTTGGAAGAATACGCCATTTTATTACTCATGATATTCTATTTTATTTTTGTAGAAAGTATACGTTTGTTTTATATGTATATATATATTATATATATAAAGTTCTAATCATATTAAGTGATATTAATACAATTTAGTTTATTATTGTTTGAACGAAGTACAAAATCGTATTTTCGATTATTAAAAATTGGCTAGGTGACTATATCTATAGTTTATAAATAGCTATCTGACAGTTTCAGTGGGCATATGTTAATGGGTTAAATGTTATAACTTATAAGTAACTCTGTAAAATTAGGAATGATTAATTTAATGTTTATGTTTTCAAGACTAAATAACGCTCGAAGGTTGATAAGGAAAACGAACTTTTGACATGCGTAAAAAATAACAATAATATAACGACCGAACCTTTAAATAATTAAAATGCACTATTGGTCTATAGGGTTAAAACATTTTAAGATAATCAAAAACAATTAATCAGCCACAATTGATATCAATTTGTGAAGGTCAATTAAACTAAACATTGGTTCCGATAGTTAAAATGAAGGTAGATATAATGTATGCAAGTATGATAATTAATATTGATTTAAATTTTGTATAAAAATATAAAATAATAAATGTGTAGTCAATTGTAATCGTATAAAAAGGGGATGAAATAATCTTGGATGGTACAGGTAATTTCCTGGTAAACAGACACTTTTTTTTCTTAAGAACAAAAATAAATACGAATATTTAAATAGTAAATTCTCAAATATTGATACGAAAAAATACCACAAAAAAATATGTTATTATTATTATTAAACCATGATATAAGTAGCTTTTTTTATTTTATAGCCTTTATTAATAAAAAATATTTGGCTCAACAATTAGACAGTAATAATGAGTAAAATGTAAATATAACAATATACAGTATAACGATATACAACAAGCTGTACAGGCAGATTTTTGAAATATTATAAAGGATTGGACTGAGGCAACTGCCTTGAAGGAGCCCACGAAAAGAGGAGTGGCAGGACACTAGACCTGAGGGAGAGGTAAAAATCACTGAGCGGTGAAAAAACAAAGAGGAAATAGAGTTACAAAGAAAAGGGGGAATAGAGTTACAAAGAAAAGGGGGAATAGAAATAAAAAGTAGGTGAGGAATCAAGGTAGGTATATGGACCAAATCGAATGCACTTCTTATGTCAACAAAAGCTGCTGAACAAAAGGATTTGCTACAAAATTATATGTATATGGAACCAGTAAGAGTGGAAAGGCATTCCATGGTGCCTAAGCCGCGGCGGAAACCATATAAATTATTAGGAAGAAGATTGTTTTTTTTTGATAAACCAGTCCATTCGGTTCTTAATTACATGTTCTATAGTCTTGCATAATACCGATGAAAGAGCAATAGGACGAAAGGCGGCAGAAGTGGAGTTGTGTTTTGGGATAGGAATGACATTAAACTGGCGCTAGGAGCAGGGACAATGGCGTTAATCCAAAGAGAATTAAAAATAGAGAGAAGGATGGGCTGGAAGATTCTTGAGCATAAAGGGGAGATGCCGTCAAGACCAACGGCAAATAAAGTACGTGATGTGATGGCAAAGAAGAGCTCACTCAGAGTGAAAGGAGAGGTAAGAGGATGCGAAGCTGGATCGAAATCCGGCCAAGGAGGAAGGGGTAAAGGAGAGGATTCTTCCGAAGAGGGAGCGTAAGAAGGGGCCACTTTATTACAAAAATAATTAAACCACGATTCATTCAAGGAGCGGGAAGAAGATTTGAACAGACAATTTTTGAATCGCTTAGCTGTGACCCAAATTTCACTATGAAAGGAGGAAGGATTTAGAGAAGAACAGAAAGATTGCTAGGAATTCCTCTTTGCCTGTTTAAGTGTACTCATGGTAGAGGCGAATATAATTTGGTATGCTTGAAAATCCACAAGTGAGCCAGAGGCTCTATATTTTGTGAACGCGTCAATCATTGACAGCTTTGGTACACAAAGGAGATCACCAAATAGGGGAGGGAGGAAAATGTTTTTTAGTTATTTTGATATTAGGAAGAGAAAGATTAGCGACTTTAAGGAGGATGTAAACAAACCAGTCATAGTCAGCAATGGGTGATACGGGAGTAAAATGAGAAAGAAAATTTTACATATAGATTTGAGAAGAGGGCCAATCAGCTTTTTGAGTAGTTAAATTTATTAAGAGTTTGAGAATAATGGGGGGGATGAAGAATTCATATAAGAAATGAGGATAGGATAATGATCGCTGCCGTGCGTACAATGAAGAACTGACCACGTGAGGAGCCAAGAAAGGGTAGGAGCTGATATGGTAATATCCACGGTTGAGTCAGCGGGGGGGGGGGAGGGACGATTAGCCAGAGTCGGCTCCCCTGAGTTGAGAATATCAATTTGGAATTTGGAACTATTTGGTTAATTTGTATGGATTGATGGGAGGCGATGGCAACGCCACCGTATCCATCATAGCGGTCTGAACGGATAACATTAAAATGCGGCAAGGAATGAGGTTTGAAGGTCTCGGAGAGTAAAGCGAAAGAACATTTTTGGTTAGAAAGAAGAAAGGAAAGGTCTTGTAAACGTGGGACTTGGGAGTAAACTTCTAACATTCCATTGGAGAATATGAAAAGAAGGGATGATAGGGTCGGAATTAGTATGTGTCGGCATCTTCGATGGCTGAGAAAGGGAGATTAAAAAGGGATGATTCAATGACAGACTGGAGCGTTGTAGGAGATGAGAGAGATGAAGGATCGCTTGTGAGCGGACGAGAGAGTATTTGAGCAAAAGCTGATACCCAATTAGGGTAATCATTGTTGGAAAAATGATAATGTTCCATATAATTAAGAAAACTGCCATTTGGAGAGATAGATCTGTTGTTGTTTGAAATGATGGAATCATGGAATTTGGAACGATGGAGTGGAGAATAAGTTTTTCATTTTCCTTGAAGCGCCTTCAGTAGATGTTGTTTATTTCTATTTTTGGATGGGATGTAAGTGTTGGAAGATTATAGAGGACGGGAAATAAGGAGGGATGAGCAATGGCGTTAACAGTAAGTGTATTAACATTTAGTCACATCGGAAAAAGTAAACGCTTTATTAGTTCACGCGATCGTTTTATTAATAATGCCTCTGAAAAAGAAACGTTATCAGCGGCCATGATCTTTTTGATGTCTTTCTGGAATCTGGATAGTCCATTTAGAGCAGGAACGGTCTGTGAATGGACGATTCAGTTTACAGAAAACGCACACAGGTCTTTTTAACACTGCATGAAGATTCGCCTTGATCAAAAAGTTCACAATGGCTGCATCGCTCTTTGCTACGACAAAATTTGAATATGTGGCCGAAACGAAGGCATTTAAGACATTGTACAGGTAAGCGGATACTTAGTGATACATCAAAAAGAACTTTTAAAAATAGAAAGCTTAGTAGGAAGAGTATTTGAGAAGAATTTTAGCTCCACCAGGTTAGTGGCTATCAGTTTGTTGTCCTTTTTTACGTCGATTCGGCGAAAGGAGATCACTTTGGTTGGGCATTCATAGCCCCCCCAAAACTCTTCTTCAGAGACGATTTTGTGTAAGCAAATGATACCTATACTATATATAATGTATTGGGGATACTGGGAATAAGTTCATGTTCGGCAAGAGATGTTGAAGAGAGACATAAATTGGCGTTTTACACTGAATCGAGTGTGATTTTTGACTCGCTTAGAGCCAATGGGATAGATATTGAGAATGCCGGAGAACATTTTGGAAAACAGTTTACCAAGTTTGACTGGATGAAAGTTGCCGAGGTTATTGTGGCTGGATGATGATGCTATCAAAATATGCAGGGGATCGTCAAGTGGAAAACATACATGGTCGTTTGATTACCTGTATGCGGTCGCGTTAGGGAAAGGCATCCTGGCTGAATTTGCGGTGACTTGGTGCGTATTATGCGGCATAACCACTATCACTTCAAGGGAGTCAAACTCCTTGCCGGTCTTCGAGAGAGATGAGGGAGAATTCGAAGAGGTCGCAATGTTTTTGGGTTTTTTTTTGCTAGAGGGCTAGTAGGAGATTTTGAATTATTAGAACTGGGATTGTTCTTACCCGAGTGACGTGATGAATCATCTGAAATGCTTAGATTTGAGTTGCTTACTGCTTAGCGTGGACTTACGAGTGAGGGGTGAGATATGGAGCTCTCCCCTTCTGGTTTAGGTTTGGGCATTCAAAAGGGGCCCGGGGGGGTCCCTTAGATTTAGCAAACAGCATCTAGTATGATAAACGAACGTAAAATTGGAGCTCTAAAATTACTACGTGTAAAATTTGCGTAAAATATAGACGGGTAACACTGTGCGCGAGAGATAAAATAAACACGACCGTACGCAACGAGAGGTGAATCCGAACTGGATGTAAGTAGTTAATAAAAATAATTTCTTATCAGTCTCATGGATAGTTTGCCTAGACTACCTAAGTGATTAAATCAATTTTACTTATTCATTAACTTAAAAGTAAACACAAGTCCGTATTCAAAATAAACAACAATATACGTGTTTTGGCGATACAGTTATTAAGTAATCCGGTTACTAATTTAGCAAACAAACGGTTTTGACGACATTGTTTATTGCATTTGTTTGATAACTGAATGCACTTTTTGACAACCTGGTTGGTTAAATCAGCAAATAAATGAAACATAACGTTAACTGTATTTGGTTACTAATATTTTCACAGATAACAGAGTTTATCGCTACATATTTGACGGTAGACAACTAAACAGTAAACAATATGTTTTGGGAATTTTCAAACTAATCTAGTAAACAATATCAGGCTGATATTATCAGAATTCAGCATTTACCTTTGCACTTACATAAAAGTGTATAAGAAGCAAACTTATAGATCATTTTATAAGGAATAACTTTTGTAGGAAAACTTTTGTCGTGAGTATAATATTTTTCAAGAATTTAAAAAACCCTATTTTCGGGGTGCTCAACCCCCCCCCCCCTGAAAATTTAGCAGAGGAAGGTAGGGTTTAATATATTAGTTAGGGGACACCCTTTAATGATTTTTTGAAAAGTTTCGCTTTTTACCTCGATATAATAATTAACCCCATTTTTGGCCAATCTCGTCTTCATTAATACTGCCCTGCTAAGCAGAAGTACCCTAACCTAGAACGAAAAAAAAATGTGTAAAACCATAATTAATCCAAGTAAAAAACTAATTGTACTTTTGCTTAGCAGGGCTGTATAGGTACATGTAACAATTTAATTCATGTTAAATCAGGCATGAAAACATATTGTCTTATTTAATAAACAATGTGTATTTTTTAATGTAAATTAGCTTACTATTATTTAGATATTTTTAGAACAAATTCGAATTAGGTATGAAGATTGAAGAACAAATTATGTTATTAATTATATTTAAATTGAATTATTTATGACTTATAAGGTACTCATCTGGATGAGAAATATGTATTTTTAAATAAATAACTATAATTTTATTTATATGATTAATAAAATGATTTATGCCCAAGTCCTATATGTTATCGTATGTGAAGTGTGGTCCGGTTTGATCAATGTGGATAAAGAGAAGAATAATGCGCAGAGATTGCGACTGAGTTGTTTTATTAAATACCCTGTAGACGATCAAATTTGTTTGACAATTTTGTTGGTCAAACTTCAACCAAAGATCAAACAAATTTGTCAAACTTACCCGTAGTTTCGGTTCTCTTCTTGCCGGGGCGTGACGTTCGCGCCACACGCGCCGTCAATCCAGATTTCCATTAAACCCGTCAAACACTTACATTGTTTGTCAAACAAGCCTGCATACTAGCAAATAATTTGACAAACAATTTGATCGTCTACAGGGGCCAACAACTATTTGCCGACCTAGAAGGCTCTGAATGTATTTTTTTAACGGTGGCTTTTTGAAAAAGCGGTTGCTGAACGCACGGTGTCACGTTTAGTTATCCGCTCCGTAACGCCAAACGCGTGAGCGAAAGTACTTCCCTTAGTTTAGAGCGCAGTTACGAATTTTCCACATAAGCCCCGTTTTGTGTACGATTTTCGCAGTCAATGCCTTCATAACGCGACGCGCAGTATCTGTTGTTATTTACATCGTCAACAACGTCGACGGGGTCGTAGCGTCGGTGGTGGTCACGGCGGAGTGAATAGTGGCGGAAAGAGGGGTCGGTCGGCTAGGCTCAGCGGCGGTAGGCGGGAAAGAGAGCAGGGGGGGACACGTTGTTTTGTCTGGTCTGACGTCCGTGTCGACGTCGTCGCCCGTGTGTATACGTGAGTGAGTGTGTATTGCGCGTTTGCCGAGTCGACTACGACGAAACGCACTTGTCTGCCGCCGCCGTCGCCGTTGTCGTGTGCCTCTCGTAATGTTATTTAGTACGTCGGCATCGCGAATATAATAAACACATAGAGGTGTATGCGCTTAGGGTATCGTCGAGTCGCCGAAAAAGTATTAGTTTTGTTTTGCGTGTACGTGTTCGTATAAGGAAAAAACGTGACATACGCATGGTGGTGCCCACGGATTACATCCGCATTCATTCATGAACGACCGGGATCGGCGCGCAACGATTTTGCCGTGGACGGTATCATCGCGGCTACTGTCGGCAGTAGTACATATTCAGCATCAATGCTGTCGTTGACAAATCGGGTTTTTCCGTTATATTATTTCGAGTTGTTTTGATTGCGTCTGACTGCGGTGTCAATGACCTTTTTACTGTAGTGCGTGTGGAAAATGGCGGAGCAACGCGCGTTTTGTGATGTGCATTTTTGTTGAGGAAAACAACCGGGGATTCTGTCGAGATATCGGGCAACTATTAAAATAATATTATTACAGTTTATTGATTATCACACTGTGTATACTGGATATTGCTACAACGAAAGCAACAACAACGCCAAATACTGCTGCTACTACTACTACTACTACCTCCGGTGTATGTGATATCAGCATTGTTGTTGTGATGTGGTAGAACACAGTAATATTTTCGTGTTGCTTGTTTTTACTAAACAAATGTGTGCGCCTTGCAATGTACTACTAGTTGTACCTAATGGAAAGTGCGTCATAAACACTATTCGGTTAGTACCAAATAATAATACATTTAATAATACCTCCTCTCTTATACCTAGTTAAAAACAAAGTACAAGTAAATAATAACAGTCTACGTCATGGTAGGTAGTCCGTGTTTAAGGGTGTTACATAACCGTTGACATGGGAAAAATAAACGAGAGATTTACAACAGAAGGGAGGAGATGAAATAATCAAATTGGGGTTCATAAAAAAAATATTGTCTGAAACATTTTTTTCTTAATGGAAAATTTGATAAGTAGCCTAAGCGAAATTTATCAATACTGATAAAACTATTTCTTCTATTCATTTCGTTTTGTGGATCCTATCTATTATATTATTGTAATTTGTGTTCAGTGTATTGTGATCAAATTTAATCACTACTGCAGTTTCCATTATCATTATCTGTTATTATGGATTTAATTGAAATTTGAACACCAACTAAAACGTGTTTGTACAGAACATGATGTTTATTTATAATTCAGTGTGTTATTATCTGTAAATGAAACCTAGTGTTTTTCATAAATTTAAATTAAGAAATGGGCTAGGTAAAAATAAACATTGCTTATTAAGATGTTACGAAATCAACATTTTTTTTATAGTATTAGACATAGGTACCATATGCGTCTAAGTATTTAAGTAATATAATTATAAATAAATCAATTTATTAAGCTGCACCTGTATTTCAGAATTTCATGATTAAAAAATATTAAATTTTACAAAAAAAATAGCAGTTTTAACATTTGATGAAAGTATACAACATTTGTTTGTACCTCGTTCACATAACAACATGTTTTGTTTTATTACTATTATTTTTCCTTTTTTTAAAATAACTCAATATTTCTGATGAATTTCAATTTTTAACTTGAGAGGAGGGGGGAGTGCTGGATTTTTTAAAAAAAAAATATATATATATATATAAAAATTAAATATATTTTTGTATTTTAAAATTTTATACATAATCTAATTTTTTTGGGGGGCTATGTCTAGCATTAGAGGGCTAAGCCCACCCTAGCCCCCTCCCCGTATTTGCGCCTATGATTTTGAGTATATTATTGTTATATTAAATACAAGTTTTTTTTATTATCAACAACACTTAAGTTTTTTGTTAAAATATTATATTATATTTTAACTAGTTTTTCTTTATCATCAGGTAAAATAAGTTTTTTTAAGTTCACTTATGTTTTTAACCATTGGCTTATATTTGCTCTTAAAACATTGAAGATGGAATGGGTTTCAAGTTGTCTGGTTGACACTTCTTGCTTCGTCATAGTATGTAAATTATTGTCTGGTAGGTATATGAGTTGTTGAATAAGTGTCCTAATATTCCATACAAGGGTCTCAGCCAGGCGCATTAAAATTTCATACCAATCAACTTTCAAATTCTAAAAAAATCCATGGGTACAAAAACAATAGTTTATAAATGGATTTACAGTTAAAATAAAACTTAAAGTGATTTATCAAATACCACAAACATCATAGGCCAAAGAACTTATCTGTGACTTGTGGCTGTTGTAATTATTTTTATGTTGTTATTTGTGATACAAATTATTTTTTATATTTGTTAACAAATTCACTTAATTTTTTTGTAAGCCTTGACCTAGTTCCTTAACAATTAACATTGATATATAATTGATATATAATAGTAACATTAAATATGGATTTTAGAGTTAGTGTTAATAAGGTTTGGTAACTCAAATATTAGGTTCTTGATATTAGATCTTAACGGTATTTTTACTTATAGATAGATAGATCATAATTCTTGTTTATTCAACATTTATATAAGGTCTCAATTTTTAATTTTATATATTTATAATTTATTAAATACATATACATTAAATTTGCTCATTCTTGGGGCGTCATCTTAAACAGTTTATGTCCTCTTAAAATCCAGAAAAATAATTAAAACCCTTTTCATTTAGAATAGAATATAGGTATATTTCTTTTATTCTCTTTGAGGGCTGGGGCAGTGAAATTTTTCATTTTTCATTTGTATATACATAGTTTAGATAAATAAAAAATACATTTTTTTTAAGCATCACAAAGTTACATAAAAATCAATACTCTTAAGGTGTATTTAGCAGAGTATTTAAATTTTAGAAAAAGCTTGAAGAATTCATATCATACATCAACAGCAAAGTGAACTAGTGTATGATCTGTACATATTACTATATTACATAGTGATTTTTACATAGTGCATGTGTGCATATTTTTGGGAAATTGAGTCATGTATAGCAATAGCCAATAGATACCTAATAGCCTTTTTTTTTTTTTTACCCTTAGGTCTGTTTGACAACTTTTGTTTTTAGCAAGAGTTGTATCCCGAGAAAGTAGATGATGGTAGGTTGGTTTCCCAGTTTTCTCCGCACACAAGCCTCCTACACAATAAGTATATACAAATTTTGGAAGCCAAAAATTTTGGTGTTAGAAATACTTAGTAGGTTATATGAAATATAAATTACATGTTATAATATAAAATTATAAATCTTCAAACTTTGGTAAAATTAAAAAAAAAATTTTTTTTTAAATCTCTTCTATGCTATCAAAATTAAGTATATAATATACTTAAATATGTTTTTATTTAAAAATATGTAGGCATGTTTGTTTTTATTGTTTTAAGTTGGAATCGTTTATTATATTTACTGTGAAAAGGAAATATGTCCTTGAAATACAATCATTAGAAAAAATAACATTTTTTTGTTTATGATTAATTTAATATTTTTACGCAGTCAATATTAAAATGATATCAATTGTTTTGAATTATATGTTCAATATTTCATAAATTATATTATGTATATCCCACAGATTTTACTCTTGAAATTTTTAGAAAAAAACAGATTTGTCCACTTTCTTTAGTAAGAATTTCACTTATATTCAATACTTTTCAAAAAATATAATGTATTTCTTTATTTCTTTATTTTTTTTTTTATTAAAATATGAGGTGTTAAATAAAAAGTACATATTTTTGTAATTCATATTTTAGTTTCGTCAAGTCCAAAACAATATCATTGATTCAAAATGTTTTTAATGCCACCCTATTATTATTTGTTTGCTTCTTAAATATATTTACAATATCCTCCATATTATTTACGACATTTGTCATTATAAAACCTTTCTAGTCGTGTAATATTGACAAAAGCATGGTATAAAAAGATGATAAAAAATGTTATTGTTAGACGTAAAAAGAAAACATAAAAAAGGCTACAAAACATTTATTTTATTAAAACTTCTTTTTATTAATTCTTATCATCTTAGGAAGGCAAATGTTTTTTTAAATGTTTTGGGAACTTAAATGTGTTAATTTAGAAATAAGGGTTATACAATTTTAAAAAGATTTAAATAGTTTATAAAAATAATTGATAGATAGTAATTACTATAGATTGCTAACATAGGACAGGCGCTAGTAATATGTATATAATGAGAATGATGCTACTAGTGCCCGTCCCGTATTGGCGCCAAACTAAAATTTGTCTATGTGAGCAATCTACAGTAATTTAAAATCAATGATAAAAGTAATATTATTATATAGTAACCCCTTATGACAGTTTTGTTATAAAATGCTTAAAGAGTTGATAATTTGTTTTAATTTTGACTTAAATCTTTAATATTTATTTTGGCTTTGTTTGTCATGAAATATGTTCGGTATTTTCTTTTAAATTATCAATTTATTTGGACCTGTATAAGTACACTTTCAATACGCTACCCAACCAGACAACATAAACATGGTAGTAAAACTCAACTTTTGTTAATACAATTACCCATCCTAGTTTTAATTTATTGTTAGTAATTATTATTTATTTATAGAATAACTTATAGTTGAAAAATATAACAGTATTTTATTTTAACATTTTATTTACTATTTTATTTTTAGACAAAGATGTGAAAACATTTAGTGAAAATGTGTGGTGATTATGATGAAATACACTGTCTACGTGACAACTGTCCAGGAATTGACCAATGTCGTTTGTGTGGTAGATCTGTAGTATCACCTATTGTGCAGAATGATTGCTGCATTTGTTTGTGGCCTTCAGCTCCATCACGATTGTATAAATCACCTACACAGCAACATCGAAAAGCATGGCTATTTTCATCAAAATCCGTTTGGCAATCAAATTTTCTATGTATAGCATTATGGTGTGTTGCTGTACTCAGTGTCAGTCAAGCATCTACAGAAGAGTATCGCACACAAATTACTACAATTCCTACATTCACAACTACTACAAGTAACCCTGTACAATTATCTGAGGGTAGAAGTGAGTGAATGCTTTAATATTTTGTAGAATACTTTTAAACAATAAATAAAATGTTTATTTAGTTATCTGTTTTTTAAATAATGATTGTATGAAAATAAATATGAAATTGTAATAACAACATTAGTGTATTATTCCTTTATGACTTGTTAATAAATTTCATAAAGAAGATAACTATCTGATTATAATATACAGTGTGTTTAAAAAATGGTTTTCGTCTGCCATGTACAAGAATTTCATTTTCTGATAAATTTCAATATGATATATTTTAGACCCATTTATTTTTACAATTAATACTGTCCCATATTATGTCATAATCATATTAAATTGAGTAGTTTATCATACATTTACATTTTTTAAAGGTATTATCTAAATACTCACATTTATGTTAGGAGAAAGGTCGATGAAAAATAATTTCTTCTCCATAGAATCAAATTTTGTTGATATTTTGTTATGTGACTTAGTATTTACTAAAGTAATTATATCTAGGGTTTTTTTTGTTTAACTCAACAGGATGTAATTCAATCTTGATGATAGAACAATAATATTTAAAAATAATAATAAAAACATTCCACTCTTGATACTATTTACAATAAAACTGAAATTGAAATGCCTGCCTTCCATAGATGATCACCAATTAGTTTTTTAAATTATTAAATAGTTGTATAAAAAATCCTGTTAATTTTTACATTAAAAAAAAATTTCATTGTTTAAAAAATGTGAGTGTGTAATAGATTGACTTAAAATATCAATTTTTTTTTCAGTTTGTCAGAGCAAAGACATCAGAAATAGAGCAGACAATCTAAAATCTCTAAGGGGTTGCCGAGTAATTGAAGGATTTCTTCAAATAGTTTTAATTGACAATGCAAATGAAACGAGTTTTGAATCACTTTCGTTTCCTGAATTGCGAGAAATAACTGGTTATTTGTTATTGTACAGAGTTAATGGTCTAAAATCACTCGCTAAACTTTTTCCTAATCTGTCTGTAATTCGAGGACAAGATCTATTTATGTCTTATGCTATTGCTATTTATGAAATGGTTCATTTACATGAATTAGGTTTATATACTTTAAAAGATGTTGTTAGAGGAGCTATTTACATCACTAAAAATCCAATGTTATGTTTCACACAAACTATTGACTGGAATAAAATTGCACCATCTGGAAAAGGCTCTCATGTCATATATGTAAGAAATTATTTCCTTTTAAACTTGTATCAATAGCTGTATATTAATTTTCATCATTAGGAAAATAGACCCGGAAATGCTTGTCCTGTTTGTCCATGGACAAATGATCCTAGTTGTGCTGTTTCCAGCACTAATGAACCTTTGTGTTGGAACACAGATCACTGTCAAAGAAGTAATATTTTTAGCTTTTAAAAACAATAAACTTCTATAACAATTTTTTATTTTTAGTTTGCCCATCAGATTGTAATGGTTTATGTAGCATGGATGGTAAATGCTGCCACGAGCAGTGTCTTGGAGGGTGTGTGGAAGAAAATAAACAGGACAAATGTTTTGCGTGCAAAGAGCTAGAAATTGAACGGAATTGTGTAACTGCATGCCCAGCTAATACGTTAATTGTAAGTTTTAAATAAATAAGATTGTACTATGGGAATTAAGTCTTCTTTTTTCTCTATAGTATCAAAATAGGCGTTGTATTTCGGAATACAGCTGTTATCATATGCCTCGGCCGAGAGTAGAACTACAAAATGGATTACACCCACAATCATGGAAACCTTTTAATAACACATCTTGCTTAATGGAATGCCCTCCTGGGTATGAAGAAGTGCCAACTGAAAATAGCTATGGAAAAGTACATGAATGCAGGCAGTGTGCAGGTACAATATAGTAAATAAAGAAATTAATAAAACTGAGTTATTTATTAATACCAAAACATTTCAGGACCCTGTCGAAAAGTTTGCATAGCAGCTAATGTAGAAAGTATACAGTCAGCACAAAAATTAAAAGGCTGTGTAGTTATTAATGGATCATTGGAAATTCAAATACGTGGTGGCAGTGAGTATTAATTAATAATAACTGGATTCTGGGGTCTAATATTGAGTTCACACTATTCCTCAATATGTAATTTTGTACACTAATGAATCAGATACAATTTTTGTGTACTATCAAAACCTATATTTTTCACTCTTTTAATTTTTAAATCTCATATCATATACACAAAACGAACATGGTTTAATCCTATACAAAGATAGTGATGCCATATCACAAAACCATGAACACCATTTTCTAATAGAAACCCCATCCGTAAAATAGAAGTTCAATACAATATTTAGTAATAAACACCAAGATTGTTTATATGATTCCACACCACGGGTATTGTTTTTATTGGAGTTTTAGCTCATTATTGTAATGGACCCTATTTAACTAGTAATTACTTTTTATATGAATAAAAAAAATAAGTGATATCATGTTTTAAAACCTTTTAAAGTATAACTATAGAAAATACAAGTTTTTTTTATAGTAAGTTTAAATGAGTTAATGAGTTAAATGTGATGTATGATTATGTCGAAAAGACTTCACACATACTACTTTTTAAAGCATTAGGTATAGGCAATTTTATGTAAGACCTTAATTTAGACCTAAAATTATATTGTAATATATTAGGATTCAAATTACTATATTGGTAATTAATTCTTTTATCAGATTATCAAAACCTTTATTAATAATGAGTTCCTAAAAAACAGCCTCTTTCTTTCACAGTACAACTTTCCCAAAAATTCAAGAAAAAATGATTTTCTTAGCTGTTTAGTAAGACAAGTTCTTAAACTGTCCCCTTGTAATTTTTTTTCAAAAATTATATTATTTCTCTCTGACATCTCTTTCAGTACGTTTCCACCTTTCTATTAAGATCAATATCATATTAATATGATGAATATGTTTAAAGAGTTAACACAGCTCTAACCCTTGTTTTTGTACAAAAAAAAAGGCATGCACAATACATACATTTTTGTACAATGTAATTGGATAAATTTTGCAAAAACTCATTCATATATATATTTTTTTTTATAGCAAATATTGTTAAAGAACTAGAAGAAAGCTTAAGTATGATTGAAGAAATCACTGGATACTTAAAAGTAGTCAGATCTTTTCCATTAGTATCACTGTCTTTTCTCAAAAAGTTGAAGCTAATTGGAGGAGAGACATTGGAGAGTTCAAAGTATGTTTAAAATTGTATTGTAGTGTCAACTTCACTTGGTGGTCTCTTTCACTGAGCAAGACAACTTGTCTAAGAGAATACTGCTATCCCCCCCCTCTAAGCATGGTAGAAATGCCATGCGCCTCACCCGGTGACCGGACTAGGCCCAAATAAGGCCTACACCCGGCATATACGCTATTTATATAAAAAAAAGTGTTAGCTTTAAGCTATATTTTATTTAAAAAAAAATAATAATAATAATGAAAACTCGGAAACAAAATTTTGTTGTGGAATATGTGTTTGTGTTCAGCACATGTTAAATTTCATGAGGCAATCTTATTCTTCAGTACTTTATTTTATCTGGGTACATTACTTAATTTTAATGTTTTGTGAACAATTTTTATTTAAAGTTAATATTAAAAATTATTTTATAAAATATATAACATATTATTAACAAACGATGTATTACTATAATAGTATATTTTTAAAGGTATGCTCTAGTTGTGTTGGATAATCAAAATTTAGTAGAGTTATGGGATTGGTCGACGCGTAAGCAAGATGGCGAGTTAAAAATTGTAAATGGTCGAATATTTTTTCATTTCAATCCAAAGCTATGTTTATATCGAATAAAAGAGCTACAAACTAAATTAGGCCCTAAATTTGGCAAGGTTGATGATTTGGAAGTAGCTCCAAATTCAAATGGTGATAAAATAGCATGTAAGTAATAAAGTATACACAAATATTATTATTCTTAACTTTAATGCAGAGTTATTCTTTTTACTATGATGTGTTTTCAATTTGTATTTGGACACACAGTATCTTCTAAAACACTAAACCGATTTCTTCATTTAGTCTAATTGATCATAAATTGTACCTGTAAGATACTTTTTGGGTCAAAAGTTTAAAATTTTACCTTTTCCTTCAAAATTGAGAATAACACTCAAACAATTTATAGATTTTTCAATTTAAAAATATGGTGTGCTATACATTTTTAAAAACGGCCAATTTAATAGAAACATTTCTTAACTGTGATACTACTGATGATGGCAAACCAAAAATTTATCAAAAGCCCTTTCCCTAGATGGAGTAGAAACTTTTACCTTATTTTGCTTTTTAGCTATAGTTTTAAGGCGTAATGGTCTGAATATTAGACTAAAGATAGATCTAGAGTGGGTTTAATTATAACATATATTATACCTAATAACTTATACAATTTTGTTAAAAATCTGTAGATAGTAAACCTTTTTTTTTTTTATTAAGGAAAAACCAAAAAAAAAAAAGGACAACTGACCATATGTATCTGAAAAAATAGTTACATTATGTTTTTAATTACGATTTATGGTAACTAAATTTTATAGACACACAACAACCGTAATTGTATCTACTGAAATACTAAAAATGCAATTCTAAGCACATTTTTGTCATTACAATGCTTTTGTTAATATTTTTATTTTGAACATTGACAGATTTGCGTTGAAGCGTTTATTTGATTTTAATTATAATAATTCCTTTACACTTGTGACCTCCCCGCCCACTTGATGCCCTAAATCTTCACTGTACTGGATTTTTTAAATAGTATATTTACAATATGATTTAATAAATATTGTCTTTTCAAGGTAATGTTTCAAAATTGAATGTGCGAACAGATATAGTGGATACAAGATCCGTCGTTCTTAAATGGCCACCCTTTTTACATTATGACACGCGTACATTACTAGGTTATGTAGTATACTATTTGGAAGCTCCTTACCAAAATGTATCATTGTATGATGGTAGAGACGCGTGTGGTGGTGATGGGTAAGTAAATAATAATAATAAACAGTTTTCTAGATGTATACCAGTAAAATATGATTTTTGTTATTAATAGTTGGAAGACTGATGATGTAGAATCGACTGAAACCACTGAAGAATTATTTGCAATTATCACAAATTTAAAACCATACACACAGTATGCATACTATGTGAAAACATACACGGTAGCTTCAGAATCTATTGGAGCCCAAAGTGATATAAGTTACTTTTATACCCTGCCTGACAGTACGATATATATTTTTTTTTTTTTTGTAATATTTAAAAAAAAAAATTTACTTTTTAATAAACCATATTTTATTTTTGCTATATATTAATGCAACTATTTATTTATATATTAGCACCAGGTCCTCCACAACATTTAGAAGCTACTGACTGGACCACAGATAGTGTAACAATTAAATGGTTACCTCCAGCTGAACCTAATGGTCAACTTAGTCATTATGTTATTAAATACTCACCTAACAATATATCGGGGGATGAGAGATTGCATGAGAGAAATTATTGTGAAAATAGTAAGTTATTTGAAAATTGTACTACAATGTATTAAAGAAATACATATGTTTTATATTATTTGATTTTAGCAATCAATATGAATGACTTACCTGGAAAAAATAATAATCCAAATAATGAAGTAGTAAAAAGTAAAGGTAATGAAAAAGAAAAAGATTGTAACTGCACAGTTCAGCCAGAAAAAAAGCCAACTAAAATTAAAGATGAACAGCAAATAAAAACTATGATTGAATTTGAAAATAATTTACAAAACATTGTTTTTGTAAAAAAGTAACAAATATCTTGTTAAGAAAAAAAAATACTTTTACTAATTTGCTTTAATTTTTAGTCCTCATCGCAAAAATGAAAACTCCCAAAAAACAAAGCGTGATGTATCAAATTATGATATAGCAGTCGAGTTTCCGAACAACACAATTATAGCATCTAAAGTTCTAACAGATTCTGACAAAAACGATGCTGAAAGTAAGTACATTTCTGTATTAAAATAAAATAAAAAATATTGCTAACAGTTATTAATAATTATATTAATAATAATGCAATTTATGTGTCTATATTTGAAATCGGTACAGTACAGGTTGCCAGGTAAGTTGCCACAGCTGTGGCAGCATTTATTAGTAAATGTATCCAAAACTAGTGTTTTTTGCTCAACCGTTCATCGGTTAGGATGCGTGTGGTTCAGCCACGAAGGTTCTTTATTATTATTATTGTTGTTGTTAATACTTTTGCTCCAACAAATCATATAAGACATTAAAAAAAACATACAATACAGAGAACCTCTGGCTTCTCATTTTCGCGCCGCCACTGCTGTACCAAGTTATCTGGCAATGACTGTAACTATAAATTATTCATATTTGTACTATGTGTCTTATATTTTTTTAATAGATGAATATATAAAAAAAATAGTTCCAAGTGATATATTGCAATACACAATAAAAGATAATGTAACACATTTTACCACTTATAATATTGAATTGTATGTTTGCCGTTTATCGAACAAGAATGAAACAGCCCATTTATGTAGTACTAGAAAAGCAATGACCTCAGGAAAAACTCTTAAGAAAGGTAATTCATATTAATTTTAATTCTTTAACATTCAAAATGTTTTATTTTTGAAATTATTTTAGATTCGGCTGATAAGTTAGACGAATCAAAATTTGTTGTTAGCCCTAACTCTACTTCTGTATCAGTGAAAATTTCCTGGAGTGAACCTCAAAACTCTAATGGTCCTATTGTCAGTTATCAACTAGAATACGCCAAAGTTGGCGATAACGTAAGTTAATTATTTATTTACTTTTTCTTACCTTATATCCCTTTGAGGAATGAATTATAAATACACGAATGCTACTCAGAGAGCAGATTAGAAATAGAAAATCGAAAGAAAAATTTTTTTAAATATCAGAGTAATGACGTATGTATACGTCTCATTTTTGACAATGTTCAAATTATAGCTAATAGAGTCAAGCATAATTTGCTCTGGATTTTATTATGTCGGTGTAACCTTCTCAGTCGAGACTCCAGGACTAATATGTATACTATTTAGTATTAATTTGTGCGTTTTTAAAATGTTACAGCTTATTCCGTCAATTAAATGCATAACTAGGCAACAGTTTAATAAGTCTGGTGGTTCTTATATATTATCTAGTTTATTACCTGGAAATTACAGTTTTCGAGTACGGGCTCAATCATTAGCTGGATATGGAGAGTACACTTCATACAAATACTATAACATCAATGTAAGTTTTTAAAAAATTGGGTCTTACAAATGATGAATGTAATTTTATTTTTATTTTTTTTCAGGAGTTTCAAGCTATAACTAAAACTGAATTATTTACCATAGTTATTTTGGCTGCTGTAATAATTTGTGTTGTAATTATTTTGGTTTTCTTTGGTTTGCATCGTTATTATAAAAATAAATTGGCTTCAACTAGGTTATTTGTTACTTGCAATCCGGATTATATTAGTTGTGGTAAGTACTAATAATAATAAGTATTAATAGAAATAGCATACACTACCTAACTTTGTATAGAAGTTAACATGTCATTATAATTGTGTTAATAATGTGATAATTATAATAATGTGACTTGTTTAGAATACCAAGCAGATGAGTGGGAAATTCCTCGGGAGGATATTGAGGTTTTGGAACCTTTGGGTAGAGGCTCATTTGGTATGGTATATCGTGGTATATGGAAGAAAAAAGACAGCGATCCAGTGCCTTGTGCCATTAAAACCGTAACAGAAAATAATAATATTATGGTCAGACATGATTTTCTTTCAGAAGCTAATGTCATGAAGTATGTAAAAACATTTTGTTACAATTTAGTCTTTATAATATTATGCTTATTTTAAAAACAATTTTAATTTGTTAGGGAGTTTTGTACAACTCATGTTGTTCGTTTATATGGTGTGGTATCTCAAGGTCAACCAGCATTTGTTTTAATGGAACTAATGACCCAAGGTGATCTCAAATCATTTTTGCTCAAACATCGTCCAGAAATGACAGCAGATCCTTTATTAAAGCCACCAACATTAAGAGTAATTAAAAATTGTTTTTTAATTTAATTTGCAATATAGGTATGACACTGCAACATACACATGACATTGGTTTTGGGAGAACTTACTTTTCAAATATATGTAATAAATATCAATTGTCATATTAGAAACTTGAATTTACATAGTAAAAATTTGTACGGTTGTCCCGATATTAATTTTTAACACTTTAACAAATATATATCAACAAAAGAGATCTAAACAAATCCTAAAATTTTCTCCCATTCGCTCCACATTTTGAAGTGTTTTCTAATTATTTTTCACAGTTTCCTTTTACTTATAAGTTATGAGGGATGAACTATATATTTAATAAGTCTATTGTATCAGTACAAATATGCTTATATGGTTATAAAAAATATTTTCTTTAGATAAAATTATGTTCTATAATTTTAATTATTAATACCCCCTTTTTTAGGATATTTTACGAATGGCAATTGAGATTGCTGATGGTATGGCTTATCTTTCATTTAAAAAATATGTACATAGAGATCTTGCTGCTAGAAATTGCATGGTTGGGGAAAAAAATATAGTTAAAGTGGGAGATTTCGGTCTTACACGAGACATTTATCAAACAGATTATTATAGAAAAGGTAAATATGTTTATCTCTAAATTATATATATTATAATCTTGATGAACTGAATTGAAGATACTACTTATTTATGTTATTTTGTATATAAATATAGATTCGGAAGGAATGATGCCAATACGTTGGATGGCACCAGAAAGTTTAAAACATGGACTTTTCACTTGTTTTTCTGATGTTTGGAGTTATGGAGTGGTGCTTTGGGAAATGGTGACATTAGCAGCTCAGCCATATAGAGTATGAACATAAAATGTTTAGCTATTCGTTTTTATATCTTTCATAACTGGCATTGTTTTTTTAAATTAGGGTGAAAATGATAAAAATGTAATCGCCTATGTTAGTAGTGGTGGTATTATGGAAAAGCCCCATGATTGTCCAGATATATTATATGATTGTATGAAACTTTGCTGGCGTTTCAAAGCATCAGAACGTCCAACATTCCCAGAATTAGTAAAAATGTTTTTACCTTGTGCTCGTGAGGAGTTTTCAAAGATGTCTTTCTATCACAATGAATTACAATCTGAAACGCCACGGTTAGAAGTATCTGATAATGGTGTTAATGAGTCGGAAACATCGGAAAGAGAACGTAAACAATTGGAGCAAGATCAGATAACTGCTGCATTAAGGAACTTCGGATCATCCAATGAGCGATTAGCACCAAAAGCTGATCTGGAAGAGGACGATGATGATGATGACGATGACGAAGAAGACTCAGACAACGGTAATGAGTTGCAACGATTACGCATTGATGACTTCGTATATAAGCAGCGGCCACCTAACGGGTATATGTCCATACATAATGGAAATGGTAATATCAATACCACTATGTGTTGACTTGTAATTTCATTATTATTATAATTATTTTTATTTTTTTTTATTAGAATTAATTTTTTTTAGATCAAACCTTTTCTCTTTTGTATGGTAAATTTGTTTTTATATTTATATAGTTCCTAACTGTTTGTTGTGGTGAATATGCAGAGATGGGCTTATGTTATTTGTAATATTTCATTTTAAGTACAAAACAAACATTTATATATTTAGATAAGCAATATTTATGTAAATATATATGTGTAATACATTTATATCTTACTATTATAAAAATGTATGTACACATAATATATTTATATTTTTACCATTAAATTTATACATAAATAATGTAAACACAATTTATATGTTGGATGATACATTATAAATGAAATTCAGTTTTTATTTTATAGACTTCCTAATTTTTCTGTTTTAATCAAATTAATTATTGTCTCAACTTTTTGTTAATTTTTGCCAAATTATATATCATATATGAAATTACATACGTTTAGCGTAAAACACCAGTATTATATTCTAATATACATATAAATTCTTAAACATCTAAGTATGGATTCTTAGATTTATCTACTAATAATAAAATTTTACAAATTATTTTATTAGATTTATTTTAAAATACATATGTATTATTTAACAAACCATGACACCTAATTAGGTTAATCTGATTTAACCGAATTTAAGATTGTTTTATCATATTATATGCGCAAAGCACGTAGTTTGTGTTTCCTAATCCTAATATTATATGTACAGACATACAACTGTCAATTATAACAAAATGCAACCACTAATTTTATTATTATATAAAATTCGAATTGTAATAAAAAAAAAGTATAAAAATAAAATGCTATGATAATATATTACCCATCTCTGCAATATTTCTAAAACATAATAATATTTAATTTAATTTTAAACTTCCTGTAAGTTACCCAACCAGTGGGTAGAAATCAGATTGAACTTGCTCAATGCCAAAGCCAGTGTTTTTTTTTTCAAGTATAGGTTTAGTTCCTTTTTTTCTTTTCTTTCCACAGGTGTGCAATTTATTAGTCTCTAGTTTATTATATTAATTATAATTTTTTTTTATTATTATTAAATGACACATATTCCTATAAGACTGCCTTTTACGAATAAAACTACTTACGTAGTTTCCATAGTACACAAATAGTAAAGTTTAACCTTTGTTACCTGAAGTTTAGTCTTAAGTTATTGAATGTATATGTGTACAAAATACACACATTATAAAATATGTGGTTCTAATTCAGATCCACTCAATAAAATTGAAGAAAAAGAGAGAGAAAACAAACGTGTAGATAATTTGGTTTTATGAAATCATTCAACTTACATAGTTGGTGTTTTTTATACTTTGATAATTTAGTTATTTTAAAAAAAATTGTTGTAAATATGTTTAATTTTTATTGTAGATAAACTGTAAACTAACATGTTTTTAATTTAAGTGTATTACAAGTAGTAATTGTGAGTCGTGACCAAATTGTTTGTCATAAGTGCATTAATAAATTTTTAATTTTATTTGTTCCTAAATGCAATTTTGTAGATTTATAAAACAATCTCGGTTAATTTATGGTATTTATAAAGGTATATGTTTTCAAATGTATATTTAAATGCAAACAATGTATTTATATATAGGTTTGCTTTACATAACAAATACCGTGTAACATAACTTAGAGTTAATAGTTTGTTTAATTTTAAACAAACTATGTTATTTTACCTCTGAACATAATTTGTACTTCCTTTGAATAAACTTGTTATTTAATAATAAAAAAACAAAGGTAAACCTGCAAAACAAACTACTTTCTACCTCTTTAAAAATGTGTTGATATTGTGAGATTTTACAAAATACGTTTAAACCCCCCAGTATAGAGAATAATAAGTTCTATTATATTTATGTTTTAAACATTTTATAGTTGATGGTGTTTATTGGTAGTTACAAATTGTTTGGTTAATAGTTACCTACCTAGTTCTTGGATCAAGTCTGATGTAATATTAGAAATGCAAAAGTACAGGTTAAATTGTGATAAATTATTCATTTTTTAAAAATTAATAGTAATAAATGCTTCAGAAAGAAATATTGAAAATAGACTATGATTTATACTCATAAAAGATCCTTACTATTGGACCGATAAAAGTATACCTTAGCTTTATTTATTAATTACAAGTTTTATATTAAACTACCTATACGAATACTCTTGATAAATAAACAATGGGTTATGGCGTCCTCTCTGAATTACTGCAAACAAATTTAGAGAAAAACGTTGCTCTGCTAGAAAATCGTCATTTTGTGAATACATTTTTGATTTGGGACATCGATTTATTCTTTACCAATTACCCCAAAATTTGGGTGGCTCGTTTAAACCATCTATTGTATAGTGCCTAAACCACTGAATCACCATTAAACCTAACGGTCCTTTGATTTTTAAGAATTTGTCCATGGGTTAAGCATTAAATATATCAAGCTATTGCATATCCCCTTCATTAGATAATTAATTAACAAAATGGAATCATTAAGCTATCATTTTTTTTTTTTATATAAACGTATACCATCGAGTAGTTATTCAACTCTGCGATGGAGTTTATATGCGGGCCATTCCGACAACAAATATGTCTCTTAAAACTATGTATGTTGAGATCAGTGCCGAAATTAAATTTGGAAGTTAAATTTTTTAGGCAACACATTGTTCCACGTTTTTGTCTCTGGACTTGTTTGCTTGATAGAATTGGTGTCTGGCTACAAAATACTATTTATTTTTGGTGATCATTGAGGGTAATTGTTAGTCTCTTGTACTGCAAACTATTGGGATAGTTTCCATCCGTCAAACACAAACTGTATAACAGCTTGTACAGTGCTTCTGAAAATTATGACAAAAGAATTGAATTTTTTTTTCAATTCGTCACTAATGCCATAGTCTAAAAAAAAATTGTTCAACCTTACCTACACAATTTTAATGTCATTATCGGACTCAAACGTACCTGAGGGGTATCGATCACTTGAAAAAATACGGTTTTCTGAATTACCTGAGGTGTTGGTGTCCAAGACATCAATATTACTGACGTTTTTTGTCAGGTGTCCGCACAATATTTTTCAAATTCTATTCATTTTGGACTCTCTACTCCCAAACAAAGTAAAAAACCTTAAAAACCCCGTTGCCAATTTGTTGTACCTAATCCGTATGTGATGGAGTAGGTAGGAGTAGAAGTAGACACATTGCCATATTGACAGATTGTCAAAGACTGGTTTATTAACTAAGATTAATAATGGATTATACATGTACAATGTACATGTATGTGTGGCGCCCGGTGGATATTATCTGTACGTACTCATCATCATCATAATAATTAAATGTTCAATATAAAACACTGATTAATCTAACTGTTTGGATGACTTAGATTAAATGTTGACCTACATTGGAGAAGTGGCTCCATCATTAGACTGTAGTAGGATATTATTTCTTGAAAAATCACCTTCTGATTTTACTAAGTTAAAAGTGGGCACATTTGTAATTAACCATCACGATAATTTATTTATGTTTCCCCGCTAATAATAATGCTTTTACATAATATTTTCCTGAGTATTTACTTAAAAAATGCCTTGAAAAACACTGCAGTGATATTTGTTTATGTTATGCTAATTGCTTAACATCAAAATCAGTTAGTTTTATCATTTTTGTTTACTCATTTTAAAGCCTATCGAAATAAACAAAACACAAATTATGGATGTAAATATCTAATAAGTATATAAATGTACTACCAGAACTATTTTTTAGCTACATTAATGAATTAGATAATATTTATCATCTTGTCTTTTAATTATGATTTTCTAAAAAATCAAAAACCTATACGTTAGGCTAAGAATATATCATGGTTGATTAAATTTTCTTTTGCCTAGATGATCAAACTGATATTTCCTCTTATAAGATGGTGGAGTGATTTCGCCACCTGCCTATATGCTGTATATTATGTTACTTCTTATCAGTGTCCATTCCGTGACTTTCCTTAGTTTTATTTATTTATTTGTTTTTTCATTTGAATTATTTCACAAATTCATTTCAGAGTTGTTGCTAATACCCACCCCGGATGTCATAGCGTCGCCCTTTTCCCCATTTTAAGCAAGGAGAGGGCACACGTGATAGATAGCCTACAATAATAACAATACAAATTTTAATTTTAATATAATATATTTATAGGTATGTTTTTATATTTTCATACATATTTTATGATCAATTTGGAATAGGTCTTTAGGTGCGAAAAAATTAAACGGCATCTCGTCCGTGACCATACACAAAATGCGATTACTATATAATTTTATGAAATCACACGTATTAGACATTATAGTGTTCAAACGGATTGAATTTTAACGTAAATAACAGATTTCTTTCGGCAGACGGAAGTCGCATTCGGCATTTTCTTAACCAACTTTTGTTTTATAGTTTATACACTAAAACATGATATAACTAACAAGGTACTATGTTCTTAGCTCATCACAAAAATACGAGTTTTGGTCCCAATTTACTTCTAACAGAAAGTAAAAATAAGGTTTTTATTTTACAATCGGGGTACGTAACTACTTGCGGTATATAAAAAAAAAAATAAATTTTTAATTGTTCATGAGTTTTAAACCAAGGAGTTTCAAAAAGAACTTAACAAAAGTAGGATGCGTTGGTATTTTGCTATACTTGCCAAGGTGATATTATACCCGGCCGTTGACTAAGTAACCTAGTGGCTAGTAATAAAGAAATGGACTGCGCCCCTCTCACACCCCGCCTGCCAATATCGCCGCAGGCTCAATTTCGATAGAAAAAAATAGATGTAATTAAAAACATTTTGTTATCAAGTATTATCATATTACTATTTTTCTATAATACTATTTCTTCCATGAGATACCCAGAAAATCACTCTTCAACGATATTGATTCTCAGATCTCTCTACTATCAGTCCATTTCTTTATACGGTACAGTGTATATCTATATCTATCATGATTGATAAAACAATTTTCCATTGTGGTCTGTGAGCTGTCTAAATAATTCATATTACAGAATAGAGGCACAGAATAACTGTGTTATTCTGTGATAGAGGTACCTACTTAAGCAGTCTTCAGTTGCACTGTTCACATTCAACATATTAAATATTTCATTTATTTCAAAATTAGATCTCGGCCGGTTTGTCATTGAGTATCCATTTGTGTAGTAATTATATTAATTAATTACCCGACGTTTATAGTAACAAAACTTGTTCGAGGCTGCTGAGTGTTGACCGGCATCCAACGTGAACTAACAATTCTTAAAGGTTTATATATTTTAATATAAATCATTATATTTTTTATTATTACGGATTCCCATGTTCAATCTTCAATATTAGGAGGTAATAACCATTACTTTTTACTTATAGTAGCAACACGGTTAAACACTTGTTTGTTTTATTACTTAAATGCTTTATTCAATTACAGGTTAACCATTATTAATACACAATTTATGTATTGCTCAATGTAAGTCGAGTTCATAAATTATAAACATTTTAAAACAACAATGTCTTCGGATATTCCAAAATATGGTTGGAAAGTGGATTTTGACAATAAATACCCAGATCCTAGAACACCTACATATATACCAAGGATCAAACAAATCATTCAAATATTACCTCTAATAATTAGGTAGATAATTAATGATTTAATTTTGTATTCAAATTAGGAACCAATCAACTTTACCGCCCCAGACCCGAATTTCAATTTTTTTTTCAATCAATTTGTTTTTCAATACTAAAAACAATGGTGCAAAAAAAAATTGCGGAAATGCTTAGTTTTTAAGTTACAGCTACTTGAACTTGGAGAATTATCGTTGCACGAGACGGCTGCGGCTCATCGCCTGTGGCCCGCTGTGGATGCAGGCCCTGGAAGCCGTGTTACGTGCTCGACAATAAAAAAAGACCACGAAGGGCGGGTGCCTAGTTGTGTCGGCAGCTATTGGATTATAAGAGTCTGCTTAATTCTGGATTTGTAATTAGTGACAAAACACCATTTTATAGAAAATAAAAAATCGCAAAGAAATCCCATAAACTACTGTGTTCTTAAATCGCGATTCACGTCGTCCAGTGCTGCATGATGGTGACAGCGGCACAGCCACTGCGGGGGCGTCTCGTGCTACAATAATTCTTTAAGTTCAACTAGCTGTAACTTCAAAACTAAGCATTTCCGCAATTTTTTTTTTGCACTTTTGTGTTCATCATTGAAAAACAAATCGATTGAAAATCGAAATTCGGGTCTGGGGTGGTAAAGTTGATTAAAGCCAAAAATGGCTAGGTTTATAAACATAAGTTTAGACACCTTATAAACTCATTGTTTCCGTCTGATATCTGCCCCTTGTTCCCAATATCAATATTTACAATTTTATTCTTTTTGTATATTTGCCTAGATAAGGTGTTGATTTTGAACTTAAGTTTATTGTTTAAAATGTTTTATCAACTAATAAATATTAATTTTAACCCGTGTCCTACAAGAGTTGAAGTTTAAATGGGATTTAACATAGAATTTCGACACTTGTGCACAAATCAATGCATACATTTTTTCCTACTCCTTATTTTGAGATGAAGTTTTGATGGTCTTATAGCTTGGAGTCTGCTGAACACGTACACTGTTATCATTACATAACATCTGCCTTCCCCACCATATTCTTTGGACATCACCCAGCGATCGGGCCGTCCTCTAGATTTTTTAGTCGAAATTATATTCTTTAATATAAAATGTAAAACAATTCTATCTCTTAATGTTCTCTCTTGTTTGAAAATAAACTAAAAAAGTACGATAAAACGGCTATTTTTTGTTAAACTTTCATTTTCTGGCAACAATTTTGACAGGTTTGAACTTTTGGATATAGTGTATGTGTTCAGCAGACTCCAAGCTATAAAACTATCAAACTTAGGAGTAGGAAAAAATGTATGCATTGATTTGTGCACGAGTGTCGAAATCCTATGTTAAGAGGACGCCACACCGGCCATTTCTAAGGAGTAAAATATAGGCAATTTTTCGAAAAATCTTAATTTAGAGTTTGAACTATAATGTATACTTATTAATACAATAATGATGATACTTTGTTGATTGTCATTTTTTTTGTCAGACTATCACTGTCATTTCTATAGGATAAATTATAATTTTTTTCCCATCAAAACTGCTTTGCACGGATTAATTTTTCTCAGGCTTCATATATAGTTAAGGGAAGAAATTCATACATATTATACATGACAAAATTATCTGTGCTCCAGCATCTGTATTTTTTTGAAATTCCTAATACAACCAATGCTATATCATTTTTAATAAAGTCAAAAAAGTCCTTTCTTAATTAATTAATTATTCATTAACTGGTTGAAATATTTAAAAAAGTACCATGGGTAGAGCACAGATAATGTTGTTGTTAATATTATGTAAAAATTTGGTTTCTTAGTTTTGATTTCAGCCTTTGTAAAATTATGCCGTGCAATGCGGGTTTTTGAAGAAAGTAACGTGTGTGTGACGCCCTCCTAAATCTCATATATATATTTCAAATGCATGTATATAAAGTTTTGTCGAGGCCATCTTTGGCTTAAAAAAAATTAGAGGTCAGTAAGATCATGTTGCTGTTATGTCATTTAATTTAGGAAATATATCACCATAACATGTAGCAGTAAGTATTTTTTGACCCCTACATTTATTAACCATTGACGGTTTTTTTATTTATTATTCTTACATAAATTGCAATAATTACGATATTGCAATACAATTTTATTTTAGGTACGTTATTTACATGCTAATGTGTTACATAAAAGGTCAAAAGCCTATAATGGATTTCTTATTTCCAATTCGATCACAACACATGTATGGTAAGTAAATTGTTAAGTAGTTTTTAACATGTTATTAAAAAAAAAACTTAGCTGTAACCTTTGAAAACATGATGTTCTTCTTTTAAAATATCAAAATTATTTTTTGTAATCTTCTTCTTCTTCTTTATCTTCGCCTTACACTCCCAACTACATGGGGTCGGCCACCCTAGTCCTACACCTTCATATGGCTCGGTCTTCTACATCTCGTTCAATAACCCCCCACTTCCATCATATCACTCTGTATTCCGTCCACCCACCTTTTCTTTGGTCTTCCTCTTCCTCTTTTTCCTTCTACATTTATCTTCATAACACCTCTCACTGCCTCTGCCTTGTTTCTTCTCATAATATGACTGAACCATCTCAACCTATTCTCTCTCATTTTCTCCACAATTTATGCAACTCCTAGACTGCCCCTTATGTATTCATTTCTTATTCTATCTTTCCTAGTCACTCCACTCATCCATCTTAACAGCTACACTCATTCTCTGTTCCGTTTTCATATCTACTGCCCAACATTCTGACCCATATAACATTGCTGGCCTCACTACCGACCTATAAAATTTACCTTTCAAAATTATTTTTTGTAATAAGCTATTCAAATGAATTTATGGGCTCAACCAGTGCAGTAACCAGACAGCTGTATTTTTTTTAATTGTTAAAGACTATCAAAATAAAATTCCTTTTTCATTTACTACCATTGGTGGGAAAAAATGCGTTTTGTATTATCTTTATAACTAATAGTCCGATTTTACTGTTTGTTCTACCAAAATGTAGATCATTTTCCGTAAAAATGTTTCCATGAAAACACAATGTTTGATAAAAATAGAGCAGTCTGGTGATTGCACAGAGCCCTTTAATTGCAAAATGTTAATTTTTTTATTGTTTGCAGGAGTACCATTAGGTGGTATTGGTGGTGGAACTATTGGACGTGGGTTTAAAGGAGAATTTTGTCGTTATCAAGTTGTACCTGGTATGTACGAATATAAAACTATTCGTGCCAATCAGTTCATTGTCACTATACAAAATTCTGAAAATATTACTGTTTACAACAATGTTTTGTCATCTTTAAAGTAAGATAACTTTATATTTTTTACATTAATAGTAAAATGTTCACGATGAGTCATTCATAGATGTGACAATAAAACTTTATATAATTGGAAATGGGATTTTCCAACAAATTGTGCTAAATATACTGGACTTTACCCCAGATCATGGACTGAATATTTAATACCTGAACTCGACATCAAGTTGGTCTGTAAACAAATATCTCCCGTGATCCCAAACAATTATAAAGTAAGCAGTTTTTACGGTGATATGAAATCCAACAAAAATTGATGTACACTTATCAAAATAGATGTATAGAACAAATAAAAATAATTTGGTGTAAGAAAATATTGAAATTTGCTTGATTTAATTTTTATAGCTTTACAATTGTCTAATTTAAGCGAGTACATAATATTTTAAGTACAAAGCTGCTTATCTGTAAAAATACTGGCATAGCTTGCTACTATTTTAAATAATTTTCTGCCAATTTATGGAGACATGATCAATAATTGACATGAGCCATTATAACCGTTATGACTTATTAAAGGCCACCTGAGTTATCCCCTGGGCAAGAACTTGATGTTTATGCATATTGCATAAACATTTTATTAAGTGTTTGCATATTTTGTTTATTAAAAATAGATTTAACTAATTTTGTATAGGATAGTTGTGTACCAGGTGGTGTTTTTATATGGACTGTAGAAAACAACAGTAATTCACAGTATAACATCAGTATTACATTTACATTTGCCAGTGGAAATGGAGTTTCTTCTTATAACACAGGTAAATACCTACTAATAAAAATGAATTGTTCATTCTCTCAAAACTTGCAAAAATTACATTAGTTTTATTTCTAAGTGAAAAAAATTATTTTTTGAAACTTGTTTAATATGTTATATACATTTTAGATGAAGCAAGTTGTGAACCATTTAATGTAAATGAAGATGGAACTGAAGTTGCTGGTTCACTAATACATAACTTCTTTAAGAATATGAAATGTACTTATGTTATTGGTGGAAAAGTCAAAGTTAGAATAAATATATGAAGAAAATGGATATTTTAGTACTCAATTACATAGAAATGAGCCTGAAGTCAAAGTTTAAGCCTGGATATATATATATATATTTTTTTGGAATAAAATATTGTTTGAAAAAATCGTGGTCATCTTCTAAAATGATTTTTTTTGCCATTGTCGATATTTTTTTGTAATTATTTTTTTTTTCTCAAAAGTTATAATACTTAGCTTTATATCTGCTTAGTTCTATGACTCAGCCTCATTTCTAAAACAATTTATACACCAATTATATCTAGTGAAGAAATGACTATAAAACCCTTGACCATAAAAATAATACACTCTGTGTATACGTAATTTGGTTTTAAATGTTTTCAGACTGAATGGCTCAGTCTGTCGTTAGCACTGAAGATGACAATATTGTTGCCAAAATACATATTCACATAGAGTGTATTATTTGTATGGTTAAAGGTTTAAATAAATATTCGTTTCTTTACTATATATATATATATATATATATATATATATATGGGGCATTCTGAGTTTTACCATGCGGTCCCGACCACCTCAACATTTATCACAATTTTTTTTTTAATCATCTTTTGGTCTTGTATGAAACCTTAATTTTTTTACACTCATTTTGAACCCATAAATTCAGGTTATTTAAGTTATTTTTCACAAAATCGATTTTGATCAGTTTTAAATTTCTGAAATATTTATCACAAAATCAGAGGCTCAAATTAGTTGTTTTCATCTAACTACGGGAATGAGCCGAGATTAATTTCTACTTATTTTTCAAAATCTGAAAAAATTTAGAATTTCAGTTTTTTTTATTTAATGACCTGGATGACTGCGTGGTTTGACTGGAAAAAAATGTAGACAAATATTTCTATTTGTTGATTAAATATTTAATTATTATTGTGACCTTTTAGGATCGTGGAACACTTAGTCAATTAAATTTTGATCCTAATAGTAATGGAATGTCTGTATCGAAGAGTTTGAAGTTATTTGGAGAACTGAAAGAAATGGGGGAAAAAAAAGATAATTTGTATTGTAAGTAATTATGCAAAGTAATATATCACAAGAGTAATTATCAAGGTTTTGTAACATAACAAAATATACAATTATGAACTCGTTCTGTTCACCAAACTCCCACAGAACATAACATAATATTTGAATATGTTCTGAGAATGTTAAACCGAATAACGTATACATGTTTTTGTGAACTGATATACAATTTAGATTATTTTGCAAACCTAAAAACAAATAAATTGACTAATTTTAAAATATTTCTTATAATAAATTAATGTATAAAAAATTACTTGTTTGCAAATTCAATAAAAATATTGTGTAAATTATTTGGGTAAATGTTCAAAAACCTTGTTCTCTTTGTTCTCTGAACAAATATATTTATGATGTTATTCTTTATAATGTTTACGAAGCAAAACATTTTTAACAATATTCGTGATAACATTCTCAGAGTTGATCAATTCATAATGTTATTCATAATTTACGCTCATGAACATAATTTTGAACTGGAAAAAAATAAAACTTAAAAGAGCCCTGGTAATTACTTTATGACACAAATATCTCGCACTATCAATACATAACATCTGAAGTTGAAAATATGGCTTTTTGGCAACGTCAAATTTAGAATTCGATTTCCTATCTTATATAGGTACCTTTTTTTAAGTTATTTAAACTATTTCAATGTCAGCAATCATTATCGTATATGTAGTGTAAACATGCAAGTTTTAAATTTTAAAATTGTTTTCTCAAAAAGACAAATTTCATGTTGTGAAATGCCTGATCATGGCACAATCATGCCTGATTGTGTTGATTGTGTGATATACAATGAATAAATCTAAAAAAATTACAAGGTGGTAATTATTAATATGTCTTTTGTTGTAGCTAAAGGTGAAGAAGTTGCAAGTGCAGTTTGCATCAAACAATGTTTAAAACCTAATTCGTCTGAGAAATATGAGTTTGGATTGTTTATAGATATGCCAAAAATTAAATTTCCTATGTCTCAAATTGAGTATTTAAGGTATAAAACGTATTAATAATTGTTAATCTTTTATTTTATTAATTATTCATTTTGTTATAGAATGTAAAGCTTTGATTGCTAACCATTTTAATAATAATCGTAAAAACGTATTTATGGCAAAGCAAAATGGTCATAGAAAAAGATTTTGATACCGTTAAAAAAAGAAAACTTGGTTATCTTGTCAGTTTTTTAGAAAACCTTAATTTTTCCTTAAATAAAAGCTCTTCAAAAAGTAAATTTAATTTCAGAATTAAAATATAAACTGTAAATGTTGGGTTAATAATATCAAAATAAGTTACTGTTTACTAAAAAGTGTCCTAATTACACATCACAGTTAAACTTTAAAATTAAGATTTTGCAAAAAATTACCTGCATCCCCATGCGGCCTCTGCGTCCTCTTAAACAGTATTCAAATTTTTATTTTTTTCGTCAAGTTCTAACAACTTTTGAAACTTATACATCTTATTTGTTTTTTCAATTAAAATTAATTTTGACTGGTTGATAACCATGTTATTTTAAAACTCAATAAAGTTTAAAATTTAGAAAGAATGAAGTATTATTGTTAAGTGGGCGTATTACACAACCACACTCCACCCCCGTCCTAAATTTAAACTTTAAACTGAACATTAAACATTAACCCTTAGGGCTGCTTCACACGGGGCCACTTTTCTGGTCGCTTATGCTTTTACGAGTGGCGCGGCCAATTTGCCAAACTTGGTGGTGCTACCACGTGTAAAAACATCAATTTAAATGTTATTTTTTTTATGGTGGCCTTGTGTGAAATGGCCCTTACTGTTCCATTAACTTAGCACTGTATCTTTAAAGATGCATATTTTGTATATTAATTTCCTTGACCAACCTAAAAAGTACTTAAAAAGTATTATTTATTTTTGTTATTTAAAAATAAGCCCTTGCTAAGTTAAAGGTTAACCAAATAAAATTTTTAGCAAATCATAGTTCATTAGGTAATTAAAAAAATTTATATTTGTTACCATTTTAGCTTTAAAAGTTGATAGAGCTCTGAAAATACTATATAAAAAAAAAATAGTGCAGTTATTTTAAGAAATATTGATTCTGTTGTTAAATGATCACCTTGTATGAAAATTGAAACTGGTTGTTTATAACATGTTAACATGTTACGATATTTAAATAGTTATTTTTGTTTAGGTATTACACAAAATTTTTTGGATGTGATAGTAAAACTGGACCTAAAATATTTCATTATTCTATGAAAAATTATAAAATCTGGGAACAAGAATTAGATAAATGGCAAAACCCTATTCTTAATGACACGTGTGTACTTTTTTACTGTTAAATTTACTTTTTATGTGCAATATTAGGTTATTTAAAGACGAGTATTTTACAGGTTGCTACCGGATTGGTATAAAAGTGCTATATTTAACGAATTATATTTTGTCGCTGATGGTGGTTCAGTTTGGTTATTACCTCCAAAGGATGACCACTTAGACGTTACCGATCCTAGATATGAATATGGTTACTTTGGATATTTGGAAGGTCATGAGTATCGTATGTATAATACTTATGATGTTCATTTCTATGCATCCTTTGCATTAGCGACATTATGGCCCAAACTACAAGCATGCATACAGTATAAATTTCGTGATACAATTGATGTTTCGTTGCAAATAACTAGAAAACATTTATTTCATGGAACAAGTGGCTTACGGAAATATAAATACAGCGTTCCGCATGATTTAGGAGATCCTGGTGTGTAAAATTATTTATTAATTTAACATTTAAAATTAAATTTTTCTAATTTATTTTTTATTAAATTAGAGGAGGATCCGTTTAGTTTAGTGAATGCTTATTTAGTGCATGATGTGTCTGAATGGCGAGATCTTAACTTGAAATTTGTTCTTCAATGTTATAGAGATTACACTTTGTTTAAGGACAAAAAATATTTGATCGATATGTTTCCCCAGGTAACTATTGTGTTATTAAATAAAAAATTATTTAAGCAGGGCTTGAAAACTTAAAAAAAAACATTATATTAACAGTGAAAGATGGGCTTTTCTAGTTTCTGTCAAGGAAATGAAATGAAAACTTCTTTTAGTTATTAAAATGTTATTTTAAGTTACAATAACAAAAAACAAACCCCAATTTACCCAATTTTACACTTATAAAAAAATCTGATTTTTATTATATACTGGTGTCCCATAAAGTGCGCAACTTTGAAAAAACAGGAGCGACCACATACCGACTCAGTGTAAGTTGTCTTATGCTAGGTATTGTTTTCCACAATTAAATTGGAGATGTTATTCAATGTAAATATATAAGAATATACCTATGCGTTTTAATTAATATGTAACTGTTATATTATTTTTTTTAAAGTTGCGCACTTTATAGGACACCCTATATTATGTAATAGACAACATTCAATATCAGTAGTTACCAGCTATCACTCAATTATTGGTTATTGTGATTTTTGACTATGACCTATGTATTAAGTATTTACATACTTATAGCATCATAAGCACAGTTTTTAAAATAAATTACTAGGGATGACAGCTTAAGCACAAATTTCTCACGAAAATTTGTGATTACATTTGTTTAGACTATAAATTTAATATATTATTTTTATATCCACATATAAAAAAAATAAAACTTAGTTTGGCTCTCTCATAAATAATATTTGGTTGATAATAATATATATAATTAGTGTACAAGGATCAATGGTATGTATTTAATGTAAAATTATCTAGTTTTTTTTTTAAGTATTGCTTTTTTATGATGGCAGTTTATTTTATATTTTGGTGTTTGTATACCTAAAAGTGCTAAAAAATATTTTTCTTTTAAATTAGTAAAATGTGTTTAGTAAGAGGAGGGGTTTGGGGAATGCAAGTTTTGTTATGTTTTTATTGTTTAATAGAACCTTGCCTAACGATTATCTTAAAAAAAAAAAAAACTTAATCTACTCATTTTTATAAAGTAACAAGCTGTCCGGACTGTATTTACATTTCGTATTTAAAGTACAAAGTTCGTGTTTGAGATCATCTTTAGGGGTGGAATTTTCGAAAAGTACTATGCCAAGTATAGATATAATGAATAATAGTATAATAGGTATAATGTATAATGAATAAAGGACAGACAGACCAACAGAAATTCATTTTTATATATATATATATATAGATAAGCTTGACAAAGACGAACCACTCCCAACAACGGGAGTTAATTTAATTCCAATGTCAAGAAAAACTATAATATTTTATTAAATTATTGACCATATTTTCCACTTGACTATTGACGAAATTTGTTTGTACAGACAAAAATAAAAACATGTTTATATTTTTGATATTATCATTATAATTTATAATTGTTTAAAGATCAACCATGTAATGGAGAGATGTTTAGTTTGGGATACAGATCATGACGGCATGATAGAAAATTCTGGCTCAGCGGATCAAACTTTTGACACATGGATTATGACTGGCGTCAGGTAATCTGAACTAGCTAAATAATTTATTCTTACTTACATATTTTCAATTTATACTTGTTTTGATCTTAGTGCTTATTGTGGAGGATTATGGATAGCAGCTCTTTACAGTACTATTATAATAGCAACAATATTAGAAGACGATAAAGTTATATCAAAATACTCTGCAATATTAATTAAAGCCAAAGAGTCTTTTAATAAAGTTCTATGGAATGGTCAGTTTTTTATTAGTCTTACATTTTAGTAGTGTTAACAAGATGGTTACATTTTATAATAAAACTAGTAGAGTAAGAACATTTGTATTAACTTATTTATATTTTTGTTAACTTAAATAGACATCATTAGTTTAGAAGTTTTTATGTGGTCACTAAACCATGATAGCTTAAAGTAAATAGTAAAATGTTATACATTTGATTTATATCAAAACTTTTTGAAGGTGCTGCTCTAATAGTTAAAATATAATCATTAAGAGGACGCCATAATACCGCCCATATTTAAGGAGTAAAGTATAGACAATTTTTTACAAAATCTTAACTTAAAGGTTAAACTGATGTGTAACTATGAGCTCAGTAGTTAGGACTCTTTTTTTTTAGTAGTTAAATTATTTTTCGGACTAACACAGCATCCTTGACAGCGATTTAAAAAAAAAAATTCTGTTGAATTGAGTTTTACGCGGATTAATTTTTCTCAGGCTTCATATATAGTTAAGGAAAGAAATTCATACATATTATTTATGACAAAATTATCTGTGTTCCATCATCCGTATTTTTTCAATATACCTAATACAACCAACGCTATATCATTTTTAAAAAGTCAAAAAAGTCGTTTCTTAATTAATTTATTATTCATTAACTGGTTGAAGTATTAAAAACAGGGCAATGGTAGAACACAGATTATGTTGTTGTCTATATTATGTGAAAATTTGGCTTCTTAGTTTTGATTACAGCCTTTGTAAAATTAATCAGCACAAGGCGGGTTTTTTAAAGAAAATAACGAGTGTGTGGCGCCCTCTTAATATAAACAATACATTGCTTTTCTATTACGTTTTTTTCAAAATTGAATTTACTATAAATATAAATACATTTTTTATTTAAAAAATTTGTTAAGGCGATTATTACAATTTCGATTCATCTGGCCAACCGCATTCAAAGTCTATTATGGCTGATCAGTTATGCGGTCAATGGTATTTAAAATGTTGCGGAGTGGAAGAAGAAGTAAGTGATATAAATATTTAAATTATTTTTTTCCAAGCCAGTGTTGTTGTTGCTGATGTGATTCCCTGAGCTCACAAATTAAAAATGGATTTTATTTTGAAACTTATTAAGCAATATTTTAGATTAACACTGCATTATTGCACATTTTTTATTATTGTAGGTTTTTCCAACCGACCAAGTTATAAAAGCTCTATCAACTATATACAAAATGAACGTACAAGGATTTAATGGTGGTACAATGGGAGCAGTAAACGGTATGATGCCTGATGGAAACGTTGATACATATTCGTTACAAAGTGAAGAAGTTTGGACCGGTGTTACTTATGCCTTATCTGCATTAATGATCTCTCATGTACATTTTCCATATTCATATTACGTGTTTATTTTGTTATCAGCTTCAATTTAAATTTAAATTGCTGAATTTTTACAGGGTTTAAGGGAAGAAGGTTTTAATACCGCCAAAGGAATTTACAACACTGTTTACAACAGTATAGGAATGGCTTATGAGACTCCTGAAGCATTCTATTCAAAAAAAGCATATCGCTCAGTCGGATACATGAGACCACTTAGCATATGGTCTATGCAACTTATTTTAAATAATATTAGTAAAATCTAATTCCAATTGACTATTTTATAATAATGGTAGATCACATTTTTAGTACAGTGAATATGAAAATAAAAACTATTACAGAAGTATTTATAGATGGACACAATGCAAAACTACTACAGAAATCCAAAGTGCATGATTGATTTGATATGATCGGATTTAAAGTATTTTCAATTGGTTCCCACGGGCAAAGTTTACACGATTCCTTAGTCATTGGTATTGCATGCTCATTCAATAAAAACATAACTTTATTGCCTTCTCTACATTTGTAAAACACGGCTATGAAATTTGATGCAAATGGGTCTATGAATGATGTCCTCCAGTTTCTGCCTCTCTGCTTTTCAAAGTTACTACTCAATAATGGTATGTTGTCTTTTGCAATACCCATACGAGTCACAATACTCAATACGTTAGGCGTATGTCCAAAATAAAATACTCCTGATGGAGTAATTTGTCCTCTAGCGATGTTTCTAAATTACATAACAGTAATGTTATAATTTTATATAGCATTATGCACTAATTTATATTTTTAATGAAATAAAAAAAATTTTTACTTGAAGTTGTTTATCATATCTTTGACTATTGGACATCCCAAACGTTCTCCATTTGGATTACCATAAGCATTGCTGTAGTAATATTTAAGGTCCTCGAGATATTCTAAGATCTATAATATACATATATATATATACAAAAAAAATATTTTTTAACTATTGAAATCAATGAATACTAATGCTCGAGTATCTCACTTCTAAATCGTTGTGGGAAAACAATGCACACCACGCCGGACTTGACTGAGGATACCACGCTTTTTCATATCTACAAGATTCAAATATCAGCTGAACGTCATCTATAATAATTAATAAATACATCTTTAATGGTAAAATTATAAAAGTCGAGAGTCATTACTCGTTTTCCGATTATAGTCTTAATATTTTGTTAAAACATGGCCCAATAATCCTAAAAAGGAAAACCTAGAAAATTATGTTGTTTTACTACAGAATCATTAACCGTGTAAATGGTTTAAATTCTTAATAATTTGTGTAATATATTGTACTATAAAACAGACTTGATCGATTTCAAGATTTAACATTGTAAATAAGATAAAATCATGAAAAATTTTTTTAAGAAAGATGATAAATTCAAAATTTAAAGACTAACGAATTTACAGCTATATCGCTTGTACACTGAACACTATGTTATTGTAAAATCAAAAATCTTTGCATCATTCAGCAGACGATATTTTAAACAAATTTAAATTACATATTAAGATATTTTAGCAGTTAATATTTTTCGTGTTGGTCTTATGTCCTTCCTTTAAAATTGGAAATCAAATATTATAGTTAAAAGACAATAATTATATAATACAAATTAGACGGTAGCGAATAACGGTAGTATGACAATAATTATTTTGAGATAAAAATCTTACTGTACGTGAGGTTGTTACTTAGTCCCATTTTCATAGAAACACTTGACACGACAGATTGCACTGATGGGCTATTTTGAAATTTGTTTACTTCTTCACTGCCGTCCATAGCATCGTCGTCAACTATTACTTTACATTTTGATAGCTGCACGTATACGGTATAATATAAATATTTAACATAGTTTAGTTTTTCATTATTATTCTAACACCGATAGTAAATTGTATTATATTTTAATAGTTATTAACTATTGAGGTAGGTACACTGTTTTACCGGAACGGGTGTACTACCCAGTTGACACCTCACACCGTACGTACCATGTTACAAGAATTGATTTTACTATACCGTGTGTACTTACCAAATATACTAAAAATATTCTAACAATAAAGGTATAATTTCGGAATAAAATATGTCGAAGGTAAGGTTTGCACTATAATTTTACCTATATAATTCGTTTATATTGGTGTATTTTTAGTGTAAAACGACTGTCGAAATTTGGTTTATTTTCCGTTTACAATTACACTAATATTTTTGGTATGCATTTAACGGTAACCTATAGGTATGTACGTATGTATTTTAAAGTTTAAATTAGTGTTAAATTACACTTACACTTATTCTGTCGTCGTTCTTTGTTGTTGGTAAATCCTTTTCAGGGTTTGTATTAAACAATGATTGGAAAAATACAGTTGCGCTAGCCGTGGCACGTGGTTTTGGCGACGATAAAAACTAAAACAACAATATTATACATGCTTGGTTATAATGGAAATAATTGGAAAATCACAGCTGCTGTGATGATGATTGTTCTGTTTTAAAGATACTATTATTTTCACAGTGAATTTCAAATATGAAATGTGAGCTTGAAACCGATGTGTGACAGTGGGTTGGTAAACAAAATTAACATCATAAGCTTTGTACCAGAAAAATGTATTAGAGTAGTACAATTTAAAAAAACTTACAACAGCAACAAAAAGAAGCAATAAAACTTGGAGAAAACGCAAAACGTCAACACTAGATTGATTATTACATTAGGTTATTTAACGTATGTTAGTTGTTATACTAAATAATATAATATGTTACTGGCCTATAACATTGGAAAGAAAGGAGATGTCAAGTATTTATCCAAATCCAAGGAGGGTAATAAATATAGTGGCCGATTTTTTAGAAACGTATTAGCTCTAGAGGCAAAGTGAATAAATCGTTACATCGACAGGTGTAACAATTATTAGTGAGTAAAGTAAGAGTTTTTATTCAATGCAGATTTGAGGCAATACAAATGTGAACAATAAGCCAAACAATTTATGAATATTATCATACATGGATCAATTAACGTGAAAAAGAAACAGGGAGAAATGCTAGGGAATGAACATGGTCTTCTGCATAAACAAAATATACTGAGCCTGTCCAGTACTGTGGCTAACAGACATTTTGTGTCTGTAATACAAATCTGTGGCTTGGAGCAAGAAGGGCCAATGTCACTTTTTACAACTTTCGGAAAATGAGCTTTGAAGTTTTTATTTTCCAATTAGGCTCTATGTTAATTTTTTCACAGTATATAAAGAATGATTCAATTTTTGCAATTAGCGGACTAACTCGTTTATGCACAAAATTGACATTGGCCGTTCTTGCTCCAAGCCACAGAAATGTATTAAGACAAAATTATTAATTATTAAAAAAATACTTAATTGGTTCAAAGATGAAATGGGTCATAAGAACATAGCTTGAATTTTATAATATAAAAACAGTTTTTTTAAATTTTTTATTTTTTAACCTCAAAAAGTTGTTGAAAAATTAAAAAAAAAAAATTGAAACCTTATTTCTGGTGTCAAAATAATTTCTCCATCACCAAACTTTTACCAGATGTTCTACTCACTTACTTAAAAGTAAGTATTGCATGAATTTGGAAAATTTTCGTTCAGTCACATTTGTGTTGTGGGTCATTAAAATAGGTAGTTTTCAGCAAAATACCCATGTTTGAAGCCGTAAATTAATAGCAAAAAAAAACTTAATTGGATCAAAGATCTCGATGGCCATTTGAAGTCGTTGTAACGATAGGCGCAATTTCAATTTTTAACTTGGGGGGGCTGGAATTTTTTTTTAAATATACATAAAAGTAAATATATTTTTGTATTTTAAAATTGTATGCATAACCTAATTTTTTTTGGGGGGGGGGCTAAGCCCACCCTAGCCGCCCCCCCCGTATTTGCGCCTATGGTTGTAACCGATTTCTACTGTATTAATAATTTAATAAGATTGAATTTTAATCCTTGTAGATTTGTCGCATGGATAGTAGGTAGGTACTTCATTATTCATATTTATTATGTCGCCTGTTGTGTTTATTTATTACGGCTTTGATAGTTACTTGAATAATTGATTTTTTTTAGGTTTTTATTATATTATGATTTATACATAAATATAGGTACACCAATTTACGGTTTACCAGCATGTGATTGACTTGTAATCTCAATTACAAACCGACCACGTAATCATAGCCGTTTAAGTGTATAAAAGTGCTTTTTAATAAATGCAATCATTTTTATATCTAACTTCGATAGTGACAAGGCTGTTCATAATTGCATGGTAGAACAGGGGGAAGTGCAAAGATATTGCCATTTGCCGATTGTACCTATACGCTTTAATGATGAGTAAATCAGAAGAATGGTAAGTTCGCCTTTTCGAAAATCTAAATAATATTTCAGCTGAAAATGAATTGGATTTAATAAATCCTCAATTTTTATTTGAGCAAGCCGCTAGAAATGCTTCAAAACGTGAATACATAAAGACTAAACACAAAGGTTGTCTTCACATAGGACAAAGTGTACCTAAGGCGTCACTAGAAATTCATTATTCACGATGAAACTTCTGAGATAATGCAGTGGTTTGAGAACAATTAAGTGCACGGTAGAATTTGAATAATGACTAATGAGAGGCGGTAATGTATGTGTCACAGCTCTTTTCTTTCCGCCACACTTTTGGTCAATATTTAAGTAAATGGAACTAGGAATTACAAGTACTTAAAACCGTTTAGACGCATAGCACAGGCGTCTTGAAACTCTTGTTAGAAAAAGGTCATGTTGGTGTGTATAAAATCATCGAAGAGATTAAAAAAGAACAAATTCCAAGTTGAACGAAGAACTGAAGATATAATTCGAGGAATAACACTTTCTCCATCTCGCACAGAATATACTGAACGAGAAAAACGTTTAAGTGCAATTATGAATGACAGAGAAAATCGCATGAACTTATAATTTTTAAGGGGAATCGCTCATTACATTAAATTGTAAATCATATAACATTGACTATTTAGTAGTTTTTGGCATAAGCTTAGTTTTTAAATGTTTGTATTTATTTTATAAAAAACTAATATTTATTTAAAAATAAATAATATTATTTATTTATAACATTTTAAAACTTTGTACTGATTTTATATGTATATAAGCTATAATGTATTATAATTGAGTAAATGTATGGTCAGGACATTTGTACTGATCCCCCTTTTAAGAATATCAAAAACATAATATGATAATACTCCGTAGATTTATTGAGTACGTTTCTTCAATTGCCTGTATAAATATTAAATATATATCATCGAATTTTTATGTATAAATATATACCAATAAATACAAATAAAGCAGTTTTTGTTTCAAATAAATCAATTACTAACTTTGAATTTAGACGCATCGTAATTCGTACTGAATAAATTTGGGAACTGTCGTTTAAGTCGTAGAGCTAGTGTTTTAAGTTCTTCGATGCCCTGTGCTTGCAGCATGTAATGATCTTGAATAGTCAAATTAGTGTTCCAGTTTCGGATTGCGTTTATGTCATCCCAACACATTGGAGATTGTTCAGTAATTTTAGCCTTCAATAGGTTCAGTTTAGTTTTGAACTCGGTAATGGTTTCCCTTGACGGATATCGGGTGCCGTGTCTAGACATCATCCATACTTGTATTGGTGTACAATCTGCGAAAAAAATCCTTAATATTAGTATTGAACATATTTGATCACGTATACAGGTTTCCATAATTCTCGTGCTCGCTTTGCCTTAGCAGTTATCTCGCTTAGTCCTGTAGCAGATTTAGGGATCTAGGGGGCCGATATTAATTAACAGCTTTTCAGAAAATGTAGCGCAAAATTAAACAGCTGAATGAAAAAAGGATAAAATTCCATAAATACGAAAAATAAATTGAGATAGCCACTTTGTAGCTAAAAGGTAGCCTCATAATATAAAAAAAATAATAAAGGATTAATATCCCACTGAAACTTTATTTGAATAAATTATAGCAAGAATTAAATAATTCCTATATATATAAATTATATAGGAAATAAACAGTTTTCTTTAATTTTCAGAAACGTGGATGTTACTTTTCCACTCAGCAGTTCAAATATTCTTAAGTTTAGATATTTGATACATTTTACAGTTGTTTTCATATTCGTGCTGTTGAGTGGCTATAAGTAGTAAATGCTGCTTATAATACAATTATTATCTATATCTATATCTATATGTATAAATTAAAGTGTGTTTTTTTGTTTGTCCTTTATGCATTAGTACACCATTCATCCGATCGCCATGAAACTTTGGGAAGTTTTTGAGTACACTGGCATATACCTAGTACTTTTCGAAAATTTCACCCCTAAGGGTAGCCTCAAATACGAAATATAATTTTCGTTTCTAACCCAAAATAAACACCTGGTTTGTAACAATGGTAACCACGGTATTCGAGCGAATGGTAGGTGGATGGTGGACGATTAAAGGATCAGCCCGATTCTATGGACCACGATTGGGACTGGGACTGAGACTGGGTACCCTTGAGTAAGAGACATAATCAATGTAATGTACATAATATGTAGATCCAAAAAAAAAAACCGAGACGTGGTATGCTAAAGATTTACAATATACAGCCTGGAGTGCTGACTTTTTTTAAAATCTTATTTGTAATTATTTTACTCAGCCCTGGCAAACTAAATCCCGGGCACCGCCGGGTCGGGACAGCTTGTATAATATAAAAATCATCATCAAGCTTAACGGGCCTTTTAAGGTCCAACGCTGCCATCGTGAGATGATAGTTTCTATATTATAAAAATAGTTTTCATATATTGTGTAAAAAAAAAATAGATATTATGCTGGAGTAGCTTGTTATACGGCAGTTTTATTTAGCATACATACCTACTAATATTATTTATACACAATGACGTCAACTAATCACCACTGTTTGAATATTTACCAACGAATAACTATGAAATACTTGATTAAACAATATAGTGTTTACAATAGAAGATTCTTATGCGCTATAATTGGACAGTCATACACGCATTATACTCGAGATCTATTCATGCATTTGTTGAAAAATAATTGAGGTCTATCATAATAATAGCAACTAACAATTATAAAGTTACACCCACTGCAACAAAATTATTTTATTTACTTCTATGAAAAAAAAAATATATATGCTAGTAGTATAATGGGTATTTTATTGAACATAACACAACCATTTAATGGGTGTATATGGTAGAATATAATTATTAGTATAATACGTTTTAAGCAGGGTTCCGTTAACGGTTTAAAATTACGCCCATGAACAGAAACCAGGGATAACTGTATAGGCACATTTATTTATCCTGAGAATGTTGTAACGAATAACGTTATAATTTTATTTTCTACCAAAAACGTTACAACGAATAACATTTTAAATAATTGATTTGCTATATAACGAATAAAATACACTCCAAAAACTCATGAAGTATAGATTTGGTTTTAAAATTGATAGCAAATTTGAATCAGCGAACCAAAAAAAAAAAAATTGACCGAATTTAAAGTATTTCTTGTAATAAATCAATAAATGACAATTATTCTTTTGCAAAATTTTAAGTACCTATATAAATGTATAACGATGTTCGTTATAACGCTTTGGCTAGTAAGATGGGAACATGAACTTTGGCAATATTCTTTTAAACTCTTCCAAGTTACCAAAAAACGTTAACATCCAAAATGAGTAGCCCCTTCATAATGTGTTTTTACCCAAATTCTGTTTGCCTTAAAAATCTGCACTTTGTTGCCTTTAAATTTTCTCTCGATCCTAAAAAATGTTTACAGCTGTTATTATGAACCCATTATATGCAATATTCTTTGTATTATATTTACAATTATAAATAGGTTTTACATAGATTTTAGGGGGGAAATAGTTTGTTATTATATAGTTGTTATGGTTACTCATTTACATTTACACATAGAATATCAATATTTGTACATAGAACAATAATGTTACACTTTATTTTATATTTGTTTAAAATCAATACAATATTGTTTTGACTATTATGTAAAATTTGAATTTAAATTATATGTTTTATAAGCCTGCCATTATAATTAATATCTTAATTTTTGCAGGTACCCATATAAGTTGTACTGTTAAGTCAAAAAGTTATTAGTTTAAATGTTTAAAATTTTATAGTGTTTATGTTAATGTATGTACTCTGTTTAGTAAGCTATACGTATGTTAAGAATATATATTATTTATTTAAAAGTCGCTAATACTCGACGTCCCGACTCCAGTTAAAGCTTTACTATCGTTATAAAATCTTTTTTATAATATTATGTTCAAAAACTAGGAAACATAATTATACCGTTGGTCTTACAAATTTGGGAATACTTTAGATTAAATATAGAAGGTGCTACCTCTCCTATAGTTTCGAGCAACGTACCTAGCCTAATTATGAATATTGTGGCGTGTCACGATGTCATTTCGTGATTTCAGTGATGGACTATAGGGTAAAAAACTAGAATTCTAGATTCTAGAAAACCACCACGACAGTCGACAAGTGTTTCACATGATAAATCTGATATTCAATTATGAGATACACAATTATGTGAAGAACCGCACTATGCTTACTATACGTGTGGTTAGTGGTAAATCGCGGATACTGCTCTATTAAAACTAAACATATAGGTTCAAGACATTATTTTGATTTCCAAATCTGAACGGATTTTTTATACTTCAATTATCTAGATAAATTCAGTCCTATAGCAGTCCTCGCATTCTTTAAGACATTATGTTAGCTAATGCATGATTTGAAGTAGTTAGAGTAGTCCAATGCGGGTAGTTTCTCACGCATAAATGCGTATGCGTTCAATATAACGTTATCAATCATCAACTGGCAATAAAAATCCTTAAAACGCATATTATAATTCTATGGACGGAAGATTCAAACAATAAATTAACAAATCTAGGTACCCACAATTAACGTATTACATAGGTACCTACATGAGAGTTTCTATAACAAAAACTACATAATTGTACGATAGTAGATTCATTAAAAATTGCTATTAATATTAAAAGCATTCAATTAGATATTAAGTTGTATTTAGCACTACGATTTTTAAGCACTCGCAAAGCCGTAGTTTTAGCGCAGAGTACTTTTTACAAACAAACTCTACTAAAAAACCAATGATAGAAGGTGCAGACCTACAAATTATGTTCCCAGTTCCACTACCTTGTTTTTCTCATAACCTTCGCACATAGTCACATAGTTGTTATTGTGATGTATATTGGGTAAAGTGATCGTACAACCATAACGTACTTATATATATATATATATATATGTTTTTGTTTGCGAACAAGGCTATGCAGTAGTACAACTACGGGTTCGTTAAAAATACTAACGATAATAAAAATAGTATCGTACCGTCTACCGATAAAAAAAAAATCGATAAACTAGATAGAACGACCATGACTAAATAAAGTTAAACTAAAGTATACTTGAATGCGTTGATGAAATATATTAACCAATGTAAATTATTTAAAAACGATTATAATTTATGTGGTTAACAAAATAAAATATCGCAAAATAATTATGAATTATCATTTTGATATGAAACGCATAGGCGCAATTTCAATTTTTAATTTGGGGGGTCTGGACATTTTTTTAAAATATAAATATAAGTAAATATATTTTTGTATTTCAAAATTGTATGCATAACCTAATTTTTTTGAGGGGGCTAAGCCCACCCTAGCCCCCCCGTATTTGCGTCTATAATGAAACGTTTTTTCTCGAAAAATGTAAGGTAAAACGTGTAAAACTATTTGCTAAATAAACTCAAATACTCAAATTTTGTCGAAACCTATAGCACAAAATCGATTTATTTCGATTAATTTCTATAACTTAATAACTTGAAATCATTGTAAGTTACAACGTCTTCGGAATTTCAATTTTTTTCATTATACATATTAAATTATCAAAATGTTTTAAAAAATTAAAGTGTAGTTTTTGTGGATAATTTTTCAAAATAAAATAGTAACTAACGTCTACAATTGAATTTTTTAAACAGTAATGACACAATAAAAATACAATGATATAATAATGACTGGGTAGTCAATTGTGGTTAGGCAAACATACGAATGGGTAAAAATAACATTATTTAAGCTTGAATAATTTGAAATAAAAAAAGCCAAATGGGGTTACTAATTGATTGACTATAAGCTGTTATAATAGGTTAACATTGAGATTGAGTATAAATTGGATATAAGGGTTACAAGGGATATAAAAATATATCTCCCGACTGGAAAAGACATTGAATCGTGAACACGTGTCTTTTGGCGTTGCACAAATTGTCACAAAAAATCGAATGCAATTATTTGAAAACCACCAGCCAAAAGACATGTCAAAATGCACCTCTGAAATAATGTTACTTATGTAGTTGCGCCTATAGGCTTCAGAATTTATTATCCGAATTTTTTTCAACTTATCGTAGTTGCATAATTGTAGGTAAATATTACTGGAACGCCTCAAAATATGACCCCCACGAATGAAAAAAATGATACCTAAGTCGGATAAATTAATTCGAGTTACATAACGTGTACAGTACCTGAAGGTTTTTGCAGGTCCACCCCAGAGACGGCGGCGTATGACGTTTTAGATCCATACAACCGATTTGAATTCGACTCTCTTTGATAACAAGTACCCGCCTGAACGGTTTCGCGTGAACGATAAATCACAGTGGCTGTAGATAACAGCAAACATTTTGTCCATAACATGGCGAGTGATAGTAATGATTGTATAGCGGTGTCGCGCCGCGGTTGTGTGAACGCGTATATTGTATGCACCGAGGAACAGCTAGTGTCTAGTAGTAATATTGCCCGCACACAGATGAATACTGCCCGGATGGTTCGTATGTGTATGAAAATAAATATACATATACATAGTGATGGTGTGCGGGTAATCTACAGTACCTACTGCTATAGTTGCTACCTCTATGCGAAGCGTAAACAGTAGTGATACACACCGTCAAATAGTATGTTACGCAGGCGTGTCTGTACACCTATAACTGAGCAGTGGTTCGCGCGATTGGCGTCATAATTAAAAAAATATAATATTTTTTGCAGCTAGATTATAAAATTAAAAATCAATTGAAATAACTCGGTGAATAAATTGTATTTTGTCATATGTTTGCTGCTGCCCTCCTAATGAAGCAGTGAATGCCAAATTTTCAAAATTGAGGTTATTTCGCAGATTCCGAGTAATTGGATAATTCAGCGTTTTTTTCCTTAAGGGGAACCGCAGCAACACCACTAGAAATGACTTAAAATGTACTTGGCAAAAGTACAGTAGGTATGTAGCATATCCTAGAGAATATAGCAGTATGCACAACGGGGAGATACCTAGTACTTATTTTATTAGTAAACTAATTTCTCAATGCATATTGCATACTACCTATGCATATAATTACCTGGTAATTTTAATATAAAATATAAATATTATTCAATATTGAAAATATTAATTTAAACATGTCTTTATAATTTCGTAAATAGTATTAAAATAAAACTAAATTTAAATGTAATTAAATACAAAAAAATAAATAATGTGCAAGAATTAAAGACTAAGGGATAAAACTGCATATTCTATAGTTTCGGGAAAATCGTACAAAAATATTTTAAAAGCGACTAATAGACGTTCAATAAAGACAAAAATGATTCTATGAGATCGCTAAAACCCAAGTTAAATATAAAATATGGGACAATCACACTTTACAAATTAACAGGTGTTCGGGCAAGTTCCAGGCAAAATTTACTTTTTACTTTCCAATTAAAAAAATTGTACAACATATTTTTTTTTATCCTCAATAATAGTATAACATAATAAAATGTTTAAATAAAGCCTTAATAACAAAAATAATATGTAGCAATGTTACCATCTTCAGCGCACACAACAGACTTGATGACACAATGTTGTTATCTTTCGATTTTATAATAGGTAGACTACCTATTATAACAACAATGGAGTGAGTGGACTTATTCTAAAGATTCTGCGTAACCATGTTTAGACAAAAAAAAAATATCAAGATCGCTGACATAGATGATGTGATAGTCCGAAAATAAATGAACTGCCTAAAAAGAGTTCTAATTACTAAACTAATATTGCAATTTAAACTTTCAATACAGATTTGACAAAAAAATTGCCTATATCTAACTCCTTAATAAATAGGGGTATCGCGTCCTCTTAATACGGAATACCTAAAATAATATAATAATATTGTACATTGTATATAAATCACTTGAGAGCTGAGTAACTAGCCTTCCAGAGGAAACGAACCTACTAGTAAACCAAAACCTGTCAATAACCACGAGGAAAGTTTCTTAAAGACATTTTTATGGAGTATTCAACTTTAGGGTGCCAAACGTTGGACCCTAGAGAAACAGGAGAGTAACCTACTCGCCTCAGAAATGAACATTTAAATTATAATATAAAATAACATTCGTTGTAATATAACTTATTCGTTTTAAGTAAACGTTATTAACATACCCACAAACGTTTAGAACCAATTCCCCCCCCCCTAGAAAATCATTGCTACATTCAGGTTTGCACTGTATATTATTATTCTTTTTTACTTAAGAGACGCCATACCCCTATTATTTAGGAGTTATTGAAGAAGAATTATTTGCAAAATCTTAATTAAATGGTTAAACTGTGGTGTGTAATTATTAGTTCAGTAATTAGGACTCTTATTCGGTAGTTGATTTATTTTTTGGACTATCATAGCATCCTTCACAGGTATAAAAAAAGGCATTGTGCGTAAGTATGTTTTAACGCTAAAAAATTGCTAAAAAGTATAACGTTCTCTAAAAAGAGTCCTACCATTTTTTCGGCACGTTAAACATGCCTTTAGTCAAGATCCATTCTGAGGAACTGAGCGGGTTTAGCGTAAAAGTACACCGATAAAAAAATATAGATTAAGATTTTACAAGGGCGATTTTTGATAAAACATTTTTTAGAAAAGTTATAAGCTTCCAAAAATGCGTAAGTTCAACATATTATGATTATTCAGTTTCTAAAAGTTTTATCGAAAATCGCCTATGTGAAAACTTAGATAAAGTCTTGATCTTTAATTTTGTATAAATGTACTTTTTCGCTAAACACTCACAGTTCCTCAGAAAAGTGTTTTGACTGAGACGTGTTTTACTAACCGACGCATTTTGGTTATTTTAAAGTTCGAATGGGCTTCGAGTTCGAAATTTTTTTTTTAAAATAGTCTGGTTTAATTAGGGAATATGTTAAAAAGTTTATTCCATATAAAGCTTATCACAAGGGCCGCTTAAAGTATAATCATTTAAATTCCATTAATATATTTATATTCAAATGAATGTTAATTTTACTAAATTACACACACACACACACTTTCGTGTTTTAATTAATAAAATACACACAATTCTCACTAATTTAATGTCTATGATCATAAGGTGGTACTTAGAATCAAAATTTACTATGCCAAAAACATCAACACAAAGAACCGTGCGCGAGAGAGAAAATTATTTAGTTTATGAGGAACCAAAATTAATACAATAAATTACCTTTATAAACATAATTTATCACTCGTCAACGCTTAAGGATTGATTCTCAATTATATTATACACAATATTATTAAAAAAAGTTACATTTTTGACAAGCTCAAATTTCTTCGTTTCGATTAATGTAATAAAAGTTATTAACACACTACCTATACAGGTACTATAGGTAGGTAACCTTAACAATTAGAAATTAATAATCAATAGAATATATTATTAGTATGTTACATTTTCTTGTACTTTCAGCTTTCCCCAGTCCGTCAAAGGGTCAGAAACCTTTAGGTTATTCATCTTTTTTTAAACTTTGAAAAAACACAACTAACTTAATGATATGGCACGTCCAAAATAAATGACAGACAGGTCAGACGGAGGTCAGTTTAGCGACCAATACATTTTTGCATAATGTCAAAACAAGACTTTTAAACCCATTTCGATAATGTACGTGTTATCGATTATATAGAAACTGAAAACCTTGCGTCTAGCACCTTTTCAGTTTTCTTGTAACTATAACGTTATTATTCTTGTACTAGTCGGGTATTCAATAATAACGTTAGTGCGTGTTAAACGTTCTGTAAGTCGCCATTGGACGTTTATGCAAAGGGTGGACCACTGATAAAAACTAACACGATATAGATACTTATCACACAAAAACGCGGGGGTCATCTTCTAAATATGCTATAACCATAATACATTTTATCTAAATATTATTTTTAGTTGTATATAGATACAATTTATTTTATGATTATAGCACATTTGAAACAAGGTCATCACTTTTTTGTTTACATTTAAGTGACCCTTCTGCTTTGATCTATTCTGTGGTTTATGCAACCCGCCCTATAATAACTATATTATATTATATTTCCTAGTTTTAAAAATTCGTTTTAGTCCTTCTAATATTACCTCCGTCACCATAATAATAGTACCTACATGTTATATGTTTATTATTGTTGTAATTTGTAATATGTTTTTCATCGAGGCTGTTTTGAAAGTAGTTTTTAATTACAAGGCTATTTATTTTGCGAAACCGTTTTTTATTTACATAATTATATTCACACTTAATAGATTCTGTTTGAACGATTATTGTGAAGTTCTGAGTCATATCGCACAAGTTGTGCTTATTTGGAGACTGGGGAGTGGATGTTAGAAATCAAAATAACCGTAGTTGCCATAATATTTAGCTAGGTACTAATAATTTGAATAGCTCATGTATGGGTTTTCCCTCCCGAGGATGGGAGCGTGGCATAACATTACAAATTATCATATATACCTTACTCAATTATTTATTTAGTAAGAAATATAGTCGATGAGCAGGTAGAACAAATATGGATACACTCCTGTTGTTGATTCATACTATAGGTTTCAACACTAAAATGTCGTTAACTTGTGCAAAATATTTCCTAGAACTCAGTATGTATAAGTATACGGTATACCATTATACCAATAATCAATATACAAAATAAAGAAATGTGTTTGCAATGTTTAAAACATTTTAAGTTTATTTTTAAAATCTCCTAATGTCCGCTTTTTTGTTACAAAAAAAAAAACATGTAATAAATGACGTTGTTGATACATTTATGCAGGTCGACACGGTACGCATGACTCCACCGAATATCTTTTTAGTCGGAGAGATTTACTTTATAGCCTCTGTGCTATTTACTGTATATTATGTAGCCATGCACGAGAAAAAGTTATTTAGTTAGATGTCTATTTCTTTGGTTTATATCTTTATATTTAAAATTAATTGTGTACGTTCGAAAGCGTTACTGATTTTATAGTACCTATCTACGTAAGAGATAAAAATTGACCAGTATTTCATAAAAACATGTTCCTTATACAATAACAATGCTAATCCATATTTTTTTAACACATAAAACACTTGTGCACAAATCAATGCATAATTTTTTTTCTACTCCTTAGTTTAAGCTGAACTTTTGACAGACTTTAAGCTATAAAAGCATCAAAACTTCAGCTCAAACTAAGGGGTAAAAAAAAATTATGCATCGATTTAAAATTAATATTTTCGAATTTTTTTGTCTTATTTTTATTGTATTTAGAAAACTATCAGGGGGCGTCGAGGTTAAATTATATATTAAACTATCCTCAAGTGCGTTTATAAGTTGTTCCACGAGTGTTAAAGGCAACGCAAAAAATATGTATTAAATCTACTCAAGATTAACATTTTTTACCGTATTAATTAATCAGACAAATGACATCATTTCAGGAATTACTGTACTGATATTTGATAAAACTCTTGCAGACTAAGTACTCTTAAGTTAGAATAATCAAGTTTTTTTTAAACAAAATTTAATTATAATATCAAAAACTAATATATATTTGTATATAATGTTCTGTTAATATATATTGTATAATGTATTATTAGCAGATAGTAGCACTACACTTGTCATAGAATAACAAGTGTATTTTCATACAATGTCATATTATGGACATCACAAATCATAATATTATATTAATATATATATCTGGTTAAAATAAAAACAAATTGTTTTGTTCTGGCGGTTATATTTACAAACTATAAACAATATTATTGACGTTATTGACTATTTGTTTTATTACGCGGTGAAATCACATTTTTTTTTAAACTAAACATTTTAATTTTACTGGTTTTTATAATTAAATAATCATGAGTAACAGTTTACTCGTTTATACGGATTGCAGTAATAAACTAGAAAAAATAGCGTCAACGCGAAGGATTTACAAGCCTCAGGACCAGATTAAAAGTAAGGGAAAGGACTTCAAGCCGTCCAGCTCTTCTAAAGATGGCGAACATAAGGAAGCGAAAAGCGTGTTTAACGCTATACCGTTCGTAGCTTAGGGATCTTCTGGAAAGAACCATCACTTAGGGCTTTCCATTCAAAAGACCATGTCCATGATAAAGCAATTCCCTAAGCAACCCGCCGACGAATTGTCAAATTTGACATGTTCGAGTAACAATTTTTTCACAGAACTTAACCAGAAGAAAAACAGTTGGACTTGCTCTTCGCAAGAATTTACTGATGCCCAAACGTGGTGTTCGGGTAAATCTCAAGAAGGACCAACTGTCCAGGACAGTGAGACGTACGACGAACCCGAAAGTAAGAACCCTTGGGCCGTAACACAAAGCGACGGCGATGATCCCATCACTTACGATTGCGCCCACCCCAAGAATTCGTGCAGCTGCGCCACTCGGTTCATGGACAGCTATCAGAAAGTGATGGGACCTTTTAAGAAACACCTGAAACGCAAACAGAAAGCGTTGAATCCAATGCGGAATCCTTACAACAAAGAAAAGACCGTACAATACTACACGTCGCTTTCGAAGCGCATGCAAGAGCTCAAGCAAACCATGATCGCCATGAACGCCGAATGTTTAAGTCAGTCGAAAAAATACAGTATGCTCTACGAGAAATACGTAAGAACTAGGGACGCTCATCTCGTCCCCGTTTTGTTGGAAACCGAGGACAATTTGAGTAGCTTAAAAGCCAAAGTAGAGGAAGCCGTGAACATGTACAATGCGGCTGATCGCATAAGAGTACAACAAACAACTAACGACCCGATGTCTTCGGCTTGTTTCGTGGCCGATTTAGAATCCGACAACGACACGAGGCCCAAAGATACGAACGGCACACGTCTGACTAAAATCTTGAGGAAAATCCAGAGTTTTCAAGAAAAACTTAAAACTGGACATTTTAATCAGGCAACAGCAGACAGAGTTGTCTAATAACGAAAAATGCTGAAACGACACATCAAGTGATCACGTCTAGTTTCGATTGGCATATTATCTTAAGCGTCGTTATATATTTTTGTTACTATTTATAACTAAATATTTAGTAAACTATAATATATTCTTAAACTTACTTAAACAAGTTACGTCCGAGTGTCATCAAAATCACGAATCGCGTACTACTAATTTTAACATTTTTTTTTTTAATCAAAATTAGATTTTATAACGATTTGTTCAATACGATACCAATATTATATGCATTATGAATAATTTTATTTAAAAAGCAGATGAATAAAAAAAAACAGATATTATAATTATATCATAATTTTATTAGTAGATTTGATACACATTAATCAACGAAGGAATGCAGAAAAATAGTATTACGCATATCCACAATAAATATTGTCACGATGCTAAAAATGTCCTAAAATAACCGTGAGTATATAGATATCATGTCATTAGCTATGTCTTAAATCTAATGTACATAGAACAAGATAATAACAGAATATGCAAGGGGAAACAAATTTTCGCCAAAGTAGTTACAACTTTTTTTTTAAACATAATTCAAAAGATTTCAAAATTGGAAGAAAGATATATAGATAAGTAGGAAATTAAATTTAGGGACGATTTATGCAAGTGTAAATATGTTAACATGTTAACACTTGAATTTGTTCGAATAATGTATTTATACTTTTATAATGAATTTATAATTGAAAAGCACGTCACAGTTGTTAAAATCGCGTACAGTATTTTCAAGAATACCGCCTGGTTAAGTAAGAGCAATCATATTGCTTACTACACAAATTAATAAGAATAACTTATATGTATGTTCCCCTTTAAAGAGATATTTCAAATTGTTTTACTTGTTAAGTGGATTTTAACTAAACAAAAAACGTTTGTATATTAAAAGAAAAAAATAAGGTAAACCCAGTTGTTCTTTTTTATTTTTGTAACAGGTATTTTACTAATAATCTAACAAACAACTGCAAAGTATTGTATAAAAAAGTAATTTTTGGAAATGGGGCAATTACAAAAATGTTACTGTGACGCCCTCCATACATAGTCTATCAAAAATAACATTTAGATGTTAAGCTATTTGTTAATCAACAAAATGAAATTATAGCTATAAATGAGATAGAAATCAACGATTTAACAAAATAATCAAAAAATCAATTCCTAAAAAGGAAATTTTTTTACATTCATAAAAATAAAATAAAAGTTATTTTTTTATCATATAAAATATTCCATAACTCTACTCAAGACTAATCAATATATTATGTTTTATTATGCGAGTATGAAACAAAACTATTAATATAAAATTACTTGTAAACATAAATTACTAGTGATACAAATAATATGGCAAACAAAAATGTTGGTAACATTTTATGATAGGATTAAAAGAAAAGAAAATACTGATAATTATTGTTATATTGTAAACAGTTAACTATATAATATATAATAATTATAATTAAATATTTGTAATATTTTTTCACACAATATCTCGCTGTTATCTATATGGAAACTTACTGAACATATAGGTTGCCTTTATCAACAATTACATTTTTTAAATGATGGCTAACAATTCATTAACACCAAAATAATTATAATGTACAAATAAACAATGTGCTCGACCTTAAGTACTTAAAAAGCAAAAACTCAAAACCATGTCATAACTTAAATACTTATACATTATGTTTTATTACGTTTAATTCATCCAAAATAACATTCAGAAGTTAAAATAGTTGATGTACTGAACATAATGCTAATTATTTTAACGCTCATTTCAACCATTAAAAATATGGTATGGATCACAATTAAAATGAGCAAAGTTAATTACATATTGCTTCTTCTGGTTTCGAAAGAAATGACTAAATCTGTAGGCATAGTAATATTTATGCCCACCCTGTATAATATTATATATCTGACATACTGTTACAAAAATTATGTATAATAAAGGCGTACACAAATACCTACATTGTGGATAAAACAATTGTGATAAAAAAACAAAAAGGTTACAAAATAATAGAAGATAAATTGATGGACTTTGTTAGATATCTTACATAAAAAAAAAATAATAAAGATAAAATTGGTACAAATTACCTAAACAAGTATCTAGCAAATAATAAATTAACACATATTAATAATACAAAATATAATTTTTGGTAGTGGCATTTCACAATTCTATTTTAGCTATAATACAATTTTCGACCTGTTGTCTGAAGTCGTTTTACTTAGTCTTAATGCCAGTTCAAAGTCTGCTTTCTCTTGTTCTAAACGGGCTTTCTCTTCTTCAATTCTAAATTTTTTTTGTGCTTCCCAAGCGAGTTGTTCGTCGTTAATGTGTGTTCTTTGGCAGTCATCCGATGAAAAGGCTCCATCACCAAAAGGATCAGTATCAAAGCCAGTATCCGAAAATGGATCTATTTTAAATGGATCTTCATACCTGTAGTCCTTGAAGGGATCTTCAGTAAATTCAAAACTGTTTGATTGTGATTGTAATTTGGAATCCATTTTATTATTCTGTGAAAACTAAAAGGAGGGGGCCAAAAAATAAAAATAAAATAAACAAAACAAAAATAAAACAAATAATACAAAATTAAAAAGAAATCAAGAAGAAAATGATGTCTACTTCTATAAAAAAAAAGGAAAAGAAAAAAAAAAGGAAACACCATATTAGTAAAATGTACTTCATAAACATAATAATTATAAAATGTACAACTGACTACAATTCATATCCAAATGTTAAATCAATTATGAGAATAGTTGAACAAATATGTTATTTGGGAAAATGTTGATTTTTTTATTAATTTAAATTTAATATTAAATACTGATAATTACTGCTGAATAAAAAAAAAAAATTAAATGTAGGGGGATTTAATGTTTGATTTTACAGTATTCTAGTCCTCACTCATCATATACAATTTATACAAAGACTCAAACTGGCCATAAGTATTATAATTGGAAGAAATATAATGTTTACAATAGATAACCTGATTTTAAACCATACACTCGAGAATTTCTCTCAAATATTGTCCACAATATTATATTATATATTTATTTATTTATTTAAGAAGATAATGAGCTTATGATATTACTATCATACTTTTTTTTTTATTACTCTACTGTGAGTATATTACTAGATTAACTTACAAATGTACCTAACAATTAATTGTTAATGTCAATTAGCCTCAATAAAATATTTCATTCAATAATAAATTTCATGATAAAACATTAATAGAATATTTCGAAAAAACATTACCTTGCTATTAAAATTTGAAAAGTCTGCAAACTCTGAATTAGCTGAAGAATTGGTATGAGATGTTGGCGCATGATAAGGTGCTGGTCTAGGTGGTGCCGGTCTCGGTGGAGGCTGTTTACCTTTCTTGGGTGGTAAAGCTGGTGTTGGGCTTTCTGGTCGTTGTGGAGGAGGAGCTGAATTAGGTCTGGTGGGAGCATGTAATATTGCAAATGGATCACAACCAAATGCATCTTTATCTTCATGTTTCTGTAATATTTCAGACACATTTTTAATCATTTCTTTTATTTGTTTGTTTTATTACTATTTAGTTTTACTTACATCAGTCAATTTTGATGTGTTTGAATCACCACCAAATGGATCAGTACTTTGACCTATAACAATAATAAATTATCATTTTTTTATAATAAAATATACAGATGATGAAACTCTTTAAATTGTTTGATACAATTAAGGAACACAAAACCAACTATAGAATTATGAAGCATACTTGTAAGAATATAATTAAAAAGTATTTTAATACAAATCATACTTTTCATTAAAAAAAAAAAAAAACATAATTATAAATTAGTATTATAAATTAAATAGTAATATTTTTTTTTTAAAACTCACTTCTAGCTCTTGAATCATCTAACGAAGCAAATGGATCATTTGAAAGAGAATCCTAAATAAATAACCAAGTTATAAAAAATATAAAAAAAGAATATGAAAAATATATTTGTATGGTTTTTTTTTTATTTACCAATTTACTACTTGTGGAAAAAGCATCATTGTTCGCAAAGAAATCTACAAAACAAAAAAAAACATTGTTTTTAATTACCAATTACCACTTAAGTAAACATTAATGATTTTTGGGAATATAAAATATAATAACACTATATATTCTATTTAATATGAGGTTCGGTCGAGGAAATTTATTTTTGCAGAATTTAAAATCTTAGTAACATTATGAAGTAGGCTAGTAGTAGCCTATTTTTAGTGGTTATAAAATCTTAAAATGTTAATAGAATTTTAAAAATAATAGAATATTAAGTTTATTGTGAGATCTTTTTGATTTGCGATTCAATTTTTTTCCTACTGAAATAATTTTAAAAATCATTTCATTTTCATTGAAACCGATACTAGTAGCTCCTGTCCCATGACGACTTCCAGAACTGAAATTTGTCTCGATGGGCAATCTTTAATATTTATAATAAATGGTTTAACCAAAATAGTCAATAAATCTATTAAAGGCCAGTACTTTGAACATTGAGATCAAAGTAAAGATTAGTAATTTTATATCAAACAGAGCTTTAGTAACCTCAGGGTTAAGACAGGGGGACGCTTTGTCACCTATTTTGTTTAATGTGACAATGGACAAGGTCATTAGATATAGCCGAATAGAACAAATAGGAAGTTCATTTAGGGGTCGAAAAAACTGGTGTTCTCGCTACTAATGTAGATGATCTAGTGGTAGCTGTGAGGCTTCGAATTTACATAAAACTAAAGACGATCATAAGTTGCTAATCTTTGATAGAGCATTTTTTAGAAGAATCGTTGGACCAGTATCAATTTAAATATAGGTCAGTGGAGGGTCAAAAAAAAGAATTTGAACAAACGTACCTCAAACCAAACATTGTACAAGAAAAAAAATAACCACAATGGGCAGGACACTCGTGGAGGAATAAAGTTTGTACATTGTATTGATTTTTAAGGAAAAAGATTATTACGGCGCCCACGTTCAAGATGGGAAGATCAGATTAGAAATTAAGTAAGGAGAAGAGATCTAGATTAGATTGGAGGGAGTTAGCTCTAGATAGAGAGAAGTGGAACAAGCTTTGTTTGCCAGTGTGGTCTTCAAGGTTATAGGCTAGTAGAAGACAAATAAGTATTAGGTTTGTTTTGTTATTTATATCAACAACATGAGAAACTTCTTTCTTAGATATGTTCTTGTAAGTGTTTTGTTTTAATAAATAGTTATATTATATCTTTTAAATAAGGATTTTACCAGTTTTGAAAGAGTTACTTGATTCATTCGCCAAACCAAATCCGTTAACATTTTCAAATGAACTTTTGTTATCAACCTACAAATACAAAAAAAATATAAAACAATTTTAAAACATGTAAAAATAAACTAAAGAAACACACCAATTTTCCAAGCAGTTTACTGCATTCAACATCTCTGAACTCTAAATTTAAAGTCATCAAAGAATCTGGTATTCCATAAATATTTCCATCAGCTAATGCTTTTTCTGTAGATTCGATCATATTTTCCATTTGATGTTTATTTTCCTCTAATTGATTTACTTTATTTTTTACCTAAAAATTAAAACAATAATAATAATAATTAAACATTTGATTTCAATTAAAAATTAACTACAAAATCAAATGATTATTAAATTATTTACCTGACTAATTTGTAGTTGTGAGTTTTGCAACATTTTATTCAATTCTTCTAACTTAAAACTCATATCTGATTGGTCTTTTTCAAGTTTATGCTCTTGTGTTTTAAGTTCTTCGAGTTCTTGTTTTTTAGAAGAAAGTTCAGCTTCTTGATTTTTTAATATGATTTCTTGTTCATCAGCTTGTTTTCGAAGGTTGTCAACCTACACACATTTAACAATAGTTTTTAAATTAGTTAATACATGTCTACCTTAATTAAATATAATAATGTTTAAAAATGAATAAAAATCAATTCTATTATTGTAAAAACAAAAAATGTTGATAAGTGTAAATTAAATAACTTACTAAACACATGAGCATAATAGTCTTTTATTTAGTTACTTATATTATTAATAGGTATTATTCGTGTATATATTAGTAGGTCAAAATGGTGATGTTTACAGAATGGTTTTTGGTTGGACTTTCAATCTATATATATATATTAGGGTGGTTAAAAAAAAACCTTACTTTTTTTAATTATGTTTCTGTAACCCCCTCATTTTTTTCTATGATATAAAAAAATTATTCTGTGAAAATTTGGGTTAGATTAAGTAACCCCTTCACGTGCCGCATAGGGGATGAAGTTGAGCAAAATAGGGTAGTTTGTAGTTTTTTGCATTTATTTAAAAATCTATAAGAAATAGCATAAAAGTGATAGGATAAAATTTGTAGAACTATTTCCTATAAATTTAGTAAATATAAAGTTTTTCGCATAGCCATTATTTTTTATGTAAAAAAGCAAAAAGTACATTTTTTAAGTATGGCGAAAAAATAATTTTTTTTTCAATTCATCAAGCAATTCTGCCGGTCAGTTAAAATTGAAATAAATTAAGTTCAAAATCGTATATTGTGTATGAAAGTTCAGTTAGGGAGGCCTGAAGGGCTTAATCCCACAAAAACTAGCACCACCCGTAAAAAAAAAAAATTTGTCACCTTAAACATTCTGCTCGAATTACGCCTAATATAATAACAAAAAGATTATATTTAATATTATTCATAAAAAGGTAAATTATAGTTTTGTTTTGTCAAACAAGTAATGTACTTATTTTTTATTTTTTGAGTCACGCATCTTCAAGCAAATTTATTTTTATTTAATAAGATATTGCTTGACAGCTCATAAAAGACAAATAATCTAGGTGAGGCCTGCCTCCCTTATCATGAGAAAAAATCAGCCTGACCTTTCCTCCACCATTATTAAATAAAAAATTAAAAAATAGGCCGAAATCATGATTAAGTTTACTTTTAGCCAAATTTGTGGCATAAATCAAAGAACTTGGTATTCAACATAGGCTGCAAAGAATTAAAGAAGAAAACAATAATTAAATATGTGATGAAAGAGACTATTTGGAGCAATAGCCTATAATGTTACTATTAAAGAACTGTACAAAATAAATTATATTGTTATCCATGGTTAAAATATACAGGTTATTTCACATCGTCTCGAATTGTTATCTTTAGAAATAAAATGACAGCATAACGGGATATCAATTTTACTATATACTTAACTATTACTATATATTTTACCGACACCCTAATTATTTTTTGCACTTTGTGCGTTTAGAATATATTTGTATTATTTAAAAAATTTAGGTTTTAAACAGACAAATAGGCAAGTATTTAAAAAATGTACTATAGGAGAATTTAGATAAAATACCTGGACTTGTTCAGCCTTTAATTCCTGATTGATGTTGCTAATTTGATTTTCTACCAATGCAGTCTAAAATGGTGAAATATGCACATGCAGGTTAGAGGGAAAAAGTAAATAATAATTAATAAGCGGTGGATAATAAAACCATGTTACTCTTCTAGTATGCAAAAAAAAAAAATATATATATATAATAACAAAAAATTAATTAATCAAAACAAGAACAAATCATTAAAAACAACAGTTGTTTACTACATGACTGTTGATATTTCTATCCATTATGTCTATCATATTTCATGACTGTTCATATTTCTATCCATTTACCTGATTCCTGAGATCATTAAGTCTCTTTTGTGCTTCTCCCTTTTGATTTTCCAGCTGTTTAAGAGTTGCAGACAATGTATCAAGTTCACCCTATAATTAAATTAAATGTAAAGTATAAATTAATACGCTGTTAAGTTGCCTAATAGATAACAAAATACAAAAATCTCAGTTGTATGATTATTACTCCACATTTTTTACTAAAAACTAGCTAGTACCAGTGTAACTTAAAAAAATACTAAAATAAAATAAAAAATCATTTCAAGCGTTGATCTGTTAAAAATTTAGGGAAAAATAAATACTTAGATTAAATTATTGTAACAAAAAAAATCAGGGTTGAGAACTACCAAATTTACATAGGAAACAAAACAATTTTTCGTTTCATTCATGTATATTCGGTAACACATCAATATCAGTAAAAATAGAGTTATCAAATTTTTATGTATTACATTGTTTAAGGTTAAATTAAATAAAAAATTTAAATAATAATTTTTTAACATAAATTACCTGTAAACTTTTTACTTCACCAGTACGTATTTTCAAATCAGCTTCTTTTTGCGTAATCTCAGTTTCTAGTATCAGCCTTTCTTTGACTAACTCATCAATATCTTTTTGAATCATATTTAATTCAGGGTTTGAATACAAAGAAGAATTTTCCAGACCCTTCAATTGTTAGTAATAAAACATTGGAAATAAATAAAAAAAAATACTAAATAATTTACTAATAAAATATTACACAATAAACCTGTTTGCTATTTTAAATGCCAATTAAGTTCACATTTCTTTGGAGTATACTTTAGATATTATATACATAAAAATATATTTTACTTTTAACATAAAATTGTATCCTAAGAGACTGAGATTATTTATGAAAATGGTATGTTTAAAATAAATATATAATAATGTCATTTTTAATAATAATTTGTGTAGTTATAATAGTGGTATTTTTTGAAGACGTACACCTGGTTAGTTTGAAATCAAAATTGAATGATGTTAAAAAAGAAGCTAAAAATATACTGGTAGCAAATTGGAAACAATCACGAGGACTCTCTCAAATAGGAGATAAACCTGGCTCATATTTAGACTATCCCGGTCAAGATGCTATAAAATTACAAAAAAATAAAGAGCTCTGGAATTTATATTACAAATGTTTGGAAGAACAAGTAAAATACATAAACAAAAATAATATTTTCCAAGCAAAAGTTGTAACAGCGTTTAAAAGTTTTTCTATACAGTAATTCATTTTGTTTTATTGAAAATAAATGTAACTACTTTCTTATAGTTTTTTATCATTAGGTTAGAATGTCCACTTTGTATTTCACCCAGGGACCTCTTAGACAAAAATGTATGGTATTACTCAAAGCTAGAAGAAACGAGCAATGTAAGCTTATTAGAAGACAATGATTATTTCAAAATTTCATCATTAGACCTATCATTAACTATAATTAATATGGAAGATTCTAAAAGTGGCATGTATCAATGCAAATTTTCTAATACCGAAGCTGGACCATATTTTGTTGAAATGTTGAACGACACCACCGAACCAATCATTCAAGTGACAATAATAATACCAATAAAATTTATAAAATAAATATTATTCTATTTAATTGCATAGGTAAATAATACGTCGCCTGTAGCCATAATGGATGACAGTGACATATTAGATGATTTGAGAGTGAAAGCTTGGACTCAATGGACAGAATGGACTACATGTAGTAAATGTGATGTAATGGGCAAACAATCTAAATTTGGTTACTGTTTTATATCTATGGTTTCTTCAAGTAACTACATATTGCCTTTTATTTTTTAAATTAAATAAAACAGAATGTTGCAAATATTAATAATTATTATTATTATAAAAATTATATTATTTGTATAAAATAGGTTTTCAAAAAAATGATAACGAGGACGACATAGAGAACTTAATGAATGCTTTTGATATGGGAATACCATGCCACAGTAGTCTTTTAAATGATTTGTATAGTTCAGATAACCGAATAAAAAATATACCAACAAAAATAATGATAGGACATTGTAGGGTAATATACACGTAATAATTAATAGTGATATCTGTTATTAAACATAAATAATTTATAACTTAGATTCAATGCAACAACAATGAAATATTTGAAATGTTAGATCCTAGAGGGAATGTAATAGAAATGGTCAACAACTCTGCAGGCATATATTCTTCATCACAGATAATTCCAGAAATTGCACCAAAAGTTGAACAAACTCTAATTGTTACATATATAGATCAACAACTGAATATTACATGTCCTGGGTTGGAAATCTATTATTTATTTTTTTAAATTAAATTACCCATTTTATTATTTAAATGATTTTTGGTTATAAATTTGTTAATAAATAGAAACTTAAATTCAGATGCTCCTTATGAATGGAAATCTAATGGTAAGACTATACTTTCATTATTACCAAACACAAAATATGAACGCATTCATATTGATGTATTAAATAGACTTATTATTGAAAATGTAACTGATGAAGATGAAACAATATTTACGTAAGTGAAAATATAGCAGTTTTGGAATATAAAACAAAATTATAAGTTGTCTAAACATAATTTTTTTTTTTATTCAGATGCTGGCAAGTTGACTATTTAGCTGGAATAGTACACATTAAAATAATTAAAAAGTTTAAATTGAGTATCCAAGAAGATGTATATTTATATGCATCAATCCCAATTATAGGGATGTTTATATGGTTAGGTTTTAGAATGTTTTTTGATAAAGAGGCGTCCTATTAATGTATTAATAGATATAAGTCAGCACAAAAAATATAAGATATTGAAGTATTTAACCTATTATTAATTTTTTAATATTTATGTAAAATAAGAGTATATGCATTATCTTACTGGTACGGTCACATTCTGTGCAGTATGTTTGTTACTCGGAGGCACCATTTCAGATGTAAGTACAGTTGGCGGATCAATTCCTTTAAGCTTACGTTCAACAAACCACATGGCTAAACAGAACTGTTCTAAATCTAATTTGCCTTGTTGGTTAATGTCACAAAGACTCCTTAAAAGACATTTATATTATGATAATTTATTACATAAATAACAAAAATGTTTTTAATTATTATTACCATATATGTGCCAATATAGACTGATGAATGCCAGTTTTTAAAAATCTATCTTTGATCTCAGGCCCAGAAACAAATCCGTCCATGTCTACATCAGACTCCAAAAACATGGTTTCATATCGTGATTTATCGTCTGCAGTAACAACCCATGTTGCAGCTGAGGTAACAATTCCAACTGATGGAGTAATTGGTCTCTAAAATATAAATACAAAAATCAGTAATACATTATAAGCAAGTTTTTTTTTTTAAATATTGAGAAATTCTTTAAAAGAAACCAGAGTTAATAAAAAGCATTCATTTCAAACATTTATAAAAAATATGTAATTAATAAAACATACCACAGGAGGTTGTTTAACTAAATTTGTGTGGGTGCCAGATGGAATTACTGGTAGTATTGGTACAGGTGAACTTGCTAAAAGAGACGTTTTTCTTTTTGCTGGAGGCAAGAGTTCACCAGGTAAAACACTTGGAATAGCATACTTCTCTAAGGCTTTATAAACTAAATGCATTGCCTAAAAAAAATGATATTTATGTTTTAGATAAAATAAAATTAAGTATAATAATTTTAACTTACAACAGCAAATTCGTGTTGATCTAACTTTCCATCTTTGTCCATATCTGCTAAATCCCAAATTTTACCTAAGGTATCCACCGACAGTTTGGAATCAATAAGCAACCCTTTAACCTAAAATATTAAAATCACAAATTCAACAATTGTAATTGTTACAATAGTTTAGTTATAAAACTAAAAAAATTACTTTATCTCCAGCTACTGTTCCATTAACAGGCCTTAACGATTCAAACAATTTGTCATAGTTCATTCTCTCAGATGGCTTCATGGCCCAGTCATTCATATTGCTGGATGCTGTTGCTGAGCATGGTGCTACGATTTTGCTAGCAACTAATTTAGATACTTCACCCTAAACAAACAGATACGAACAAACAATAACAAATTATAACTTCATTTCAAAAGACATTTTTATTTTATATATATATATATATAATACACTTCCCTGCTAAGCAAATTTACTGTAACTAAAAAAAAATTATTATATTTATCCCATATATTATATATATTCATACATTATAATAATCCCATTAAACTAAGTCAAACACCAATTATACATAGTTTTTGTAATACTCTTTACTATTTTTTTGAGTCACAGCACTTTTGCTTAGCAGGGCAGTAAATGTTATATATATATGTATATATATATAAATATTATAAATATAATACCAAATTTGGTGGCGGAATTTGGTGTGTAATATTCATTAAAGATATGTTTTGTCCAGCTTGTGCTAACGCTATTAATTTAAGGGCTACAAAAAATCCAGGTTTAGTTAGAAAACCATTTGCTGCCGGGTCAGACAAATCCCATATCTATAAAAGTTAAGCAAAAATAAAACATTTATCAATATAATTTTTTGAAGTGTGTATACTGAATAATAATAACAATAGTACCTACACTAAACAATTAAACATACCTGGCTAAGTACGACTTGAGATAGGCCAGATTTTTTTAAGAAATTTGCAGCATCCATTGCACCAACATTCCCTTTATTTGTGGGGTCAACCTAAACATATTTTACAAGACTTAATTAATATTCATAAAAATCAGTAAAAATAATTAAAATTCTTTAATTTAAAATATAAAGTACATAATAAGTCTATAATTAAATTTTTGGCAGTTAAACCCATGAATTACAAATTAATAAAAAAATATATTACTTTTATAATTATAAAAAATGTTTAAATGTGTTTTTATTTGAAAATAAGTTTTATATGATTTTAGGAATAATAAAAAATTGACTATTAAAATATCTAAAACTACGATCTGACCAATGTTCACACATTTCATGGTTGAAATATCTAATGCAAGGATTAAAGGTAATTTTATTAGAAACCTAATAATATACAGAAACTAATATACATTTTAAGCTGTTATATGAATATATTTAGAATTGACATAAATATAACAATAATTATGATTCCTAAATGACCTTGTATGGAAATCTGTATTGTATGGTCATCCTTATATTATATTTCTACTTACGTTATAATCAAATGAATGAATGGGGACATCAGGTTTAAAGAGGATATTGTCACACTCATAGATATGCATTGCTAGCTTAACATCATATAGATAAAAGTGTTTTTATGTTTTATCATTTTTATTTTAATGAAATTCAAAACTAAAAATACTTATAAAAAAAAATTATGAACACTAATTTTTTGCAAAAAAAAAAAAAAATTACACAATATATAAATCTTACTTGTGGAAAAATAAATTAAAATGTGACGATAGATCATCTTTAAAAAAAATATTAATGAATTATTATAGAAAACTAACTTACCAATGTATAAAGAGCTTCATAAATGGGAAAGTGTGTTCCAGCTACCTAAACAAATATTCAAATACATGTTTAGAATTGATTTTTCATAATACAATTTACATGATTATTGTTTACATTTAAATTTAACAGTTTTAGACACAAAACTAAGAAATATGGCAATACTTTTAAAATTGATTTTTGGGTGGAGTCAAGTAGTAAATATATAATTATAGCCAATATCTGATAACTACTCGATTGAGTAGCAGCATAATATTCTAATACGTTTTGTATTTTCATGGTATGATGAAAAATAAAATACATGATCTTACTTCTTTTGGGGAAGGCAAAGTAGCCATCCTGGACGTCTTTTTCGCGCCGATATTGCCTCTATGCAGTATTTAGTTAAAACGATTGTTTGATAACAATTTTTTTTAAAAATCACTTAATTGTAAATGAACGTTCGAGTAACATTAAATTAGCAACAAAACTATTTGGCTTGAACACAAATCAGTGAATAGTTACTAGTTACAATTGTATACGAAAACACTAATATTATATCAGTCAAAATAACAAGTCGTGTTTAATAATAAAACAGAGCAAAAATTAAATTGATTTTTTTTGGATTTTTATCAAAGCGAGTGACAGCTTCATGCCTTCATACATACATATAGATGTACAGACATATAAATGACGATCGATAACAGTGTCGCAAAAAACACAACACTAAATACGCGCGCCAAAACACACTCCTTCCTGACTTTAAAACGAATTTAAATCATAATATGTATTATTACGCCTTAAAAAAATTTAATGTTTTCAGTTTCAGTGTTCTAAAATTATAACTTTAAGTTCGGTTCATGAGTATTATTGTTTTTTTTCTTATTCCTTTTTAACTAAATTTTTCTGATTCTTCTTACATTTGCGAAAAAAAAAAATTTTATCCAGGACTGTGATAGTTTCTATTCTCCTTGACAAATCTTTATTATCAATGGTCGTAACCACGGTATAATATTAATGGCGTTACCGTAAAATGCAATGTGTACAGTGTAGTGTGTACTTGATATTTGATGGTTCATACTTCATTAACGTTCGTCGTAATATATTCTTCACGTCGTTTTTTGTGACACTCGTGTTTAAGGTAACTTATTTATTCATACTTACATTAATTATGCTTTATTTCTATTTGTCATAAGAAATACTTGGTAAAATTGCCTACGGTCGTTTTGCAAAAAATCAACCCGTATCCATAAGTATCTGCATGTCACATGGTCTATATTTTTTTTTATTAGGTTATCTTAATTTTTTTGTTAAAATCAAGTATGCTGTAGACATGGATAGTTAAAAATTCTTTAGTCAACAATTTCGATCTTATGTCGATCCACATTTTAAAATGAATATTATAATTTCAAAAGAACCACTAAATGTAAGACAGCAGTTCATATTTAATTAGGCTGTATAATTTTAGTTTAGCCTATATGGTAATAGTGGCCAATATTAATTTTATTTATTATTCATTAATGTTCTGATAAATAATTATTCATCTCGTATGGAGCCTGGTTATTGACTTACTCTTTGTTTAATTTTATGTTTATTATGTATACCATATTTTTTTAACTAATAATAATTCATATTGACCTATCATTGATAAAAGTATTTTGATTTTTGTTTATGGCTGTTAAGACTATCTCGTTGAAACATATTCTCTTCCATTTAAAAGTATTCTGGTAGTTTTTCACAAACATGGATTGTTAAAAAACTTATTTCTGTTAATTACATGATTCGTATAAGGCTTCGTAATTAAAATTTATCAATAGGTACGATTATTTTTGAGTGTTGTTAATGACTTAAGTTTTAGTAGTACATGCAGTTAAATTTAAATGGAAATTTATAATTTTGCTCCTGTAAAATGGTAGCTGATAAATTACATTTTTTTCTAAAAATTTGACTTATTTTATTTGAAGTTAACTTTTTGTTCTAAATGATAGTAGTATTACTAGCTTACATGATTGTAGATACTTTTAGATTTACACTAACCCTTATTTATTACTCATGTATTGTTATATGTTATCATTGAAATAACAATTATGATTTACAGAAAATTGTTTGATATATACCAATTATGGCAAAGTCTAAAAATCACACAAACCACAACCAAAGTATGTAGTTGTGTTTTTAAGTTATGTTAACATTAATTAATTGAATATTTTTAATTTTTTTAGACCGTAAGGACCACCGAAATGGTATTAAAAGGCCTAAGAAGTATAGACACGAATCTCGTCGCGGAGTAAGTTGTGGATATTTTAGTACATATAATATTATAGTTAATGATAAAAATGTTATTGTATGATAATAGGTATGCCAAAAGTTCTTGAGAAATCAAAAGTATGCTTTAAAGGGTAACCTGCCTACTGAAGAACAGATTGCAAGGGCTAATGAGCGAAGAGAAAAGAAAACAGCTTTATTAGCGAAGTTTGCTGAAATCAAGAGTAAGAAGGCTGCATCCAAAAAATGATTTTGACCTTAAGATTTCATGACACCGGTGTAATTTACAAACAATTTTATTAAACTTAAACATCCAAAAGCTGTGTTTATCTTTTCTCAGTAACCTTTCTAAGTATTTTATTTTATTAGAACAATGTATATCAGAGTTAAAATAGAAAGCTATGACTTATAACCAGAAAAAATGGCTTATAATAATTCTATTAACATAATTGAAACTTACTATGAACAATATTATAACTTTATACATATATCATCATGCAGGACATGATTAATGCAACATGTTAATGTTATCATTAAAATATTTTTGGTAACACTAATTTACTGGTCAAAGAAACCACAATTTTAATAAAATCTTAAATTTTTTATTTCTTGCAAAACCAAAAATAACATTTTAGTAATTGGATATATTTTTCTAAAGCTAAACTGATTTAATAGTAGCGATGACCTAAACAATTTTTCTTGCTACCAAACAGTTAAGTTAATAAATTATGATTAATGATAACTGATCACAGTAGAAATTTGATGTAGTTGTCCTGTTGATAAAACTAACTGACTGGTCGATATAATATGGGGAGTACCTAATCAGTTGAACGCTTAAAAACGGTGTTTTTTTTTTTTTGGTTAAACGTTTTTATGTGAACAGTAAAAGAACGGGAGCGAGTTTGCGACTGTAAAAGTAAAACATTCATACCACAATAATAATTGGGAGCACACAATAACAATTTATTACTAATAATAGACAATAGTATAAAATAAAAATACTCGACGATCTTTTAATTAATACATTTGCAACAGTAAAAACAACTTTAAAAAATGAATAAAATTGAACAAATCTAAAATGCTAATAATAATTTATAATTAGTTTACCATACATCTAAGAAAACAAAATAATACAAAACATTAATTATACATGGGTTTTACGTTTTATAAACAGTTGCCGACGACGTGACACGCCGTTTATGTTTAGCGTAGGCAACATAATTAACACAACACCCTGCAGTGAATAGTGGTGATGAAAATAATAATAATATATTCTAATGTCTAACGTCTTAAAATATGTTTAAGTATAAATGGTATAAAATTAAAATTAATAACAATAATAGGTTTCCGATATAAATTTACAGTGAGATAACATTGATTGGCGACTATATTTTACAAAACGTTAGGTGTACCTAAAACTAAAGTGCGCGTACAGTGAGTATTTTACACGAAATATTGTTTATTACTAGCTATTCGTCACCAAGACGGTTAGGTATAATCTACTTGAAAAAAGAAGATTCGCAATGAAAATACCGAATAAAAAATCTACATATTTTGTGACTGGTTTGGTTTGGACCATAAAAATGATATATTTTTATACAACATAAATCATGATGTTATGCATAATAATAATATTGTATGTGTAACGCCTATTTTACATTTCTACCAGTTTACAAGTTTAACGACGGTTTTTTACCATCAGTTACGACATTTATCAATCTTCCTGTTAGGAATCCGTTGTCTGCAGTTGTCTCGTTAGACCACGAAGTCTCAGTTGGAGACCTAACATTATTTGTTCGTCTATTGAATAACCCGTTCTGGAAAAAATAAATAAAACAACAGCATAAGTTTATGTACACGTACGATTAATATCAAAATAAATTACAGTATCGTTGGTCGGAATCCTAAAGTTATTATGGTTTATAAGTGCATCGGAAAAGGTCACCAAAACGGAGGAAATGTTAAGGTTAAGCCTTTGAGTTGTAACAAAGAAAAATAACTAAGTTCAAAATGAACTTTAATAATATTAAAGTGCGTAGGTTCTACTAACAATAGTAAGAACTAATAATTCACAAAACTCGGATTTCTTTAGTATACAGGACTAAATATTTACTGCTGGGCGTCGACGTTTTGTTCGAATCTATGACTCAATGGATGGGTCAAGAGCTATTATCCGGACAAAATGAGTACCGCCATTGATTATAAATAGTATACATATAATAAATGGTACTACTGGGCTCTTCTTAATTATAACTTGTAATAATGGAGTTTTTTTTTCTTACTTGTTAGTTATTACTATTATAATAATCAAACATTTTTACTAAAAACTTAAAATGTAAAAAATATTAAGGATTTTAATTAATATAAATAAAAAAAAAAATCATCATCTAGAACATTTCCACGAGTCTGAATTTAAAAAAATAGTACGACTTAATAATTAAATCGGAAGAGAACTTAGATTAAACATTCAACATATTTTAATAGTTCTCTTGAAAATTGTAACTGTATGGGATAATAATGTACGATTTATAGAAATTTGTTATTCCCTTTTAATAATCTTTTCGTCCCATTTTAATAATGAATTTGCGCCTATGATAAGTCTAGTGACTAAGTACTTTGTTAGGTACAAATGAGTCGAGGGAAGATTTTTAACAAATTTTTAAATTTGAAATATTTTATCTTTTCTACTATTACCGTTAAATCTATCGCCATCGTAATTCCACCATTATCTCAAGTAACATGATTTAATAATATCAATGAATATACAATCGTATATATATTTTTATAAGAAAAAAAATAATTGTTTTAATTTGTACGTACAACACGATGAATACTTACAATGTACATGGTTATTGAGATACCGATAATAGAGCCAGCAAGTACATCCCACCAATGATGCCTATGATCGGTAATGCGTGTCAGCGAGCAAAAAATGGCCCAAAGCATGCATACAGCTTGGAGTACTGGCACCAACAACAGCGATCCGGTTTTGTATTTATTTTGCAAATACCACTAAAATAAAAATCATTTCCAAATGTCAAAAAAAAAAATAATCTTGCGTGTGCTCAAATTAGGTACATAAGTACTAAACACTTACGGCTAAAGAAATTGATCCGTATACTGATATAGACGCGTGACCAGACGGGAAAGATTTGCTGGCATCTCTTACAATGTACATGCTTTCCACCTTGTTTGAGCATTCATAATGGTCGACATAACTAAAAGGTAAACCAGAGTTCCAGGGTATTAATTGAGGGTTGTTTTATTAGATTATTCTAATCGTACTCATCCAATTGGCAGTATTATTGTGCTACGTTATTAAAGAAATCATAATGACCGGCAGTATGGTAATAATTAGTGTTTAAACAAATAAATCTATTATCTATCCAAGTCTATGGACTATGCCTATGCTAGACGTGTGTTACTAACTTACCACAAAAGTAACAACTAATAAATATTTAAACAATAACAAATAAAATATACAACCTAATCCTATATTGCATTTCGTTAACATACCCAGGGACAACCCTAGTTCGATTTTTGTTGCTGGTACTTATTTACCATTGGGTATAGATAGTATACCATATAGAGTTGACTGTAAGTTGACTGTAGTAGTAGCCAGTCGGTATAAAAAAAAACCAAATCATACACCATAAAAAAAGCCGAGAAACTTATTTTTTCAAAGAAAGTAAAAACTAGTTACGTAAAATTTTTAGTTAAAAATCAGTAAGAATTATGCATTTATACTGTGTGGCAGATTTAAGACTTGAGTATTTTTTGGGAGTGGGTTACCAGTATAAAAAAAAAAAATAATAAAAAAAAAAATGTGTAAACTATGAGGGACTTTTAACATATAGTGGGGTCGGAGGTTAACGCCACTGTGCCCATCCCTAAATCCGTCCATGTAATAAGATAATGCGTTTTACATTTTACTCAGAAAAATATACTACTAGCGACCAAAACTCGAAACATAAAACAAATTGAATCAAGTCTAATCGTTTGTAATCCCATTGTTGTAATGAAGTGTTAATACTAAATATTATTATAATTTTCAATTATTATCATTTAGAACCTACCTACTCATTTTTTTTTTTATAACATTTTAACATTATTTGGATATAATAATTTAAGAGCGTATTGTGTGAGGTAGGTACTAATCTTATCGTTAAAGATTTCAATGATCTTACCTATTGGTGCAGTTAACAGCTTCTAGAGGCCTGCAAGTATCCAAGAAATGTGGTCTTGGCTCGCCAATCAAAACTTTACCCACGTCAGTTATAAAGAAAACGAATATCAATCCCAATATGTATTGGCGGTACCACCGTAACGATTCTTTAAGCCATTCGTACGGGCCGGAGTCGAATTTCCTTTGATCTCTCATGTAATATTCTGCAATTACCACCTATTAAAAGAAAACGTTTCAAATAAGCATCCGTTTTCTATAGTTTTATTTTAAATGTTACGCATTATGATTATTATAAATTATATACATATACGTACTGTCAAAAAAGGAATGACAAGCGTTACTAATATGAGAACATGTGGCTTAACCGTATCACCTCTATATTTATAACTGATTTTGGGATCACCGCAAAAGAATCCTATGCTTTGTAAATGCGGTATCTTTCCCGATTCCACTAAACACATGGCTATCAAAACTAAAACAAAAAAAACAAAAATAAATAATTATATTATATTATAAATCATACAAAAGTTAAACATTAAATTAGTTAATCAGATAGATATATTATTAGAGTCTTAACCAAAAAGGGCAAGACGCTAACATTGACTAAGTATATGGATACGTTGAAATAAACATCTAGTTGACTATAATAAGACAGCAATTAAGTTCAATTTTTATGAGTTAATTAACCGGATGGCATTCACTTTTGACAAAGGGGTCACAATTTTAACAACCTTAAGGTAGGTGGGTATTAAATTATCATAAATAAAATAAAACCATTGAAATTTACCAAAAATGTACCATTCACTTACCTAATGGCTATTAATTATTAAACAAAGGTTTTACTTCAACGATTTCAAACATTAAATATATAAATGACTTTAAGTAAAAGATGGATATAATGTTATCAATAGTCAAAAACATAGAGAGAAAAAGGCTTAAGCCTGGAACTCTAAAGTAGGCCAAGAGCCGCCAAGATAAAGCTATGCAATAGTCAATAATAGACAACCAGCGATACCATTGTGGTGGCATTTATTCAATTCTATAAAAAATTTTTATAGATAATTTAATCTATTGAGAATATAATAGGAATTAATATATTTCGATGTTAACACTTCATTTATAAGAAATAAATAGCCTATAGGTGTATACAACATTTTCTAATAACAGTATAAATCTCTATTATTAACTTTGAATAATTGAGAATTATTTAATCTATATTCGTACAATACTAAATAATATTTTATTAGGGGGGGGGGGGTCATAGAATGAAATTATATATAAAGATAGCTAACTGGCGCATAATTAATTTTGAAAATGTTCTCTGAATTTTCTAATTTAAGATGACAGTAATTTTTTACTAGGGTCAGATATCATCCTACTAAGTACGTTATTACCTTTCAAATGTATAAAGTTGTTTAGACAATTAAGTTTCCTAAAATCTTACTTAAATAGAAAAATTGTAATTCGAAATACTATTGTTGGTCAATGGTAATGTACAGTTTTTCTTAATTTAGTTAAAATGCTCACCCTTATAAAGTTGGCTACAAAATGAATAATGGCTGTATGCATTTAACATATTTTTACATATTGTTTCTGTGTTTTCACTAATCGGCTGTTATCATTACTTGATATTCGAGTTAATGGACTGTGTTTTTAGAAACTACTCATAGGTAAGAATTTGATTGTTTTTTTAATTTTTTCCATTCTAATCTAATGAAATCGAATTATATTATGTATAGATTTTTTTGTTGTTGGGCGATAAAACTATAATTTATCATTCATATTCTAACTCTATAATTGTAATAACTCAAAAACAAATTAATAAGTTTGGGAAATAAAATCCAACCTATAAGTAGGCACAAATCTTAGCGGTATAAAGTATGATGATATTATCTCATTAGCGCAGTCAAAGTTTTGTAGACATAACGTTACATGTACCTAACTAAAGACTATATTTTACTGTAACTGGAGCAATACATATGGTTAGGCATAAAATTATCTGCAATGCTTTAATGCTGGTTCTTCTAGCTTTGCAGTTCTTAGTTTACACTTTACGCCATAGATAAATTTGCTTAATAAATACATTTTATTTTTAATATGATATTAATGTGCTATATAAAATACTATAATAACACTAAAAAAAAAAACTATAGGACTACTTTTTCAATTGGATTATACAGTGGTATACCTATATAATGTATGTATGAACGCGAGGTCAATTCTATGCAACTTCGTGAAGCCATATGAAATTTACGAAGAAAAAAGCTTATTGGGTTGTGGTATTTTTATGTACGATATTAATCATGTGCGCCAAATAAATGCAGAGTTGTTTTTATTTATTTTAATTATGTCTATAGTTTATACTATACGTCGCCTTTGTGACTTGCGCATATTTTGTTAAGAAAATTCTGGGGAACGCTTTATAATTTTTTAAATTAATTTATTAATAATATTATAGCACACACACACACACATAAGATATACAAAATGATGGTATTTACTAAATTTGTATACAAATTACATAGGTGAAACATTTAAAATTTTTATCAAACAATAAACATTTTTTATTTTTTATTTCTTCAGCCAGAAGACAGATTTAGAGGGGGGTAGTAACTTCTAAAATTTATATAATTTAGGACGGGAGGGGGGAATGTGGTTAAGTAATGCGTGCAGATAAAAATAATACTACCTTCATCCCGTCCTTAATTTTAAACTCTAAAGTACTGACTCAACAAAACTGATTATCGACAAGTCTGTAATAAAGGCTATATAAAAAAAAAAAAGAAATCGACAAGTCTAATATTCAAAAAATTATTGGTGGTTTAAAAAATGAATTAAATGTATACATTACCATTTGACAGACCATTTAAGTTTTAAAAGTCCCCCCCCCACCCTAAATCTGGCTTCTGACTAAAAAAAAAACACAAACAAATTAAATTATTACTGTTTGATTAAAATTAAAAATGTTTCACAAAGGAAATTTTTTGAACATTTCATATAATCATTAAAATATTATATCAATACATGTTATACATAAACTCACACGCCAATATACGTGTCTAATTTGTGTGAAAGTAAATAAAAAAATAGGTGAAACATAGCTAGGTAAACCAATTATCAATATACCTACCAGTATTAAGGTATGTATTAGCTAACGGATACTTATTATAGTATCATGCACAACGTAGAGAGATACTATTTAAATAAAAATAAAATTGTACCTACAGCTTTTATATAAGTATTCAACTCTATTTAAATTAATAATATATTAATTATGTATGTATAAAATCGCAATCTAGTCTCAAATCATTATGTTGGTAACACTACTGGTGGTATTTGGTTCCGGTCGGTTCAACAACACAAACGTACATACACATAATATTTACAATACGTGTTACAGCAGACTATAGTTATCAAGTTTTATCGAAAACAAAAAAACTTTTGTAATAATTGACGCTGTACTTACATAGGTAAGTCTTTATTTTGACGGAAGACGCACAACGGACGAGTTCTAGGCAAATCCACGAGAAATTAACGCGTGCCATAAAATATATTGTTAGGTAGGTACTTATAATAGTATTATCAATCTAGCTTCACACGGAAACGAACAACACAATATAAGTACTAAAAGTAAAATAATATAAAATGCGAGTTTACGAATAACATTATTATTGATGGCGGTTCGAAGCGATTTAACAATATAAACTTAACGCGTTGGTCGTTTGTCAGCGTACAACGTCTACTCATTGGCAAACACGGTCGTACAACCGTCTGAGATAGAGCCGTAGGTACCTATTGCATCTCACCAGTTACCAAGTCCATAATATATATTGTCTCTAGTGAGATTTAGCGTATTCATGAAAAAAGATACATTGCAAATATCGTATTAAATCTATTAGCATAATATTATATTTATATAATAGAACAGTCGAGACTGATATGCTATGTGTTTCCGAACAAATAACAAACACATAAACCCATATGAGGTCGTCATAGTGTACACGCTTTGTGTATTAACACTAGGTGTAAAATAACATCAGACGAGTGAAAAAAAAAATCATATTTGACAAGCCGTCCAAGGCTGAATCCGTCGAAGTCGATAGTCCTCGTTTGTTATTATTATTATTATTTTTTTTTTGAACCGTAATTGTTTTCCAACCCGAAACAACATTGCGATAATGGTAAATGCGGTAATAGTATTTATGTTTAATGAAGGTAATAAAATATAAATTGTAGCTTTTTAAACGAAATCGGAAACATTAAAATGTCTACTAACCGATAGGTAAAAGCACTTAGTAGCTACACATTTTGACATTGGAAAATGTTAACATAATATAGACAATTTAGACCTGAATGCGTTAAAACTTTCGTGGATTGATATATCAATTGAGTAATTTAGACCTGTTCTTAAAAATGGTTCGGATGAATTTTAAAGATCTCAGTATTTCAACCCACTGCAAATAAATAAAAAGAGTTCTTTCCATAATTTCTTGTCAAAATAATTCTGACTTTAACCCGTGCCTCAGAACACTTACATTTTGTTATTTAATTAACACTGACAATAGCACGTTTTGGAGTGTTTTGTTACTGATCAAGTGAAATAATCCTTGATAATAATTACAAACCTTCTATGTTGGTACTTAAAAACGTTTTAAAATCATCTTTAAATATATTTTATATATAAGTATAAGTAACCATAAAAGAAACAATAATAATTTAGATAAGTTTTTACACACTTATAGAAAATGTATAATCTAATATGTTGCTTAAATTCGTTATTGGTTGGAAGCTTCCGTTGATTTTAGATAGACCATTGCTACTATTATCTTTAAATTAAGCATTATGCTCGAGTAGTGTTCATTCGAGTTAATTCCGTAATATAATAATATAGAAAATACATACAATCCCAGTTCGTTAATTTGCACATAGTGCGGCAGTAAAAGTTAAACGCCGAAGAAAACACACATGTAATGGGATGCGTGTGCGTGAGTTTAACATTGACATTTTGTCCGAGGGTCAATGTCAATGCCATTTTATCCATTACTGGGTGTCACCCTTCGAGCGAGTTCATTATACGGCTTGTTAATTTAAATAGTTATAGCGTGCAATTTTGTTTTATCCGACCACGTATTAGGTACCGAGAGCAGGAACAGTTTAAAAAATAACTATTATAATGTGCGACTAAAAAAAAAAAAAATAGAAAACAATACCAAGTTCATAAAACTAATTTTAATCAAAGACAAAATGAATAATTCAAGTACCCATACTACCGTGCATTACAATTATTAATGGATTCATCTTACATCACTGTCGAAGATCTTAATAACATAAATGCCGAAAACTCAGAAATAATAATACCAACAACAATAATAATATTTAATAATAATTACAGTAGGTAATAAAAAATAATAGTTGTCCATTAAAAAAAAAAAAAAAACAATAATATTAATAAAAAATAATTTGACTATTTAT